GCCAGCACCAACATCGTGGATAAAGGCAATTGGACTTTCTGGTCCAAGGGCGACGCAAGTGTTGATGACCATCTGGGCTCGTCGCTCCATTTCGGGGTTTCCGCGCTGAACACTGTCGAAGTCAAGATCCGCTGTGGCATCGCTGCCGGTGTTGGAGGAGGCAGCACCACCACCAAGACCAATCAGCATTGCAGGACCACCCAGGACAATAACGTGGGCACCCTCTTCAACATGGCTCTCTTCCTTGAGAGCATGCTGGGGTCGAACGCTACCGATACCACCAGCAATCATGATTGGCTTGTGGTATCCTCTGTACTCTGGAACGTCGGATCCGGCCTCGTTGGTGAGAAGAGTTCGAAAAGTACCGGTCAGGGCAGGACGACCAAACTCGTTATTGAAGCGAGCAGAGCCAATTGGGGCCTCCAGCATGATGTCAAGACTAGAGGCATAGTGAGAAGGACGTCCAATATCAAGCTCCCATGGCCTCTTGTTGCCGGGAATCAAGAGATCAGAAACCCAGAAACCGGCAAGACCAGCTTTGGGAGAAGAGCCACGCCCAACAGCGCCCTCATCTCGAATCTCACCACCGCTTCCGGTTGCGGCACCGGGAAAGGGGGAGATGGCAGTGGGATGGTTATGCGTTTCAACCTTGATGAGAGGCTGGACAACCTCGCGGGTGAGCTTCCAGCTTCCGGTGGAATAGTCTGGAGCCCAGTAGTTACCCTCGTCACCGGAAAGGCTACAAATGAATGTTAGCAAACAAGCCCGAATACTTGATCCCCAACCGGAATTATATTTATATAACCAATACTTACACGGCCGCGTTATCAGAATAGGCGCTGATGACATATTCGGGGTTTGATTTATGGGTGTTCTTAATCATGCCGAATAAACTGTTCTCCTGGCTGACACCGTCAATTGTCCACGAAGCATTAAAGACATGATGTCGGCAGTGCTCAGAGTTGACCTGAGCAAACATGAACAGCTCAACGTCGTTCTACTGAAATCAGTATTTGATTTTCAACGTCGGACTTATGAGTCATACAGGAGATCGACCAAGAGCAGTGTACTGTTTAACCAAGTACTCCATATTGGGTTGGTCGAGACCAAGCCCAGCCTGTTTGTTATGGTCCTGGAGAGCGGCCAAGGGACCGCGCTCATCGGAAAAGATGTCGACGACGACGAGAGGGTTTCGAGCACCATGAGCGAACATGGTATCAAGGGCCGGTGGAGAAAGGCTGAAAAATTCTGTCATGCGATCATGCAGGATGTCCCGGAAACTCAAATCCTCCTCTCCCTTGAAACCATCCTCGAGTTCGATATGGATGACTCGACCTCGTTCGATGCGGTTAACGGTCTTGAGATCGCAGACGAGGGCGATGCTGGTAGCTTTGGAGCTCCATGGGGAAACGTTCCGGGGGCTGACGTAGATATCGATGGCATTCTTGTTGTCGCCGGTTGAGGGAGCATCTGTAGGCTGCTCAATGGCCTCGAGGATCTTCTTAATGCTGCCGAGAACGGCGGCATCCTCAGTCTCGAGGTCGAGGTAGTATTGCCAGGAGCCCGTGAGCTTAGCAACCTTGACGGGACTCTGATCATTGATGCGCTGCACGAGCTTCTGGACTTCAGAAGCCGTGTAGCACGACTCGCCGATCAGGACGTGGTGCATGGTGAATGGATTTGCGAGTTCAAAGCAAGATACGCCTTGACGCTTGTACGCCAACGTCCTGTAGCAGGAAGAAAAAAAAATTGGCGGGGTTCCGATAAAGGTGGGATGTCCGGATGCGGGGCAAAGTTTCTCCGCTCGCAAGCTGATGATTGCCCTCTGGTGCAGCTCTGTCTATGGCCACTGGAAATCCACTCGCGGAATGCTTTTTTAAATTCTAGGCGCAAAATATCACTTGGGGTGTCCGATGCAATAGGTAGTTGCTCACTGATACTCCATGTTTCTTTTCTATCAGTCATAATCTTATCGCGACATGCTCGAAGCTCTGCACGTACCCTCAGCGCGGGGCAATCGCGGGGTCTGCGGGGACTCATGGAGCTCTCTGCTGAGGCTTTGAGCTGAGAGTATCGAGCCTGTGCAAGGGGAAATTATTTACGTATATATTTTCCACTTTGCAGAGCTAATGTAGGTTGCTGAACAGAATCAATGTAACCAGGTAGTAATGCATACGCTGCCATAGATAATAAATCCCATACATCTATCAAACTATTCTAGCCAATGTGACCGTTTTAGGAGGTCCCGGATATAGTGAGCTTTGGAGAAGGGTAATATGGAACGTGTAGTTTACGAACACCAAAACAATCGAGTGACTTTGATATCTACCTAGCGTAGAGTCATCTTCTGGTGTATTTTTCTAGGTCATAACTGAAGGGAAATGAAAACAATTCACTCGGCATCCTTACGTAAAACCGGTGAAGTGTTGTTGCCAAGGTTTCAACTACGAGAGATGTCATACTTAAGTATACTTTAGCAAGAAACCTGGCTTTCTTGATCATTCTTGACATTTTCTTAAATTGTCTTTGGACATCTGAGTCGGTTTGATTACCACGAAATTGCGGCAATCTGTTGTGGCTGGGCAACGTTTTCATCAACAAAGGTCTAGACGCAGCAGAAACAATGAGGACAATGAACTGTATTCGGTTGTCGGAGAAAACCTGTCTTGCTTGTATCAGGGTAAGACATTAATGTGCAATACCAGCGGACACATCTGAGACATGGAGATTATAAAACTTAGGCAATCCCGAGAACAAACTGTTATGCATATTCCGTATTCTCAAGAAGCACTCTGGCTTGGGAATGAGATGGGTCCAATAGTGTCACGATTCAGCAGAACAAAGCCTCTATTCGCGGCCGGGCTTTGCTGTGGTGCCAGCAACATGTGTTGAGAGTCGGAGGAAAAAGTATAAGCAAAAGGCGCAGTGGCAGAGTGGTCTAATGCGATAGACTAGAAATCTATTCTCTTCGGAGGCGTCTGTTCGAATCAGGCCTGCGTCGCTTCGATAACTTTTTGACATTTGATGTAATTCGTAAATACCCCTTCAGAAGACTCAGTGTGCACGGTGACACGTTTTCCCTTCATGTCGATAAACACGCCACATTGATGTATTAATTATAGGGTAGCCATTGGTCTGACTTTATAAACTTTTACTGTTTCCAAGTTGGCGTGATCCTCACGCTAGACAAGTAGTCATTCACTTAAAGGATTTCAGTTTACATGACTCAACTAAGTAAACATAACTAAGTAGGTATATTTGCAATAATACAACGCTTTCAAGGAGCCAGACATTTTTGTAATTTAAATCAGATTGTCAAGTCTAGACCTGGAAAGATTTAAGCCCTCTAGGTATTTTATTATTATAATTTGTCAAGTTTCACTACTGTGTACCCTACTTTTTATTGATTTTACTCCTCTATACGACAGTAACTACTACACAGCGAGAGCCCCGAATTGATCATTAGGAACAAAACTGTCCCAGGAATGGCAAAGAGTAGACCTAGCATTGATGCTCGAAGTGAGTAAATCGAGTTGAACTATTGAACGGCTACAAGGCGGGTGCACCGAAGCTCTCGCCGCGGCGTCAAATTTCTATCAAATATAGACTACCCGGCTGATAGCTCCAAGCTGTGATTTCTGGGCTCTTATATTTATCAATAGCTTTCACCACTACCACTCTTGGCAGGGCCGAGACTCATGAAGCTCCCATGAGCCTGGCGCACGGCTTGGAGGCTTACAGAAGGAAGAGATTGAAAATGAATTGACACTGAGCAAGAAGAGAGTTTGCACGAAGGTGCCAATAGTTCATTGCAAATTCATGGCTTGATTTGTAATAAGTCAATTGCCACATGGGAAGAATGTAATTGTTAACGGGGAAGGCTTCGCCTCTCTGACCGATGCAATGGATTCGGGTAAAAGAAAGTAGGATTCCCCCGAGACACAAGCAAGGTCCTGATATGCATTATGGGCATTGTGGTGATTGAGACAGATTCTGGTGTCTCGCCGCGGAACACGAGCAAACAATGATGGCTAAAACGGAAATGTCTCTCAAAACCATAGCGAATGGAGATGGTTAACCTGACGATCACGTTCCTTTGACCAACTTCAATCCATTGAGAGCGATGAGATCGGCATTATTCAACGTCATCCATTAATGATGTATTCTGAGAATGAATCCAACTTGTGATTGAGAGTCATCGATCGTTGAAATTCGTTTAGACTATCATCTATGTCAACAGTTTGTTGGTAAGGAATCTTTTCGGCAGCCTCCTTGGTAAGTGTCTAGATACAGTTTTTATAATTCGTCCTGGCTTGATTCTTGTCCAATCAGTTTCTTCTGTCATATCAACAAACTCTTTACATGACGCCTTATATCAAATGAAAGCGAGATGCCAACAGAGTGAGAGCCGCAACTGGTTAGATTGACCAGGCTTGGCATCCAGGTCCGAAGCAAACCTTACTTCTAGGCAACTCTAAAAAACGGACTGAGAGGAGATGCTTTCAGCCCAGATCGCGAATCAGCGCACGCCGTGCCTGGTGCTGTTGGTGCTCCCCTTGAGGTCCTGCAGAAGGCAATATGTGGCGTGCGTGGCGCCTGGGGCTTCCACGCTTTCACCTAAGACAAACGCAAAAAGATGGACTACCCCCTAGTAGGCAGGGCTTCGTAAATCAAACCATAGGGCAGCTGCGTCCTGGTTCTCGGGGCTAACCCACACGATCTACGCCTAAGATCTCTATCCCGATCGGTGCGGCACGTTCCAGTCGATAGCTCCAATAGTTTAGATCCAAGCTCTCTTCGTGAGACATGGCCCAATCACGACTCGGCGCATGCAGGTCCATACAGGGCGAAATTTTTCGGACCTGACAACCCGCGTAACGAGGCTGGCAACGATCACCACAAAGGTACCCCAGGACAAGATGAGCTCCTAGCTTAATGACGACATTCCTGGCTTGTCCAGAACGTCCTGGGAATATGGATTGGGAATGCGGACCTGTGGGCGAGAACAGCCTACCGTAGAGACCGGCTCTATGAACTATGGCGACGAAAACAGACAGGCCGATGAGAGCCACAGGATGCAGTGCAGCCGTACCGGCTGATCGTGTCCATCTTTCGAGTTCTTATAAATGATGAGGATGCCTCGGAATGGAGCTTGAAAGCCTCATACGGACTCTCTCCAACACCAAATTAATTTGCTAGCTGCGTCTCCGACGACAACTTACACCATGTTGTTGTCACGGGGGCTGCTAGCCTCTACACTCCTTCTCGCCGTCAAGGCACAAGACGGTATCGACCAAGCCGCAGTCAACATTGCCACAGGGTTTGCGGAGACTCTCATTCAACATGCTTATACTACTCTCAACGCAGATTCAGGAGGTGCTGGTGATGCTGGAAATGGTGGAAATCAAGACCAAGCCTTCGATGCGAGTTTACTCGACAAGCCACAGAATGCAGCCGACAACGATGCCACCGTCACTCAGATCATACAGGGCCAAGTTACTGTTGAGACATACACTCGCCCGGGAGGAGTACTATTTCCCGTGACACTCCTTCCACACCCAAGAATTACGCTCGCTCCGACCCGCAATGACCCTTATAAAAGGATTATTCAGGCTTATACCGGAGGTAACGATGCTACCACGAACCAGGAAATCACAATTGCCGAGCCCTCGGGAACAAGCCCGGGTACTATTCTCATCGATGTTCCTGGTACTGCTTATTCTTCTTTCTCATCGGGCCAGGCCGGCGCGTTGACCATCTCTCCTTCAAACGACAACCCGACAGCCACGATTATTTCGGCGTTGCCTAGTGGTGTTGCCATTACTGGCGAGGCTACAAGGACAATTGCGGCGGCCGGAAATGCCCCTGCGACTGTTGTTATCCAGACTCCTTGGGCAGATGTGCCACCAAGCACTCCTGGTGTTGGAGGTGCTGGCGCTGGCGCTGGCGCTGGCGGTGCCGTTGGTGGCAACGCTGGAGGCAGCACATCCAATGTTTTGGTGATTCAAACATACACCGGAACTGAGTACATCACCCAGGCTCGAGTTTCCACCATTGTTGGTTCTGGAGGCGATCAGGGCACAGTAGTTGTCCAGGTTCCTCCAGGTAGCCAGAACCCCGGTGGTGCTGTCACGATTCCTCCAAGCGACGGTGGCCATTTCACGACGATTCTCAGGCAATACACAGGAGCTTCTGCTATCTCAACTCCTGTCACAATCCTTGTTCCAACCTCGGCAGGTCAGGACGGAACAATCATCATTGAGACGCCTGGACCTTCGAGCACATCTGGCAGCGGTGGAGACAGTGATCTCCCTGAAAACCAACCGCAGGTTATTCCACCTAGCGGTGATAACCCTTATTCTACGATCTTGCGACCTCACGCCGGTTCCGATCGGATTACTGAGCCTGTGACATACACTGTACCTCCATCTGGTACCAATCCGGGAACGATTATCATCGAGACTCCGGCCGTGCGCGCTGGTCAACAGGTTATCACGCTTCCCTCTGACCCTAACAGTGGTTATATCACGATTGTTAGACAGCCCAATAGTGCCATCACTGCGCCCAACACCATTACAATCGCACCCACTGGTGGTCAGCCAGGAACTATTATTATCGAGACTCCTGCCCCTCAGCCCGGCGATGTCGAGATCACAATTCCTCCTGGTCAGGATGGCTCTTTCGTGACCATTATCCAGGGTCCTACAGGATCCAATGCTGTCACGGCCCCCAACACGATCACAATCACCGGTGCTCCTGGTCAACCAGGCACAATCATCATCCAGACTCCAGTGCCGTCTGGCGGAGGCCAGATTACTCGGGGTCCTGGTGACCCTTTTACCATTCCTGCTGGATCAGGTCAATACGTCACCATTTTCCGACCTCATAGCGGTGATCCCATTTCGGTTCCGATTACGCTTACCCAGCCAGGGGCGAATGGTCAACCAGGCACTATCATTATTGAGACGCCTGATCCGACCACGTCTGCACCTGGAAGTGGGCCTATTACCATTCCTGCTGGAGGTAACAGCCCTTATGTGACTATCTACAGGCCACATAGTGGAAGCCCTATCAGCGCACCGGTCACGATCACCGTCCCACCCAGCGGTACCCAGCCGGGGACTATTATCGTTGAGACACCTGTACCAACGCTTGAGACCCCCAAGGGCCAGAATGCGGTGACCTCCTCTGCTGCGGGTGGCCAACCGATCACCATCCCTCCCAGCAAGAACAACCCGTATGTCACGATCTACCGTCCTCATACAGGTGACCCAATCACCGTCCCCATCACCATCACGCAGTCTCCCTCAAACGGACAGCCTGGAACCATCATTATTGAGACTCCAGCTCCGCCAGCTGACACCGTTACTGAGACTGAACCTGGTGCGACCGTGACGGTTCAACCTGATAACCCCGGTGGATACACAACCATTTATCGGCCGCATACAGGCGATCCAATCTCTGAGCCTATCACCGTCACAACTATTAGTGGTTCGAACGGCCAGCCAGGAACCGTTATCATTGAGACACAAGGCCCCTTTACTGTCACTGCCACTGGTCCCGGCGGAACTGCCACTATCTACACTCCTGGATCAGATGTCAGCACCACTGTTACGAAGACCGTCACCATGACAGCTTCAGGAGGTCAGCAATCTACCGCGGTTGTTATTGAGACTCCACCTCCCGTCAAGGTTCAACCCACAACTGCAATGGTTACGGTGACTGGCCCTGATGGATATGTCACGATTACTGAACAGTACACCGGGACAAGTGTTATTACGGCCATCTTCACTACCACAGTGACTGGATCTGGCACAAATCCTGGAACAGTTTACATCGAGACACCGCCACCAATCAAATTCGCTCCCACTTCAACGGTTTCTGGCACCGACAACTATGTCACTGTCTATGAACCGTTCCCTGGGCCAGGCATCATTACGGCACCTATTACCGTTACGCAGGCCACTCCTTCCGGTGGGCAGCCGGGTACAGTGATTATCCAGACTCCTGTTGCGGACACTCCCGCGACTACACCACTGCCCGATCCTACTACTACACAGGGACCTGATGGTTATGTCACTGTGTATCTTCCGTTCCCTGGCCCTGGTGTCATTACCACGTCCTATACCAGGACACTGGCCCCTTCAGGTGGAAATCCTGGAACTGTGTTCATCACAACGCCAGCCCCTCTACCTGCTACAACTTCTGAGGCAAATCTTCCAAGTACTACGTCTGGAACAGATGGTTATGTGACAGTTTTTATCCCATATCCGGGACCGGGCGAGATCACTGCGCCCATCACTAGGACTCAGCCACCCGCAAATGGCCAACCTGGTACTATCTTCATTACCACACCTGTCCCTGCGTTCACCACACCGAAGCAGATGAATGGGTTGACAACCACATCTCAGGGAACAGATGGTTATGTGACAGTTTTTATCCCATATCCGGGACCGGGCGAGATCACTGCGCCCATCACAAGCACCCAGCCGCCCGCCAATGGTCAGCCTGGTACTGTTTGGATTACTACACCTGCACCTGCGTTCACTACACCGAAACAGATGAATGGGTTGACAACCACGTCTCAGGGAACAGATGGTTATATCACAGTTTTTGTTCCTTACCCAGGACCAGGCGAGATCACTGCACCCATCACAAGTACCCAGCCGCCCGCCAATGGTCAGCCTGGTACTGTTTGGATTACTACACCTGCACCTGCTTTCACTACACCGAAGCAGATGAATGGGTTGACCACCACTTCCCAGGGGACAGATGGCTACGTGACTGTATTCCTGCCCTTCCCTGGCCCAGGAGTTATTACTGTTCCTATCACGAGTACCCAGCCTCCTGTTAACGGCCAGCCTGGAACCGTTTTCATCACAACCCCAGCACCTCTGCCCACTGATCAGCAGAATGTGCCAACCACTACAGCTGGTGTTGATCAGTATGTGACGGTTTTCCTGCCATTCCCGGGTCCTGGTGTTATCACTGCACCTATTACTCGCACTCAGGCACCGTCTGGTGGTAACCCAGGAACTGTGTTTATCACGACACCGGCTCCTGAGACCCCGACCCAGCCCCAGACTTCTGCCCTGACTACGGATAACTACATCACCATTTACACACCTTTCCCAGGACCAGGTGTCATTACCGCACCTATCACTATTACCAAGCCGCCATCCAATGGCCAGCCCGGAACAGTTCTTATCGAGACTCCTGTTCCATTGAGCTCCAGTGCTGATACCTACGTGACGGTCTACAGGCCCTACCCAGGTCCTGGAACGATCACTGCACCAATTACCCTGACTCAGGCTCCTTCCAACGGCCAGCCCGGTACGGTGTTCATCGAGACTCAGCCAACAGAAACGCCGACTCCAACAACGCAGACTACTGATGGTTCAACTCCTCCCATTACCATCCCTCCTGACCCGACTGGTTCTTATGTGACAATCTACCGACCGTATCCAGGGCCCGGCCAGATTACATCTCCCATCACATACACTCAAGCCCCTATTTCTGGACAGCCAGGCACAATTATCATCGAGACTCCCAACCCTGATGCCAATACCGCAACCCAGACAGGCCCAGTTACAGTACCTACTGGTAACAACAACCCATATATTACAGTATATAAGCCCTACCCTGGTCCCGGCAATATTGATCAGCCTGTCACTATCACTGCTGCGACTCCTTCAGGTGGCCAGCCAGGCACGATCATCATTGAGACACCTACACCGGAGGTCAACACCAAGTTTGCCCCGTCGCCAACTTCTTCGCCGCCAGTTACCATCCCGGCTGATAACAACAACTATGTCACTGTCTATAGGCCACACACTGGACCTCCAATTACTGCGCCAATTACTGTCACTACCATTGCACCTTCGGGAGGACAGCCTGGCACCGTGATTATCGAGACACCAGGACCTGAGTCTCAGTCCGAGGCTCAGCCTACAACCACAGACAGCCCGCCTGTTACCATTCCTCAAGGTCAAGACGGATATGTGACAGTCTACCGGCCGTACCCCGGTCCAGGTGTTATCACAGCACCGGTTACCGTGACCACTATTGCGCCGACTAATGGTCAGCCCGGAACCGTGATCATTGAGACACCTGCTCCTGAGGCGCCAACTTCCTCCTCATCTGATGTGCCCCAAACTACAGCTTCTGCTGTCACCATTCCGGCTGATAACGCTGGCTATGTGACTGTATACAGACCTTACCCCGGACCTGGAGCAATCACCGCCCCTCTTACAGTTGGAACCGTTGCACCAACCAATGGTCAGCCTGGCACGGTCATCATTGAGACACCTGTGCCTCAAGCCGCACCGCAGACCACGTCAACCCCCGAAGTTACTTCTACTCAGGGAACTGATGGTTATATCACGGTCTTTCAGCCATACACCGGCACTGGTCTCATTACAGCGCCTATCACTGTCTCCACCATTCCTCCCTCTAACGGTCAACCAGGAACCATTATCGTTGAGACGCCTGTGCCTCAGGCTATAACGACCACAACTAGTGATGCTGCGCCTGTCACCATTCCGCCAGGCCCCGATAACTCGTACGTGGCGGTCTATAGACCTCATACGGGTAATGACGTTATCACGGCACCTGTGACTGTTACTACTATTCAAGGAGTTAACGGTCAGCCTGGAACCATCATTATCGAGACACCTGTGCCCCAGGATCCAACCACCACGACCAGTGATGCTGCACCTGTGACTATCCCACCCAGTCCAGACAGCTCCTACATCACTGTCTATAGGCCACACACAGGAACTGATGTCATTACTGCCCCTGTGACCGTAAGTACCATCCCAGGTGTCAATGGACAGCCCGGAACAATCATTATCGAGACTCCTGCGGCCCAGGATACCAATGCGCTTAGCACTGCCCCTGCAAGCCCTGGTAGTACATATGTCACCGTATATCGTCCGTATCCTGGACCAGGCAATATTGATCAGCCCATCACGGTCACAACGATTGAGCCCTCTAACGGGAACCCGGGAACTGTTATCATCGAGACACCTACTCCAGATGTCAACACGAAGGTTGCACAGCCTCCCGTTACACTCGATCCTGGGCCAGGCGATCAGTATGTTACTGTCTACAGACCTTACACAGGTACTGGAGTTATCACTGCGCCTGTTACCGTTAGGACCATTGCTCCTTCAGGTGGCCAGCCCGGAACAGTTATCATTGAGACTCCTGAACCAGAAACCCCTGGCCCCAATCCAACAGTTACTTTGCCTGCTGGTCCCAACGAGTCTTACATCACCGTGTTCCGACCTCATACGGGCACTGATGTGATTACTGGTCCTGTCACGATCACAACTATCGCTCCAGCCAATGGTCAGCCCGGTACTGTCATCATTGAGACTCCAGTTGAGTCTGAGCGTGCCTCTACTCCTGCTCCTGTTGATTCAGCAACCAGCGCTCCTCCTCAAGCTACTTATGTTACGGTCTACCGCCCTCACACTGGAGCAGACCGCATCACTGCGCCAGTTACTGTCACAACCATTGAGCCTTCAGGAGACCAGCCTGGAACTGTCATCATTGAGACCCCTGATCAGGATCTGCCTCCTGTGACAACCTCTGCTGGACCTCTTGCTACCTATGTGACGGTTTACCGACCCCACACAGGAGCAGACAGGATCACAGAACCGGTCACTATTACGACTATTGAGCCGACCAACGGCCAACCCGGTACAGTTATCATTGAGACTCCAGGACAGCAAGCGCCTCCTGTGACGACCACCCCTGCCCCTGCTACTTACATAACTATCACCAGACTCTACACCGGAATAGACCAGATCACAGAACCAATCACAACCACTATCCCTCCCCAAGGTGATCAGCCTGGTACCGTGATCGTTGAGACTCTGGGCCAGCAAGTGCCGCCGGTAACCTCAACGCCTGGTCCTGCTTCATATGTGACCATCACTAGGCTTTACACAGGTACAGACCAGATTACAGAGGCCATAACGAGCACCATTCCCCCTCAGGGTGACCAGCCTGGAACTGTCATCATTGAGACACCTGGCCAGCATGTGGCCGCTATGACCTCCACTTCCGCTCCTCCTTCTTATCTGACAACGACGGTTCCCTATACTGGCACCGACCAGATTAGCGTACCTGTTGTTACCACTGTCTCTCCTCAAGGCGACCAGCCGGGAACTGTCATCGTTGAAACACAGGCTCCGTTTGTGACAGTCTATCGTCCGCATACTGGGCCAGATCAGATCACCGGTCCAGTCACTGTCACGACCATTGCTCCCACAGGAGATCAGCCAGGAACAATCATCATTGAGACCCCTGGTGCGGCCCCTGCCATCACAACTACACCACCTGCGCCATCGTATGTCACTATCACTACTTTGTACACCGGAACAGAGATACTTAGTGAGCCCACGACCGTCACTACGATCCCCCCTCAAGGCGATCAACCCGGCACTGTCATTGTTGAGACCCAGGGTCCTTTCGTGACAACTTCAACACTTTATACTGGAACAGGTGTAATCACAGCCCCGAGTGCCCTTACAACGATTCCTCCTCAGGGAGGGCAGCCTGGAACTGTTGTTATTGGAACACCAGGATCATACGTCACAACGACTGTTCTGTATACTGGGTCTGACTCGATTACCGGCCCCACAGCTTTTACAACCATTCTACCCCAAGGTGATCAACCTGGCACGGTCGTTGTTGGAACTCCTGGATCTTATGTCACAACAACGGTGCTTTACACTGGCGCCGATTCGATTACTGGGCCCACAGCTCTCACAACGGTCCCCCCTCAAGGCGACCAGCCTGGCACCGTTGTCATTGCCACACCTCCTTCGTATGTCACAACAACTATTCCTTACACCGGAACCGAGCAGATCACTGCGCCGATCACAGCTACTACCATTTCTCCCTCAGGGAACCAGCCTGGAACTGTTGTCATCGAGACTCAGGCCCCATTTGTCACGATCTATCGCCCTCACACTGGCATCGACAGAATCACTGCGCCTGTTACGATTTCGACCATTGCCCCATCTGGTGACCAGCCAGGTACGATTGTGGTCGAAACCCCTGGCGCAGAACCTCCTGTCACTACATCGCCTCCTGCTCCAACATACACGACAGTTTATGAGGAGTACTCTGGCACCGATGATATTACTGAGCCTGTCGCCAAGACTACTATTGAGCCACAAGGTGACCAGCCTGGCACCATTATCTTTGATACTCCTGCCCAGCGAGTCGTGTCCACCAGTGATGCACAGCCTTCATATGTTACGGTTTACCAGCCTCATTCTGGCCCAGACAGAATTACCGCCCCCGTTACCGTCACTACCATCCCGCCCCAGGGAGATCAACCAGGCACTGTTATCATTGAAACACCAGGTTCGGAGCCTGCTATCACGTCGACGCCTGCCCCCGAGCCATCTTATGTGACAGTATATCAGCCCCATACTGGGCTCGACAGAATTACTGAGCCTGTCACGATCACAACCATTCCTCCCCAGGGCGGCCAGCCAGGTACAGTGATCATTGAGACGCCAGGCTCTGAACCCCCAGTCACCTCAGGACCCGCCCCAGAGCCTTCATACATTACGATCTATCAGCCACACACTGGTCTTGATAGAATCACCGAGCCTGTCACGGTTACAACTATCCCTCCCCAAGGCGACCAGCCTGGTACCGTGATCATTGAGACACCGGGAGCTGAGCCTCCTGTGACATCAGGACCTGCTCCTGAACCTTCTTACATTACAATCTATCAGCCACACACCGGTCTTGATAGAATCACCGAGCCCGTAACAGTCTCGACTATTCCCCCACAAGGCGACCAGCCTGGTACCGTGATCATTGAGACACCGGGAGCCGAGCCTCCTGTGACATCAGGACCTGCTCCGGAGCCTTCATATGTGACAATCTATCAGCCCCATACCGGATCTGATAGAATTACTGAGCCTGTTACACTCACAACTATCCCTCCTCAAGGAGATCAGCCAGGCACGGTTATTATTGAAACGCCTGGCTCGGAGCCCCCTGTCACTTCAACCCCAGCTCCTGAACCTTCGTATGTCACGATCTATCAGCCATACACTGGCACGGATCAGATAACTGCTCCAGTCACACTGACCACTATCGCACCATCTGGGGATAAACCTGGAACCGTCATCATTGCAACGCCTGGGTCCGCGCCTCCAGTCACATCAGCCCCTGCGCCTGAGCCCTCATATGTGACAGTTTATCGACCTTACACCGGCTTTGGCCAGATTACCGCGCCGGTCACAGTGACCACAGTCGAGCCTCAAGGAGATCAGCCGGGTACAGTCATTATTGAAACACCCGGCTCAGCTCCTCCAGTCACATCCACGCCGGCCCCTGAGCCGACATACATCACAGTCTATCGCCCATACACAGGTGTTGGTCAAATCACCGCTCCGGTGACAGTTACGACTGTCGAACCTCAGGGAGACCAGCCAGGCACCATCATCATCGAGACCCCAGGATCTGAACCCCCAGTGACATCAACGCCTGAGCCAGCACCCCAGCCTTCGTATATCACGATATACAGACCTCACACAGGTGCCGATCAAATTACCGCACCGGTCACGATTACAACAATCGAGCCACAAGGCGATCAGCCAGGCACGGTAATCATTGAGACTCCTGGCTCTGAGTTGCCTGTTACCTCGACTCCTGCACCAGCGCCAGAGCCTTCATACGTGACAGTCTATCGACCTCACACAGGCGCTGATCGGATCACTGCACCGGTCACAATTACGACAATCGAGCCTCAAGGGGACCAACCAGGAACTGTGATCATCGAGACGCCGGGCTCTGAGCCTCCTGTTACCTCAACACCTGCTCCCTCGTATACCACCATCTACGAGACTTACACTGGTACTGGTGAGATTACAGGCGAAGTGACTGTCACAACCATTCCTCCTCAGGGTGACCAGCCAGGTACTGTCATCATTGAGACACCGGGCCCGCAAACCGCAAACAAGGGAGCGAGCCCTCCTCTGACTATTCCTGCTGGAGATGATAGCTACGTGACGGTCTTCAGGCCTTTCACAGGAACCCCTATGATAACAGCGCCTGTCACAGTTACGACCATCTCTCCGTCTGCTGGCAACCCGGGTACTGTTATCATTGAAACACCTGCACCTGAAGCCGCAGCTACCACATCGGGACCTGGGGATGTTTATGTTACCGTCTACACCATTTACACTGGCACTGGCCAGCTCACAGCGCCAATTACGGTCACAACGATTGCTCCCGTCTCTGGAACTGGTACCATCGTCGTTGAGACTCAGGCCGAGGCTACCACTCCTCCGCCTGTCACGATCCCGCCTAGTGACAATAGCCCCAACATCACCATTGTGCGTCAGTATCCTGGCCCGGGAGTCATCACTGCCCCTGTGACCTCTTATGAGCCACCAAGTACGCCTGGACAGCCTGGAACGATCATCATTGAGACTCCAGCCCCCATTTCTGAGACTACATCTGAGGCACCAGGCACCAATGTTACTCTCTATACCTTGGCTCCCCCAGGCGTCAAGACTCCCATCACCAGTTACGCACCCCCACAAACACCAGGCCAGCCAGGAACTGTTTTTATTCAGACGGTGGCTACTGATGCTGAGTCTGCCTCTGAGGAAGGCAGGAACGTGACTATTTACACTGACGGTCCTGATTCTCTTACTGCACCGTACACTACTTACTACCCTCCTGGCTCCCCTGGAGATCCCGGAACCGTGCTCATTGAGACTCCTCCTCCAGTTCCTACTGGTCCTGCCTCAGTATCGGCAGTGCCCACCACTGATGATTCAGCCAGTGGCATCACAACACCTGCTTCAAGCAACCCCGATGCACTCACCTTGACTCCGAGCGATAGCAACGATGACTTTACTGTCATAGAACCCAACACCAGGTTCGCTGATGCTAGCGAAAATGTCACACAGATTATCCCCGCCACTGATGGAACCCCCGGAACACAGATCATCTACACACCTGTGGATACATCAGGAGAGTCATCCGCTGGTGCACCAGATACTGACAGTTATGTTACCATCAGTGCGACAGTAACTATTCCTGGCGATCCCTCAACACGTACCGGGCTCAACTCCGACGTCGGAAGTGACGCGGGTACCACTGGCGCGGAAACCAATGTCATCATTATTCCCCCAAGTGGTACTGAACCAGGAACTGTTCTCTCGCAAACTAGTGTTTACCTGGATCAGGCCTTGGCTGAGCACGGAAATGTGACGATCACCAGGACAGCACTTAGTGGTGTTACTACGAGGTTCACCACCTACTCGCCCCCAGCTCAACCAACTGATCCAGGAACCATCATAATTGAGATTCCAGACTACAATGTCACCATCACGAGGGCAGCTCCTACTGATATCACGACCACAATCACAACCTACTCGCCTCCTGCAACGCCTGGCGACCCAGGTACTGTCATCATCGAGACGCCTGATTACAATGTCACTATCACCCGTGAGGCGCCCGCATCTATTACAAGCCTCCGCACAAGCTACGCTTCTCCAGGAACTCCTGGCGATCCTGGCACCGTGATCGTTGAAACTCCAAACAACGACTACAACGTGACCATCACTCGCGGCGCCTCGATTACAGCGCCCTTTACCACATACTCGCCTCCTGGTGCCTCGGGAGATCCAGGCACCATTATCGTCGAGACCCCAGATTATAATGTCACCATTACTCGAGAGGCACCAGCCTCGATCACTGATGTACGGACGACATACAATCCTCCAGGCACTCCAGGCGATCCGGGAACTGTCATTGTCGAGACACCAAACAATGCCTACAACGTCACCATCACAAGGGCAGCTCCCGCTTCGATTACAAGTATATACACCACATACTCGCCTCCGGGTGCTCCTGGTGATCCAGGCACCGTTATTGTTGAGACACCCGACTACAATGTTACTGTTACTCGTGGTGCCTCGATTACGGCCCCTTTCACGACATACTCGCCCCCAGCTACACCTGGCGATCCTGGTACTGTCATTGTCGAGACACCCGATTACAATGTCACCATCACACGAGAAGCACCAAGAACCGTCACAACCTTACGTTCATCGTATGCCCCACCTGGCACTCCCGGCGATCCGGGCACCGTTATCATTGAGACACCTCTTGGTCCTTACAATGTGACGACGACTCGCGGTGCTTCAACAATCACAGCGCCGTTTACAACTTACTCGCCTCCTAGTGGGCCTGGCGATCCGGGCACTATTATTGTTGAAACTCCTGACTACAATGTCACTGTCACCAGTGATGCTGACTCTACGGACTCTGCAACAGATGTTGTCACCAGGTATAACCCACCTGGCTCCCCAGGTGACCCAGGTACCATCGCCATCATCATGCCGAACCAGCGACTTGTGTCGACTTCTCAAGATCCATCCACTACCGATGATCCTGGACAAAATGTCACTGTCTACAGGCCTGGTCCACGAACTCTCACTGGCCCTGTCACTTCATACATACCTCCTGCGAGCCGTGGAGACAACGGTACGGTAATCATCGAGACCCCTGGCCCTGCCACTCCTTTCAATGTGACAATCACCCAGACTATCAGCACCATTACAGCGATCTACACTACCTACTCGCCGCCCGGTGCTGAAGATGATCCGGGAACCATCATCGTCGAAATGCCGCCCGATCGAAACGTGACCATCACAGAGGAGGTCAGCACTATCACGGCTCCTTACACAACATATTCTCCCCCTGGCTCGCCTGGCGATCCCGGTACTGTCATTATTGAGGTGCCCCCCGATCACAACGTGACTGTCACTGAAGTCATCAGCACTATCACCTCGCCGTACACAAGGTTCTCCCCACCTGCAAACCGTGGAGATCCTGGTACAGTATATATCGGGCTGCCCCCAGATTCCAATGTTACTATCACAACTGAGGTGGATTCAAGAACAGCGCCCTATACCACCTACTATCCTCCCGGTTCCCAGGGAGATCCTGGCACTATTCTTGTTGAATTGCCTCCTGGTCGTAACGTCACGATCACCACCGAAGTCGCGAGCCGAACTGCACCTTATACAACATACTCAGCGCCGGCTAACAGAGGAGATCCGGGTACCATCATCGTGGAGATGCCTCCTGACAGCAATGTCACAATCACCACCGAAGTCCCTAGCAGGACAGCTCCTTACACCACGTATTCCCCACCGGCGAATAAGGGCGATGCTGGCACCATCATCGTAGAGCTTCCTCCTGATAGGAATGTCACGGTCACGACAGAGGTGGCTAGTCTCACAGCCCCATATACTACCTATGCGGCCCCTGCCACCAAGGGCGATCCAGGAACCGTCATCGTTGAAATGCCGCCTGACAGGAATATCACCATCACAACTGAAGTGCCCACTCGCACCGCTCCGTATACGACATATTCTGCTCCAGGAACTCCAGGCGATCCGGGCACAATTATCATTGAATTGCCTCCTGATCGCAACGTGACTACTACGGAAGAGATCCCTACATTGACCCAGGCCTATACTACTTATTCGCCGCCGGGCAACCGCGGTGATCCCGGCACTGTCATTGTACGACTCCCGCCTGACAGGAACGTGACTAGAACGACCGAGATTGCTACACTGACTGCTCCATATACAACCTATTCTCCACCTGCAAACAGAGGCGATCCTGGTACTATTATCATCGAATTGCCTCCTGATAGGAATGTCACCACTACGGAAGAGGTCAGCACAATCACCCGGGTCAGAACAACATATATGCCTCCCGCCAATCAAGGAGATCCCGGCACAGTCGTTATCCAAGAGCCTCCGGACACCAACACGACTATCGTTGATGTCGTGTCCACGATCACACGCCCGGCCACTCGGTTTATACCCGCTGCCACGAAGGGTGATCCAGGCACTGTCTATATCGATGTGCCACCAAACCACAACGTTACAATGACCACAACTGTCAGCACAATCACTCGGCCAAGCACAACGTTTGAGCCCCCTGCCACTGAAGGCGATGCAGGCACTGTACTCGTCCAGATGCCCCCTGAGTACAATGTCACCACAACGCAGACTATTGAAACAATCAGTAGGCCAGTTACTCGGTACTCTAGCCCTGCTGAGATTGGCGACCCTGGCACCGTGTATCTCGATCTACCACCCGAGTACAACGTCACTGTCACAACCACGATCTACAGCATCACACGACAGAGCACAACCTTTGCTCCCGGTGCTACCCAAGGCGATCCTGGCACTATCATCATTGAGATGCCTCCTGAGTATAATGTGACTACAACACAGACTGTTGAGACAATCAGCAGACCAGTCACTCGGTACTCGAAGGCCGGTACTGTTGGCGACCCCAACACTATCTATGTTGACCTTCCACCGGAATACAATGTCACTGTAACAACAACAGTCCCCACAATCACGAGACAGTCAACGACATTTGCTCCTGCTGCCAATCAAGGCGATCCTGGCACTATCATTATCGAAATGCCGCCTGAGTATAACGTCACGACGACTCAAACCGTTGAGACCATCAGCAGACCGGTCACTAGATACTCGAAGCCTGATACTATCGGCGATCCCGGCACTATCTTTGTTGATTTGCCGCCGGAATACAATGTTACTATCACGACTACCGTCGACACAATCACGAGACCTTCAACTACCTTTGCCCCAGCAGGTACCCAAGGCGATCCGGGCACCATAATCGTCGAACTTCCGCCTGACTCTAATGTCACAACAACTCAGACTATCTCTACGATCTCGAGACCCACCACCCGTTACTCTCGTCCAGGCACAGTTGGAGATCCAGGTACCGTGTATGTTGATCTCCCGCCGGAGTATAACGTCACTATCACCACGACCATCGAGACCATCACGAGGCCTTCAACCACCTTTGCTCCAGCTGGAACTCAGGGCGATCCTGGCACCATCATTGTTGAGCTCCCCCCTGATTCCAATGTCACAGTCACATCAACAGTCCCTACCATCAGCCGCCCTGCCACACGCTTTGCAAGCCCTGCAGCCGTGGGTGATCCTGGCACCGTTTATGTTGATCTGCCGCCGGAGTATAACGTCACTACAACCGAGACTGTCAGTTCAATTACTCGTGTCCGAACTACTTACATGCCTGCGGGAACACAAGGTGATGCCAACACGGTTCTTATCGAGGTCCCTCCGGACTACAATGTCACATCCACGGAGACCGTCAGTTCGATCAACAGGGTCAGGACGACTTATATGCCCGCCGGTACTCAGGGTGACCCGAACACCGTCCTTGTCCAAGTTCCTCCTGACTACACGGTCACTACAACTGAGACTGTCAGTTCGATTACTCGTGTCCGAACTACTTATATGACCGCCGCGACACAGGGTGACCCTAACACGGTCCTTATCGAAATCCCTCCTGATTATAACGTCACATCAACCGAGACCGTCAGTTCGATCAACAGGGTCAGGACGACATACATGCCCGCGGGAACCCAGGGTGACCCCAACACAGTCCTTATCCAGTTTCCTCCTGACTACACCATCACAACTACTGAAACCAACAGTGGTATCAGCCGTGTCAGGACCTCATATATGAGTGCTGCAACACAGGGCGATCCCAATACAGTCCTCATTGAGGTTCCGCCGGATTATAATGTCACATCAACCGAGACCATCAGCACGATCAATAGGGTCAGGACATCATATTATCCTGCCGGCACCCGAGGAGATCCTAATACAGTTCTCATTCAGGTTCCTCCTGACTACACTCTAACAACGACCGAAACCAACAGTGCGATCACTCGGGTTAGGACCACCTATATGCCTGCTGCCACCCAGGGCGATCCTAACACCGTTCTCGTTGAAGTCCCACCGGATTCCAATGTGACGACAACCCAGACCAACAGTGCGATCACTCGGGTTAGGACCACCTATATGCCCGCCGGTACTCAGGGTGATCCCAACACCGTACTTATTGAGGTCCCTGTCGACTACAACGTGACCACCACTGAAACCAACAGTGCGATCACTCGGGTTAGGACCACCTATATGCCCGCCGGTACTCAGGGTGATCCCAACACCGTACTTATTGAGGTCCCTGTCGACTACAACGTGACCACCACTGAAACCAACAGTGCGATCACGCGGGTTAGGACCACCTATAACCCCGGTGCAACTCAGGGCGACCCTGGAACAATTTTGGTTCAGGTCCCAGTTGACTATAACGTGACCACCACTGAGACTGTTAGCACAATCAGTCGAGTTAGAACGACATACAATCCTGCCTCTGTTCAAGGTGACCCCAACACAGTTCTTGTACAGGTCCCTGTTGACTATAATGTCACTACCACCCAAACAGTCAGCACGATCAGTCGGGTCAGAACGTCTTATTACCCAGCTGCTACTCAAGGCGACCCTAATACGGTCTTGGTCCAGGTCCCAATGGACTATAACGTGACAGTCACCCACACAATCACAACTATCAGTCGTGTCAGGACAACGTATGGTCCTGCTGCCACACAAGGAGATCCGGGAACCATATTCGTGGACGTACCGCCGGAGTACAACGTCACTGTCACATCAACTGTCAGTACGATTTCGAGACCTTATACAACCTATTCTGCGCCTGGCACACAAGGTGATCCAGGAACCATCTGGGTAAGACTTCCGCCTGCATACAATGTGACAACCACTCAGACGGTCCCCACGATCACTCGCATGTCTACGACATATGCCCCGCCAGCTACGCAGGGTGACCCCGGAACCTTCATTGTGCAGGTCCCCCCTGACCGTAACGTCACTACCACTGAGACTGTTCCCACGATCTCTCGACCTGCAACCAGATATGTGGCCCCGGCTACTCAGGGAGATCCAGGTACAGTTGTGGTGCAGATGCCACCGGAGTACAATGTCACGACAACACAAACGGTATCAACTATCTCTCGCGTTGCTACTACGTATAACCCTCCAGCTACGCAGGGAGATCCAGGTACCATCGTTGTGCAAATGCCCCCTTCGTACAACGTCACGTCAACGCAGACCGTTTCAACCATATCTCGACTTGCAACTGCATACTCTGCCCCTGCTACGCAAGGTGACCCCGGAACCGTCTGGATCCGGATACCTCCTGAGTATAACGTCACGTCAACGACTACAGTCTCAACTATTTCCCGGCTCACAACCACATACGCACCCCCGGCTACTCAAGGTGATCCGGGCACTTTCATCGTGAGAGTACCTCCATCTTACAATGTCACCACGACGCAGACCGTATCAACCATTTCACGTGTTGCAACAGCCTACTCGCCGCCGGCCACCCAAGGAGATCCTGGTACTGTCATTATACAGATGCCTCCGGCTTATAACGTCACTACCACAACCACTGTCTCAACTATTTCCCGGCTTACAACAACTTACGCACCGCCAGCTACTCAAGGCGACCCAGGTACCTTCATTGTGCGGGTACCTCCCAAATACACTGTCACGACGACACAAACAGCCAGCACTATTACCCGACCTACTACTATCTTTGCGCCTGCACAAACTCAAGGCGATCCCGATACTGTTATCGTGGAATACCCCCCTCCTTACAATGTCACGGTCACTACAGCTGGACCGACAACGCTTACTGCACGGTACACTACATACTCACCACCTGGCCAACCTGGCGATCCCGGTACCGTCATCGTCGAGATGCCACCGAGTCGCACAGTCACAATCACTACAAACGGCGGCACTACAATCTCTACCCCTGTTACCTCCACTTACGCTCCGGGTCAGCCTGGCGACCCTGCCACCGTGGTCATCGCAACCCCAGCTCCCCGATCTACTACATCTACAACATCTTCCAGGCCGCTCACCACCAGCAGCACTACAACTACTGCGCCGGCAGCCACTGTCTCCTTCAATTGTGACGTCTACGGTTATCTCATGCAGAAGACAGCTCTCTACCGTGTCGAGATCACATCTGGTAAGACTACCCTTATCAAGAGTGATGTCGGTCCTGGTGGTTGGATCAACGCCATCGGTTACAACCGTTTCGACAACTACATCTACGGTATGCACATGGACGATACGGGATCTCAAGTTATCCGTATTGGTGGCGACGGTGGTTGGACACTGCTCGGCACTCGTACCAATGACCGTCTCGTTCAGATGGGTGATATCGATAACCAAGGTCGCTTCTGGATCTCGAACCAGGGAGAAGGCTGGTGGTGTATCGATCTCATGCCTGGTTCGGCCACTTACGGCAAGATTCTCATGAGCGGCACCGCCAAGAACCCTCTCAACTCTGCCGACTGGGCCTTCGTCCCTGGAGGAGGCGACTTCATGTATTCCATCATGTACGACGACCAAGGCAAGACATCCACGCTATGCAAGTTCAGCCGTACCACATACACATGGACAACCATCCAGGGCTTTGGTATGATTGCTGGTCAGAACGTATGGGGAGCCGCCTATGCTTCGCAAGACGGAAACCTCTACGGTTCAGAGAACACCAGTGGTCAGATTTGGAAGTTCCCTATCGCACCTTCGGTGGGAAGTCCCAAGTTCCTGGCAACAGGTCCATCGTCGTCCTGGAACGATGGTGCAAGATGTATCGACAGTCAGACCCTATAAAGCTAAGACGCATAGGCTCTCGACACCTAATCCATTTCCTATGTCTGTTTACAGTCGGACTCTCTAAGAAGTCACGACCCGAATTCGTTTCCTATGTGTCCACTGTCAGACCCTCGAGTCCCAGACCAAGAGGTTCTGACACGAATTCGTTTCCTATGTCTGCACTTGTACCTGTACCTGTACCTGTACCTGTATCTATATACGATGTATAATAGCTAGTTATTATTAAGATTGTTGGTATATTTGCTTCCATTAATTGACAGCACTTGTCTTGTTCAAACATTGTGACCCGTATCCATCATTTCACCAGCTGCATATTCCCGCGATGTCCCAGATTTGTTCAACATCATCCGACGGCGTCAGTACACAAAGTCATTTTTTTATTTCTTTACAATGTGGATATAGATGCCCGTTGTCTTCTCGGCAAACAATCACTCCGCTTCAAAACCCATCATATCATCCTCAGTCGTGTCTCAACACTGTGACACTTACAAAGATTGGCTGCACCAGGACATATTACCTGACGCTTTACCTAGCTCAGTCGAGTAAACATTCCTACATGCGAACTGCGAAAGGCTTCAATCAAGGTTTTGAACCTATCCTTCCCCCAAAGCCTCACAGTTTCTTGCCGAGGGGCAATCTGAGACAGTGCAGTAGAGACAGTGCCTTGAGTCTATGGACACTGTCACCGTACCAGGCACTTCCTTATTGTAGCTTCTTCTGCTGCACTTGTGGTCTGGCTGCGCCTTTGTCGCCATCACCGCTCAACATCAACTTTCTCATACGTGTCTGCAGAATTTTTGTGAGAAGTTTGTAACTAGACTAGCACTCAAATGACGGCTACATCGTGCTACCTGAAGATTTACTGAGTCAGAAACTCCGAAGTGACATTCACTTAGTTCATGCAGATCAAATCACTACCCGCGTTCTAATAAACTAATTATAAGCTTGTTCTAAACTTAAAACAGGCACACTATTCATTCCTAGACTACTGTTCTCTCTCTAGAGGCATATGGCAACCTCATCTGCAGCCATGAAATCTTCGACATTCTCACGCTGATGTATAAGAGAGGTCAAGTCAAGGCATGAGGCTCTAGTTACAGAACTTGAGAATAACGAGTTGGAGAAGAGCTCTCATAGCTGTCAGCTTGATACATTTTGTTAAGATATCATATACGCCTCAGTAGGTTGACTTGCCAGCAAACTCGATAACTATATCAGATATTGCATTCTTCGTCATGGTCACGACAGATGACATGTTCTACTCCCTATGTTAAAACCTCGATCATTTCTTTCCTAGCCACCTGTTTCTTCCCACTTTAAACTCACTTCGTCCACATCTTTCCAAGCTCACTCTCTTTTTCCTATTTTCCACAAACAGGTTTCAAATTCTGACATTTGATTCAAATACTTGTAGCCTTTGCCTATCTTTTACACTGTCGTCTGAGAAATCGGGGCTAATGTCTGAAGGTTGGCAATCTGACCAAGCCAACCAGGAGCACATTTCTTCAGTCCCTAGCAACCACTTTAGCCTCCCGAACCACGAACCTGAGAGTGCTTCCTCATCCTAACTTCTTCATCACTATGTCAACACTTTCAAAACTCAGTACCTACTCAAGACGGTATCGGCACTGAGTCAGTTCATGCCCTGTGATCTCTGGACAATCAATCCACCTATTCACAAGATAGCGGCCTCTGGGCAGCTTGCAGGGAGCCAAAGCATGTCGTGGAGAGCCACTTTCGTTTGCAATGTTACGAGAAAGTTGGAGAGAAGAACAACAGCTCGAGCCTCAAAATCTAGGGCCATAGAAAATCACCGAGTTGATGCACTTTCGAAGCTAAGGCTCGAAGGACAGCTATTCCATCAATTTGTCTTATCAAAAACCTATTCGTCCTCCTGTCTGATTGAGCGATATGCGTCTGCGCACACTTATTAGCACTTGAATCACGAATATCGAGAACATTGATGGGATTTGATCAATAATGGTACAGTAAAGCAAAAGATATCAAGCTCTGTCTATGACGACCATTAGCAAATCCCGTACCAGCTCATCCTGGCCAGCCATACAAGACCGACAGGCCCAATCGACTACTGATTACCAGATCAAGATGCGAGTCAACAAAACCTCCGGAGGAGCTCTGGAGCCAAAAGGTCTTCCGTACAGATGTACGGCGTTTCCAGTCGTACCATATCTTGAATTGGGAGTCTCTATGGGATTACATGTATCAGGTCGACGAAGGCGAGCGGAGGCATTGCGAAGGGTTTCTCATGTCCGCTGAATCAGGGGCTGGGGGTGATATGATCAGAGCAACGAAACTCACGTGCTGCACGAATATTTCCAAGTTTTCGATGTCGTAGCATGCGTTGAGTGTTGATTGATATCGTCTACTGTCAATTTGGGTAAGGCATGAGAAGGGAGCCAAGAATACGTGGAATTATATAGACCACAGCAACTGGATTACCAACTATTCAGGGGGACAATTTCAAGGATAAAAAAGACACCAGTATCAAACCTTAGTCGCTCACCGAATATCCGTGTTCTTCTCGCTTCTCAGCTCAGAATTTCGCGTCAACGAAATTCAAATTTCCAAAGGAAGCTTCGCAACCAAATTTCTTCGGAGAATCTTCCCTCAACTTCCTATTCAGCATCACCATGAGTCACCCAGCTCCACGTAACCTTCCGCAGGCAGAAGATAGCTTAGCAATTCTACCATGAGCACAAGATATACCCTGATGTGAATAGAGTAAAAGAGATGATCCGTCGGTGCGTTGACACAGCAGGTGATCATCAACAAAGTCAGGGGCGGAGCTTTTGCAGCGGCTCGATGTGATGAAGCTCAAGGAACAATTTACGAATCCAACGACATGTCAAGAATCACACCAAGGATCCCCCTCTCAGAGAAATGAGCGGTGAATAATCAGGTCGACTCCAGTAGTTTCGTCCAACTCCTGTCTCCATGTGGTCAGCAGTTTTCAAACGTAGTTGTTCATCACTTACAATAACACAATCCAAGAGCTCCTTCTGTTACCCGCAAACCCTGATGCCTCGTAATGGCATATTTGCCTCTTTCAGTGATATTCTTCAAGTGTCTTCTTTTTTCTCTGAATGAGTCACTTCTCTCGTGATGAAAACACACCAACACGACGCGCAAACTTATCTGCGTCAGCCGCAAGAACCGCCTTAGTCTTCAGCCTTTACCGCTATAGCCTCAACTCCCCGTCGAACTAGTAGCCTCTCTAGCCGGCAATGTGCAAGTCCCACTGCGTGAGATACGCCGACTATTGGAGCCTGTTGGTTAGGTACACCGTTGCTTGAGAAAGGTCCCGCTACTCCTACCAACACCTTCCATGATGAAGTCCAAGCCACCAACGTTACCTTGTCCTCGGACGGCTCTATCCCCTGCTGGAAGCGAAGGAACTAGAAGCTTCGACTCCCAGTGCAATGGGTATTGAGGAGTTATCACTCCGAGAAGAGCCAGAGGATCCGCTCTTGGAAAGACAACAAGGCTGAACAGGCTAGAACGTCAGCGTGTATAGATTGCATGGGGGTTTACCTCGTCTCGTCGCAGTTCTGGATGGATTCTTGTGGCTTGGCATCTCAACAAGGAAGCACAAGGATTGCCCTTGCGGCTCGTCCGACGCCTGTGCTTTGTTGAAGAAACGGTTATGCATGCATGCATGATGTAGGGCATAGCTAGCTGATTGACTCTATGCTCAGAACGGCATAGCCAGCCGATGGAGCATCAGGTTGGCCGATAGATATTGGAGATATCTGCCCAACTTTAGGTAAGAGAACTGAGACCTGAGACTTGTAAGCCCCGTGGCTATTCGTGTTCGCTGGTTCGTCAAATACTATCGTGCGTACGCAACCAGTAGCCATTGTGGCAACAGTATTCAAGCCCAATCTTGACTGTCCTCAGCGAAAGCTATAGAATGTTGCATTCCAGTCAATCGGAATAGTCGTGTTCTTCGTAGAATCTTCTAGTAAACGGCAGTTGAGACGATATGACGTCAATGAGGCATCTTGACACCATCACAGCCATTTCCCCCTCACTTTGTGCACACCAGCAGCACAGCACAGTATGAATTTCGACTCTTCTGTAAAATCCATGCCACTGAGGCATCGGTGGCTTTTTTTCCCTGCAAAGCCAAGTATGACTGCAGCAATGCGTTGCAATACTCGGAGATGGCTCCGGGCTTTTTTTTTTTATCAACGCCTGATTGGACGCTGGACTCGTAGGAGTAAACTCTCCGCTTGGAGTAAGAGAAAAGTCCCCCTTGAGATTGCTCGTATTTCCGCAATGAAGTGCGGAAATCGCATATCGTATCGCATCTTATCTCATCACACAGCTGATATGCATGGTTTTGCAGGGTAACGATTTCCCCATCCCCAGCGTCACGATCCACCCCGGAAGACCCTCTCCGACTTGACTTGACCTGACCGCTGAGGCCACTTAAGTCATGGATCAGCCTCATTTGAAGCGATGTAAAAAATTTGACCACTGGTGTGATGAGGAATCCTTCCGGTTTGTCGTAGATCACTCACCGCCTAGCCTCTGTTCCCCTGCTTTTGTGGATGCCTAGCTGTCTGTCAGTCTCCAGATGCTTTAGCAAAAAATCAAGACCAACCCCAAACCTGAAAGTGTCTGGGGCAAAAACTTAACGGCCGCTGATGTTTCACCCTCCAAATGGTAAACAGGGGTCCCTTGGGCGACCCCAATTCCGTCTTGTATCCGTGCTGTGAACACAGAAGCAAACTGAAGCCAATCCGAGCCCGAACAACTGATGCATCAAATTTTGAGAAACGAGCCGCGAAAGCGCTTGCCACTAACATCCGTTCTTCAACCCGCTTCAACTCATCATCAAGTTACCCCTGTTAGTGGCTGAAGGTGGCTCTGCGCTTGTCGAACTTGGTAGTGGTGGCCCCAAAAGAGAAAGATCTTCAATATGCAGCTCTATTATCTTGCAACTGCTTCCAAACTCTAGCCCAATTGACTTCGAGAACTTAACTGATGGGATGTCGACAGCAGCTACGCCACAGCGTGGCCCACCACCATCCGTTCACCACTGCCGAACCCAACCAGGTGATGAAAGCAATGTGTCGCTTACGGTAACACCGAGTCCATCTCATTGCGTCGACCGAGGCTGTCTCGAATGTCCTATGACTTCCTTCCGATCTAGAGACCAAATATTTGCAATCTGCAGACCGTCATGATCGGGGAACAAGCTGCATGGCCAGGCTATCTTGATGGTCTAGACCCCGCGGCCGGGGGTCCGGTACGTGGCTGACAAGCCGGCCGGAGGTGCTACTTAACCTGCCTTTTAACAGGGTGCAAGGGTAGTCCCAAAAAGACACACACGGTTTCTCGAGAGATGCAATCAGAGGCAGCTTTAAACATTCGGGAACTTAATCCCTGTTCTGATCCTTACACATGACCCTGGGCTGTGGCGCAGCTGAATTGAAGCAGGCACATGTTCGTCCCACAAACCAAATACTGTGCAGCAAACAGAAGCATTTTTTGGGTGTTTTCAGCTAGTTTGAGGTGGATTTGAGAAAAAGGGTATTTCGGCCGCATTGGCGCTGGGCTAGCCCGGCCAGTAGAGTCGATATCGTGACGTGACGCCGTTCGATCTACCACAATAATACTCCATTCACGATCGTGGGTCCCGAGATCGCGGGCCACAACAAGGACCCTGACGGTGGTAGCGTCGGGATCCTTAGCTTGGGCCAACCCCAAATCAAATGCCAGAGTCACGGAATGGTATTAACCAGTCTGCCCTGTAACTGTTTTACCACACAGCTGTGCAAGACTTGCTATGTGACATGTTGAACACGCAGACAAGTCCGCTAGCCAACGGTGCCGTCCGAAGCTCCCGTATCGATTCCGAGGTGCAGAACGCCCGAGCCTGACTCTTTCGAGGCCCCGAACCGCTGGGTTTTTCTGGAGCCTTGTGCTGTCTGAGAATGGATGTCTCCAGTTGCGAATCGATGGCGCGGGTGTAACGGAGAGACACGTCCGATCTTTCAGGCCGGGCGCATCAGCAGCTCCGTTTAGTCGGTCAGCCGACCTCATTGTCAGCGTCAGTTGTCAATGCCAATGTCGATTCCAATTCTGCTAAAACGTGTATGGGAATCGCGAGTCAAGTCATGGATATGTAACCTTCGAGTTGGTTCATGAAGAAACTCGTGCTCTCATGTAAGAAAAGTGGACCCTGTTTGAGGTTCGTTTGTCCATACAGTACGTTTTGTAAGCGCTGCATTACCGCCCCCCGCCTACCATGCGGGTCAAGGAGCAAAAGCTCCGGGTACTTGACGGGTGCTCATCAGACAAGCGTAAAGGTAAGGTAGTGTTTTCCACCAAAAGTCGCTGCTCGGCGGACGCACAGGATTTTAATATCTCCTTCTTCAAAATGCCTCGTGGTCGCATGCTCTTGTTCCCTTTTCTATTTCGTGCGGTACCATCCGCTCGTCACCATGTCCCTCTTTTGCCACGAGCCCTCCAGGTAACGTCGCCCGGGGCCGAGACAACCAACCTGACGTGGACTCGTCTTCTCGCCTTTTTAAGCTCCGGTTGGGTACCTGTAACCCCCTGAAGCCCCCCTGGATATACCGGACACACTGGGCCTCGGTGGCAACCACGTCTTCACAGTACTTTCTTAGACGGCACGTTTGTTTCGACGCCACACTCCTTATATCAGCCCTATCCGGTTACTGTCAGAAAGCAACGGCTCCTGAGAATTGATCACCAGTATCTTTGTCTGTGGTAATTGTCAACTTGTCCCTACTTACTCATTCATGCGCCATCTTCAACGTTTCAACGTCATTGTCCATGTCGTTCGTGCGAGCCTCCCCCTTCCCAATTGTCGACTTCGATCATCACCTAATCGAACTTTAAGAACAAGCTCGAGTTCACGATAAATGTGCACGCAGCATTCGGCTGCATGCCACGTCTGCGGGAAAGATTATCTGGTTTATGTTGAATTCTGTCACTTCTTCCATCCGCCATTGCTTGTATGCCCACAAGGCCTGCTATTTCTTCGGAATGGTATGCGTGACGGACAGTGTCCAAGCCCAGTTTGTCCTAATAGTCTGAGAGGAGGCTGTCGGGTCATGTAAAACGCCTGTTATATATTCAAAATCTCGACCAAGGGGTTGTTACTGCATACTCCCTCTTTCCGATCCGCAATCGTTCCAACCATGTCTCTCAGAGCTTCTGTCCAGCTACTTCAACCTCCACGACTTGGTCGACTCCTTTGTACTCGGGGACCTCGAAGTCATATTTCTTTGCGATGGATGGAGTCACAAACCTATGCTGGAAGTTAGTTACCTCGAGACAGCGTTGTTGACTGGTACGTACCGCCCGCCGATAAAGTGTCGACCTTTGAAATGCTTCACTAGTGGCTTTGGTGCCGTTAGGCTAATAAGTGCTGTAGGCATGAAGGAACTGCCGAGTCCCGACTTTGGTGGACCATCTTCGATATCCCAGGATGAGGGAGCATCAACTGCTGTGACTGGCAGCTTCGTGTCCTGAAGAGCTTGAATCACAGCAGGAAATGGTTCTCGAACTTCTCCTGAAAAGCTGAAACCTAGCTGAACGGTCAGAGAATATCGCTATCGAAAAATTACAAGTACAAACCGAAGATCGCGTCGACAACATGATCCGTCGAGTTCAGCGCCGAGGAGAAGTCATCAACGAAAGGGACCTCAAGGTCTTCAAGTTGTTTTGCGAGTCGCTGGGAGCAGTATCAGCAACTGTTCAGCTTTCGGATATGGAATCGAGACGAGATGTGTTTGAAAGGCTGGGTACATCGATTTTCGGTGCACCGGTTGTTACCAACCATTCAACGATTCCCGCAGTACTGGTAGAAAACCGACAAGATAATTGTGAGAAGCACATAGCTGCAAGATCGCAGCAATGTTACGAACAAAACGTCATGCGACTCTCATGGTGAAGAACAGTGAAACCCGGATTTTCTTGGTAAACCTACCTGGTAGAGATCATTCTTGCTTCGTTTGGGATAGAAAACGCTCGGGCTGTAGCCGTACTGACGAAGATGACGAGCAGCGACTAGTCCATCACCACCTGATGCTGTTAGTGAGCATTATTGGTATTTGCAGGTAAGAAAAAAGCACCAACCGTTGTTTCCAGGTCCACAGGCAACAAGGATCCTGCGACCACTCTCGAGAGGCTGGAGACGATAGACTTATAATGTTAGCAGTTCATCGTCATGAGAAATGACATAGGCTTTGTGCGACCGAAGTGAAATCTTAACGGCTCGTGTGAGGTAGTCACTAACCAGCTTGAGAAACAGCAAGTCCAGCGAGCTCCATGAGCTGGTCAATGGAGAATGCTCCAGTGCTCATGAGCTCCTGATCAAGAGCAGCTGCAGCTTTGGCTCCGAGGGTCTAAAAAGGTCAGTGAATAAACGCAGAGCTATAATGAGAGAGTACATATGATTTACCTTGATCGCCATAATGCCTTTGAATCTTGTGTTCTTGATAGTGATCGATGAATCTTCGCAAAAGTTTCAGCGCAAACTAGATGCCGTATGGGTCCGAGCGATGTAAAAGCTGGGTGATTTCGAAAATGTCGTCAGTCAGGATCGGTTGAAATGTCCAGGGAGTCACGGACTGACATCACTCGGCAAGAGATGCTTCATCAGCCGTTGGAGCTCCATTTGGATAGCCACACTATTCCCGGTCGACTCCACCATCTTCCGAGTGAATAAGCCACATCGGCGAAAATAACCCCCGGCTCCGTGTCGAAATTGTCCCAACCTTCAGGATAGCAGTAACAACTGGTGATTGCTTTAATTCGTGGTCTTCAAGTCCCCCATATCGCCGCCATGGTTGTCAAGATCCGTCTCGCCCGATTTGGGCGCCGAAACCAGCCCTTCTACAATATTGTCATTGCCCACGCCCGGTGCGTCAGCCCATGATATATGTTACAATTGAGCGCACCATTAACAGGTATTTAGGACGGCTCGTAACTCCCGCCCGCTCGAGGTCATTGGCACATACGACCCAATTCCTAAACCCGACCCTTACGACACATCCGGAAAACTTCATAAGGATATCAAGCTCGATAGTCAACGCGCGAGGTATTGGATCGGTGTTGGTGCACAGCCCACAGACACAGCCTGGAGGTTACTTTCTATGGTGGGTATTCTACCAAAGAAGCCATTTGGCCCCAAGCAAGACAACACAAAGGGCGTCATAGACCAGGAGAAGGTCAGAATTCGATGAGTGGCCTAGGGGTTGTATGATTTGTACGAAAACGCATCTCTGGGCGTTGGTTTCAGGACGTTATCACGAAGTTCAGATGGAGTCGAAAACCCAGAGGGCCATATCAATGTCGAGAAGTATTGGGGCTCGTGCAGGCTACTGGATCAGAGACCTGTGCAGCAATCGAGGAAAACTGTATGATATTTGTTGGAAGGGTTCACATCACGACGGCCAATCCATTTTTTTTCGCTATTGTAATTGTATTGAAGCGCTACCCAATACCATGTCTAACTAAGTTTAAGCCATCTATTGAAGCAGAGACGCTGAGAAAAACATCATATGCCCCTTCTTACAACGCCTGTATCCAACATTTGTCATCCATGAGGCCGTAAGAGAAAATGATACAATTAATGAGTGACAGCAAAGAAAATGTTCAGAACAAGACACACGGTCATGACAACGGATCCGTATATCGCCAGTGCGAGGGCGAGTCTACGCAGATGGTGATGTTCGATGTGCTCGAGATCCCATCGCCACTTGCGTCTCCAACGCCATGAGTTTCGGTTGCTGCGGGTGCTGGCATTGCTAGCGATGCTCACACCACTGCGAACACTAGTTGTGCTCTGCGCCAGTGCAGCAGAGTCCTCCACATCTGAGGTGGGTGTGTCCTCGTCCATATCATCATCTTCCTTGGCCAGTCGTTGATGATGTATGCTATCTGGGTTACTGATTTTGTAGTAAAAAAGACCTGGGAGAATAAAGCTGATAGAAGTTGACCCGGTGCTGCCAACGAAGGCCAGGACACGATCAAGACTAGTGACTGAGAGAGCAGTCATGTAGGCGAAGGTGAGAATGAAAGTAGTGATCACAGCGAACCGGAGGTCAGACATCGGGGCGGTACTTCCATGATCGCCGGCCGGGGATGCTGGGAGTAATGGTGTTGCGGTTCGTCCGTTGTTCGACGAGTTACGGTTTGGTCGCCATTTCAATACAGCATCTAGTGAAGCTCGGCATGGGTGAACCTGCAAAGGAACAGAGAAAGTGACTAGTACAACAATGGCGGCTTTTCCGATTGTTGAAGCGGCTCCAGTAGGATCTGCCTTGGTTAGTTTGTGCAAGTATGAGCGGAGGTTAAACGTACACATTGAAACTATGTTTCCTACAACAGCATTGCCAAATGTAAGGTAACCGGTAATAGCCACAACAATATAAATTGACGCAGCAGAGCCAATGCTTGTGCCAACAACTCCAATAATGCTTGATGGTGAGTTATCCTTCAGTTCGTTGAGGATGGAGAACATCTAATTGTGTTAGCTGGATCATGAACTTGCAGAAGTTTGACATACGTTCTGATGGCAAGTATATGCAAACACAACGACTGGTAGAGCGCTCAATGTCTCAATAGCTCCGCCCCACTGGATCACTCTGATACTACCAGGGTCGGCGTGCTTGTCGGATGCAAAGTGATAGATCACCAAGACAATTAGATATCCGATGGAGACCAGCGCAACAATGCTGGTGTACTTCAGTGAGTCCAGCCTCCTCAGAAAGCTCAGAGGAATAATTATAAGCATAAACGCGGTGATCCAAAAGTTTCGATCGACCAGATACGGAGCGCTATTAGCGTTGCTGAGGAAGCCCAACACCACACCAGGCATAAGGTCTCCAATGATAATCATGTAAGACACGCCAACTCCGAAGCACTTAATTGCGATTGCAGCATCGAATATAACGGCGGCGTTGGGATAGGTGATTTGCGATAGGGCGAAGAAGGATGAGGTTCCTCGGTCGAGATATCGAGCGCATCGAGATTGTAGGTAAAGACCGAAAGCGGCAGTCAATCCAGACCACAATATCAGCACCACTCCCAACATGATACCCATATGTGACATAACTGAGGGCATGGCAAGAGTGCCAGCTCCAACAACTGCGCATCCTGTGTCAGCACGCGCCCATGGAGAAAGAGAGATAGCGAACGTACTTGTATTTAGCAGGTTTACGACACTGCTAATCGTAGTGGCTTGGCCTCCATGGCCGCCATCCTTATGACCGCGACGTCGAGGTCTAAGAAAGCTTTCGTCAGTGATGATGTTTTCTTAACTGATGTCGGCAGGCGAGGTCTCCTCACCTTGACATGTCGCCGGCACTTCTAAATAAAGAAGCGTTTCCATCAGATATTGTAGAGTAGTTCGTCATTACACGGCGATAAGGTGTATAGAGTCGTCGAGGATTCGGCGCGATCGCAAGGGGTAAAGCTGGCTGTAGTTAGGTTATGCGTCCGTCTGCTGTAATGTAGAGTCGTAGGTGTTGGAGGTATGTATGTTCGTTATCGCTGCGTTCCTCGGGATCCTAATCCGATTGCTGACTAGGCACGAGGCGGAGAGGCGGAAACTTGGTAGGCCAGCAGCCCTAGACCTGGTTGCGTCAATCCGGTCGCTGGTTGGTACTGCACCGTCCCGCGGCACAAAGGCCCCTGGCGAACAAACAGTTCAACACTCCCGTCCGATCACGACAGACCAAAACGGTAAGTCACGAGCGAAGTGCCAACGAGGCTGTTGTGGATGATTGAGATGCAGGAGGAAGAAGAAACAGTCAGGAGATGGTTTAGTACGAATTCCTGGCAGGGCCTGGTTGGGTCTCTTGTCCTGCCACGATCCTTAAAATAAATGACGGGGAACTGCTGGAGTGTTATGCCGAACTCATGCGGCCAATCAGCGCGCGCCAAGATCATGATTTGGCGAATCATCGGGCTTTTCTGACAAGCCATGATCCTAATCTGGGGAATAGCTTCAGGGCTTTCCAGGGGCATGAGACGAAGAGTATACCTCATACTTCTACAACGTCCTTATGATAGAGAGCAGTGGCTTGATATTCAACAAGTTTGCATATCTGATACTAGCAGATTAGTTCTAGCATCTCTACAATGCAATTTTTCATTTTACTTCTCTCATTCTCTAAACAAAATGCACCGCTTGATGCGACAACAAAGACCATGGTTCTGCAGGTCTCACAATTTCATGATATCCTCCTGACCCCCCACTTTGGCCCTTGACCGCATCCACTCTGTCATTCTTCTGCTGTACTGTACCTTACTTTACCTTACCTCACCTTTAGGTCCCGCGCTTGTGCCGCGCGCTCGCTGTCACGATGGCCACCAATATGGACGAAACAACTCTTTCTACGCTCGATTTGTTGGAATCGCGGCTTCTCCGTATCGAGCATCTCCTCTATGGCCAGAACCAATCACCAGCGCTGGCTCAAGACCAGTCGGCGGCTAGCCATCTCAACAAGCTCGAGCGACGTTTCTCGATGCTCCTGTCCGATGTCCGCGTTTACCACGAGCTCATGAAGATCTGTACGTATCAGGAATATTTTGAAGTCTCAATCCATACTAAACCCCTGTTAGACAGAGCTCACCCCGATTTCTTTCATTCGGCCGACCCATCAGAGCCACCATCACAGCTGGACATCGATGCACTCCAATCCATTGTTCTAGCCTCAGCGTCCGCCTTTCCTGCGACTCTATCGTCCCTTACCGCAATCAAAGACAGTCCAATTCCAGATCCTGCGGATAGCGCAGCGCTTGTGGCATTGCAGGATAGAATGACAGCAATCGAAGCAACTCAAATCGCACAAGCTGCTGAAATGGCCGACCTTCGACAAAGGAGCGAAATTGCGGTTCGTTCCTGGTATGAAACAGGTATTCTCGATAACTCGAAAACGATGGCCAATCTCGAGTCTCGAGTGAAGGTTGTTGAGCGCCAGGTGAGGAGGACAGAGCGAGAGTTGGAGGCTGAAGAAGAGCTATGAAAACATATTTAAAGATACCCTTGAAATTAAGAAATTGGTTGGCTTAGATCTGTTAGTTTGGGCAAGTAGAAGTACATACAAAGCATACGTATGGCCTGCCCCGGTGGCCCAATATATTCACTCAATAATGCATTCGAGTTCGACATCGGCAAGTCAGATATTTAGCTATTTGATTCGGCTGACCTCTTTTTCGAAGCCAGCCTGGAGCAAGGGGTTTTGCAGGACATGATTACAGGTGAGGCTGAACTGTATCGACTCATTGTTTGTACTTGAGATCTCATTGAGAAGAAATCGAGTCTTGATTCCCCCTCGATATTGCAACAAATTACACTCAGATCGGCCATAGGATCGTTCTTAAAAGTCCCACCTATGATGCCAATACCAATCCTAGACCAGAGCAATTCTCATGAACATCGCAATCTTATGCCCAATTCCTGTGTAAGGCAACTGACATTTTGTTTAATTTCGCAGTAGTCCACTTCCAGGATACCCTGACGATCGTTTTTGTGATCATCACATTGAAACTGTTATTTGTTCTATGTACTGAGTGGAAATCTGTCCTTGTACCTGAGTAGATAGCATCTCAGCGAGGACTGGCAAAGTGTAGGAGGATTGTGTCGGAAGTTGATACGCCGACTTGGTGTCCACGCCCGTCGCCATCACCGTTATCAGACCTCTCTGCAGCTTCATGTGCAAGACGATCCAAATCCTAGATATACACATCTTGTTGAACTTCAATCTTTTTCATTGCCCGCTAATGAGAGCTCAGTGCTGCGTCGCAAATGTCCTATAAGTGTTTCAATATTGTTTTGCTGTCACATGGCGGAATTGATAAGTAGCAGTGTTTGAACCAACGTGACTTTGGACAATCGTGATACTGCATGAGATGGCGGATTGTAACCTTCATTAGAACATTTTGATAAGATGTAGGAATACACAGTGACAGTATGAGGGTGAAGAAAGAACTTGAGGTTTCGCCAGTTGGACATGATACATATCTTCTAACTCGAACCAATTCCAGATTTGTAGATATGTGTTCTAGCTGCTCTACCGAAACAGTCCATAGACTCGCGATTGGTTTGGCAGCCAGTTTATACGTCACCCTTTGTGAAGTTTACAATGATCATTGCTACCAAGACTGCCAAAGGCGTGAAACAGTTTGAGCACGTGTAACAGGTGTGTTTAGAAATCCTCGGATTTTGGTATTGCCAGCTTGGAAGCGCTATCTATGGTGTAGTCGTGTCATTCAGCCTACGAACTCCAGGTTGTACTACGCAATTTCTTGGTAATATTTGTCAAGCTACGACTCACGATGGCGAGTGGATCGTGGATCCATATGAAGCTTTGAGCTGTTGAGTCGTACCTGACGCTAACTGCATGCTACCTCAGGTGGTCTAGTTTCATGTCATTGGATGTAATCGGCTCCAAGGCACAAGTGCATACACTACCGTGTAAGTCTTCTTGTGGGCGCTAGACTTCACCATACAACAAATACGACGAGCCTCAAAGCAAGAGATATTGCAGGGCCCTTGGCCCTGATACACAGATACTAGCCCCGGAAAGTCCAGATGATCAGCAACACCAGCGACCGTTGGAACAGGGACTCAGCCCAAGCTTTTTGGTCAAATGGAGCAGCTCCACAAACAATGCTGCGCTGTCATCAATCGATCTGCTTTGTAGCGCAGCCGATCATCAAGACAAAGAGAAGCCACGCGTCGATGGACATGGCAAAGCAAGACTTTCACATTGAACGTCATGAAGATCGATCGGAAGGGAAAATCCGCGGATGTGCGGCTTATCGTTGGTTGAGTTTGGTGGTTCCAGGGGTAAATGCCCTCCCGTGACAGGGGTCAACTAAAGTTTCAAAGAATGCCCTTGGTGGGTTTTCGTCGGCACAGGCACAGAAGGTTGAGCAACATGGGATGAATCGAGACGCTGGGCCTGTCAGAGCCTTTGGCGGGAAGTGAGGCAGCCGGTCACAAGTTGGGTTTAGGTGTAGGACAAGACCTGAAGATTCAGGTTTGACGTTGTTGAAGATACCTGAGGTGGCGCGCTGCTGGCTTGAATCAGATAAGTATCACATCAGGGGCTAGCAGGGCATTGCAACTTGATTATAGCGAGAAAAGGAAACTCAACGATTGAGCATGCTCGCTTCGTGACGCTGTCATGAAAGAACAAAGTCCATTGAGAAAGGATGATAGATCCGCAACGGTAGCGATTGGCTGTGCCGATCTAACGGAACTGGTTTAGAACGATCAGCTGTCGCTGGGGTCTGATGCAAGCAATTGCAAGGCATCAAATATCAGATCTTTCTGAGAAGAAGACGCTCGGACAACATTGAATTGAAAGTTCAACTTCTGCGTTGAAACAGCCCAAAAAAATCTACCACATTTGAATGGTTGTCACGAGGCAGAGCGTAGTCAATGTTTCACATTAGTGCTTTATTCGAGTTAAACACCAGCCACTCAATGATGAAAAAGATCCAATGTCTTGCATCTTTTAAGAAGGCGCACGCGAGCCTTCTTTGAGATGAGTTGATCTGCCTCTTGTCAGCATTTTCTCTTGTATGAATGTCCAGAATTCATGAACTGTGGCCCTGTGCTTGACCAGCCGGAAGAGTATCGATGAAACTCCCGCAATGGAGTCAAGGCCGCTTCTCTGGCCTCACAACCAGCCAATAGCCCGCATTAGACTTGACCCTAGTCGAACCTCAAACAAGACGGGGTTAAATAGGTCTATTCGCAAAAGCACATGGACGGTATTGCCGTAGATCGAAGTGTTTTGCTGCCACAGTATGTTGAACTGGGCTGACTGCTTCTGAGACGAGTCAGATAGAATTCCTGTCCAGGGCGCTGTTAACTTGATGATGTCGGCTGGGGTAGGTTGGAATTTCCAAGACAGTGTGTACTCTAACCTTCACTGGACGACAGTCACAGTATCATCCATTCCTGCGACAGCCTGGATGGGTGATAGTAGCTGAACATGCCAGAATAAGTTGAAGGCTGCCTGCACTCTATACCCAGCTTTGGCTGCTCCCACTTCTCATCTTGATGAATATTGAACGTACTGTAACGAATATCGATACCAATAAACCATCACCCACAAGCAAGACATTGAAACGAAACAACTGCTCTCTATCGTCTCTAATCCAATCACGGACTCGGCTTGCTAAAGTTGTCCGGCTTCTCTCCCTCTTTGCAAAATCCACCCTGTCACGGTCACGACAGCTTCTCCAGAACCCAGAACTTGGGCCCGAGCCAACGAGCAGACGAAGCGCCACGGTCAACAAGGGGCAGGGCGCGATTTGATTTGCTCAGAGCACCTGGAACCATCGTCTGCCTTTCATTTCCCGATAGCCTGGGGCCCAGCACAGCAGGGAACCCTATAGTGGATTTGAGGCCCTGAACCTGAGCGACACCCACTGGTCGGCCATATTAGCTTTTCATCGGTTCCTGAAATCCCATTGTCTTTTCCTTTTGACGAGTTCTTTTCCTGGCATCCAAATTCACTCATTTTCATATCATTGATTGATATACCTCCCTCTTCAATTCGTCACACGGACTCAATACGAACCGGAATCGGGCCAAGTCTGCCCTTGCTGCTGGATCAGGCCCTGGTTGTGCTTCAATTCTCCCTTCCCCTGATTCCGTGCCCTTCCCGTCTGACTGTGACCGCGTCACGTCTGCCGCTGCGACGCTACACACGGCGGTACCTTATTACTGGTCTGGTTACCAAGAAGTACAGCACGGCCATCACTTCTTATTCGTTGCAACACTCTTTGTGGTGGCAGTGGCTTTCATTCAGCACTTGTTGTTCCTCATTACAGCCGCGCGCATTTGTACTGTATCTTGCACGAGTTGCACGAGCGGGCTATTGTTATTGTTTTTTATTTCCTCGACCGCGTTTATCGACTTGGGCTCCTCACAACTTTGTTCACGCCGCAATATCCACTATCTCGAGCGTACTGAGCCTTCTGTGCCCGTTGAAATAGGTCCCTGGTCTTTCGCTGGGCTAGAACTGAACTGGACTGGACTGGGTTGCCCCTTGTCTCCGCGTTTTTCCCCCTTCTCACCCGCAGCCAGCGCATCCCGCCCATCCCATCCACTCAATCTGTCCATTCTCTTCCCATTTCAAACCGTCCATTCAATTCAATTCAATCATTTCCACCTCTCCTCCTTTCTTCCTTTCCCTCCCACTGAATCCACTCACCTGAGGTAATATTCTATCGCAACCGCAGGCTTGGGTCATTCCACTCCTTTCTTTTCCATTTTCTATTATTACCTACCTATTTCCTGTCATTCGACTTTCCTCCTCTGTCGCGACCTCCCGCTCGTCTTACGCCAACCGAAATCCTACAAACGATCGACACTGTTTCGTTCCGCTTGGCTCTGCACAGCACCGCAACGAATTGCATCGACTCCGGTACAGCCTCTTCGCCTTTACATCGTTCTTCTTCCAACGAATGCTCCGGTAGCAATCGAGTCTGCTTACGCCTGTTTGTCAACCGACCATCACCAACGAAGAAAGCGCGTGCCCTCACTTTAGCATCAGCCTCGATCGCCAGCTCGTTCGACACCGTTGTTCCTTATGCCATCGTATTCTCTCAACTCTCCCTCGCTTCAGAAAATGGATCACTCAAGAATGTATGGCCAGCGCAAGGGCATTCAGATGAGCAACATCCTCGGCGACCCCTTCGCCCTGGCCACGCTCTCCATTAGCACGGTGCGTTCCTCTTGCGCTCTGTCACAGCCCTCCAACTAATTGACCTTTGCAGCTCGCCTGGTTTATCACCTTTGTTTCTTGTATTATTGGACGGATACAACAAAATAGCGATGCCGACCTTGCTAAGAACGACCCTTTCCCAACTTTCGTGTGGTGGAGCTGCATCTACTGTCTATGCCTGATTGTTGGCGTCTTTGTCGTCATTGGAAGCGATGCAGTTCACACCTACCACGTTGCTGTGACTGGTTATCTCGCAGCAGGAATTGTTCTGGTTTCGTCCGGAATCAACCAGCTCCTTTACTCTAACAGCGGCGCCCGCGAGGCTGCCTCCGCTGGCTTTATTCTGCTAGCCATGGTTATCGTGAGTTGCATTCCAGATTGACTTCAGACGTAAATCTAATAGCGAGTTAGGTTATTTGGACGTTTTACTTTGGATCCAGCCCCTCTTCAACTCCTCGAGCTTTCCTTGACTCATTTGCCCTCGCCAAAGAATCCACTACGATTCATCGATCTACTATGAACGCCTACGGTGGCCGCCCCGAGACATCCAACTCGGTCCAGCCCCCTCAGATGTACACTTCTGCTCAGCTTAATGGTTTCGAGAACCCATCGCCTGTGGGAGGTATATCGCAAGTCGGAGGAGCACGCGGATCAGCAGTTCCCCAAAGCTTTACCAACTCAGTCATGCAACAACAACCACCGCAAGCCAAGCCAAACAACTCTCCCGGCAACGACACCGAGGTCGTGCCACCCACTGAATATCCCTATAGAGCAAAGGCCATCTACAGCTACGAGGCCAACCCGGATGACGCCAACGAAATTTCATTCTCCAAGCACGAGATCCTCGAAGTGTCGGATGTTAGCGGAAGGTGGTGGCAAGCGCGCAAAGAGAGCGGCGAGACGGGTATTGCGCCCAGCAACTACCTCATCTTGTTATGAGCAACGATCCATGCATGGATTCCCTGGGATACCCGTTCGGCGATGTGCGATATATCGCCCGTCGAACACCGTCAGACCCACGTACGGGCTGCTCGTTCATTGTTTGTCACATTTTAACGTTTTTAGAGTTACGACTCGGCGATTTGGTTTCTGCACTGGGATGGGAAATATGTTGGATGGAGTATATTTGGGACGAAAAACCCCCTTGTGTTATACCTCGGACCACGGCGCCTGCAACTAGGCTGTTCTTTTCACTTTGAATGTCTTCTTTTCTACTGTCCTCACTTATTGTTGTTCTTCGCTTTATCTATTACCCTCGGGAAAACCGCGAGATTTGGTTCGAATAAGGTTTCTCACCCTCTGGCGAAGTGGCACAACGCCCGACGACCCGGTGTGGCTGTGGGCCTGAGTTTTCGAGGAAACGTGCTCGTAGACCTGCGAGCAGGCTGGGCTTTGTGTGGGAAGGGTTGTATTTTGTCAATGGATCTGGGTTGGCCAGGTGCATATATGAACAGTACCAAGCAAGCTGTAGTTACAACGACAAGGGATAAGGTATCCCTTTGACCTAGTGAACACGATGATTATTGGAATGCAAGCTGAATCCTCGAATTGATCAATTGTGAGGTTGGGCTGAGTCTAAATTTAGGATCTGCAACTGGCGGGACCATTCAACAGCCATTGATACCAATGCATGTGGTGTTAAGGTTTTACTCAGGAACGCGTGGCAGTTTCTTCGTAAAACTGGGTATCAATAACATGTCTAATCTAGCCTACATGAGACTAGGCAACGTACCGTTCTGGAGCTTGGGTCGTGTTCAAGTTAAAGCAACCACTTGCCTTGAGTTCCTACCGAGTTCGTCTTAAACTCAGTACGTAATCCTCTGACTGGTTTCCGCGCGTTTTTCGCCGAGGAGGATTGGCATTTGCTTGATATTTTGACGAGGCCAGTATATGTCCGGTGCCGATCCCACCTGGCTTGCTCATCGATCGGTGCGACGTCATGTCTTTGCCTCTGGGGGCATGATGTGTCGCAATGTAGATTTCGTTGCATCGAGGGACCATATTTCAAACTGCCTTCGTACAGTTGTTTCTCCGTTTCTCGTTTATTCGTTCACTTCTCATCCTTCCAGTCTCTTCCTGAGCTCCCTCTCCTTCTGCAACACCTCCAGCTCTAATCTCTCGACACCATAGCGCAGAGCCTCCTTGCGCTGTCGAACTGCTCGCGCGCGGAGCTTCTCCTCTGCGGTTAACTTACGACTTCCGGTTCTCTGCTTCTTAGACTTTCCACCGTATTCGTCGTAGTCATCATCTGGGCGGGATAAACGACCCTGCTGAAGCTCTGCGCGGGCTTTGAGTGTTTCGATGCGACGCTCCTGACGCTCGATCTGGGAGTCTGCGCGGGCGAGAAGAAGAGCGATATATGGTCCGATTTCGTCGCGTAATGAAGCTTCAGCTGCAGCGAGAGTGGGTTGTGGGATGAGTTCGTAGTGCTGCGAGGTGTAAGTAGAAGCAGCGTAAGGTGAGTGGAGAGACTTACGCGGACGGTCTTGAGGACGTTGACTAGACGGGGAAAATCGGATACGCCATTATCAAGAGTCTCAACGGATGATTCGAGAAATTTGAGGGATGTGCGGAGAGAGGAGACGCAATCGGAGTATGTCGAGAGGTTGCTGGCCGCCATGATGACTACCGTGGGGTGTTCTGGTGGTTACTCGTGGAGTAGGCTGTTGATACGAATATGTGTTACAGTACAGTCCTATTTTCAATGGCTTGTCGAGTCGCTGGTTGCCATAAGTTCTGGGTGTTTGCCCTTGAGTTAGTCATGCGCCGGGTATCATAAGCGACTTTGGATTGTTTTGATTCCACTTGATGATGCGGAGCGCGAAAGTTGATAAACAATGACGATGGCGCACGGACCAATCTCTTAATCGTCTTCAACTGCTGTCCCGAGCTTCCCCCGACTATAGATTCAACCTCTATCATATCAAGCCAGTTCAAGATTTGTTTGCATTGTTTTCGATAAGTATTCTTTAACTCTCTCATTGAGCGTAAAAGCTGAGACTAAATGGGAGGGCATCATTTTATGTATGGATGAAATCTTCTTAATGAAAAATCATTATGACTTCGCTCTGAGCTTTCATGGCTTCAAATTTATATTGATCCATGACCAGATCTTGAAACAAATATCAGGCGTGTGCAGAATATGTCTTTAGCTTATTCTGTCTCTATATTATTCTCATATCTCCTGCTAGATTCATAGACCTGCTATTATATTCAATACGAAATCTGACTAGAAAACGAAAAGGACAGTCTCTGGATAGCTCAAGACAAAAGGCTGGAGAGCATTATTGGCCCTGGATTTAGATTTCGTTTATTTTGCAAGATTCGAGGCATGTTTTATAGATAATGATGCCTGGGGCTTTTCTTACCTGCGTCTAACATCCTCTCCTGCCATCTCCTAACTTCCATACGAAACCACATAAAGCTTCAAGATTCAGGTATTCAGCCCGTCTATATTTTCAGCCAAAAACTTCAAGTTCTGAATAACATCAATCAGTGAGACTATCCTAAATCTTATTGAGAGTTCCCGTCAGCAGTTCTATCTTAGTCGCGAAAGCAAATTCATGATCGGAGATAAGAGGTAATATCTACAATGCCTGCTGGGCATTGCTCAGCTGTATTTTTTTTACAGCCCAAATCAAGATGTACGCACCTTCCAGACGGAGAAGTTTGTAATCACCCCTTGTTCAGGAGATGCTGGATATACCAGATTAATTTCCCGATATGTGTCGTTCGGTCCTCTTCAATACCTAGCCAAGGCTAGTTACCCTACCCTGGCGTCTATGGCTCGGAGTTTCACGCCAGGGAATTTAGACCGTACAAGTTATGCCTGCCCAGTAATCCCTTTTTCTATACAGCTAATAAGTCTTTACAAGAGACATTAAAGGAAGTAGGGGTACTAGATTAGGCATACTTACTGTAGAGTCTGTCACGAGGTTGACGATGTCTTACTCATCCGTCAGGATAGCAGGGTTCAATGAGATGAGAGCGACGACTGTCCTTGGGATCAAATTAGCATGTATCGTCTTGTGAAAAACACAAAAAATAACCTGTATAATTGATCTAAACTGTCCTGTTTGGAATCTCTGTTTGTTGGCTTTGATTATCTTCATCACTACGAGAATTATCAGATGCCAGGATGCCTGTGGTTATATAGTAAAGTAGAGGAGCTTCACGGGCAAAGTTTTACATTTATATGAGCCTCTGTATCATTTTGTCAGAAGTTTTCTAAAAATATTTACGGCATCAGGAGATCGCATGTGATGAAGCAATATCCCCTGCTTGTACCAGCAGATATCATCCTGCAGGCCGGTCAGGCAATATGAGTGGCTGATAGTTTTGGCCCTTCTCAGATTATTCCGCAATGAACCGCCTGTTGAGTCTGTTTGTGTGTTTTTCGGAGTCTTGAAGTAGTTCTATATTCCCTGACTATACTTCTCAACTACTATGGCTCCTTTCTCAGCAATGTCTTACATGAACATCGATTAATTATGGGCTTTCGCCAACTTCGAAGCTGAGAGCCGTGTTGAACGCTGAATATGTGGACATGTTATTGACATGCTGTGATTTGAGTACATATTGTCAGGTGTACATGATCTTCATAGTCTCAGGGGGTATCTCTGAGCCTAAACCTACAATTATTGCTGGCACTATACCGCCAGTCTTGAAATATCTCAAGAATGAGGTGGAAACTAGATCTTAAGAATGTATCAGCAGTACAAAAGCGAACAGAATCATATAGCTATACCGTTAGGCATAAGGGGTTTTATCAACAGACTTTGACTGATTTTAGCTATAAACACATATCATATCTGGTATAAAAGCACTAATGGGGCAAGCATGATAAGAACTTTATTTCGCGCTGAAGGGACACGTCGTTCTAGGCGCATTACTTCGAGTACTCTCTCAATTTCTACTCCCTAAGGCTACACTACCGACGCCCTTCTAACTACTATCAGACTTCACCGACGCAGCAAACATCCTGGTAATTCACTGGACTGAGTGGATTTGGATACATAAAGACTTCAGTCAGGCTGAAGTTATACTCGGCAGACGGCGTCCAGACACTTTGATCTCGGCTCGTATCTAGGCAACTCGCTTCGGACCTATTGCACCCTCTTGTAAAAATTATGTGCCTCCTTGGTGATGAATTTGCACACAGTCGGGGCAATCAAACAGCTATCGCGTGATACCAAGCCTGCCGCTATCTCGAGATTTCCCCAAGTGTTTTTCCGTACGTAATTTCCTATTTATGGTAACCTTCTGACCCTGACTTTATCTGTTGATGTGAATAAATACGTTTGAGTCTAGGTTAGCATTGCTCCCCTAGTGATGGACAAAACTTTAGCACCTCATTCTGGTAAACTTTTAAAATAACTAACTGATACTTGTAAATTGCAAGCTCTTCGCCATCTTCAAGTAAATATACTTCTTTCTTCGAATAGCTACAGCTACAACCATGCCCGAAAGGAAAAGATTGCAGAACAATCTCTTACTATAACTCATATTTTCAGCTTGTTGGGTTCAGAAAGTTGAAGGCACTATGTAAACTAGAAAGAATACAATGACTCATTTATGCGAACGCTAGTCTCTTATCGTACTACCATAGTTTTCTTGTTGCAAATTCGTCTTCGTATTCCTTTTAGTTGCTAACACAGAGTACATGCAAGCTTCAATTAGGTAGTCTATTACCCTAGAGTGAAGAATGAACATGTCCTAAAACGTCCAAATTTAGGCTCGTATTTCCCCAGGATCTGCAGATCTTCTAAACAAGAAGCTCTTTTAGAGCACTTTCAGAGCTCATGAAATAGGCTTGGCTGAGTCGCGATACTGTCTTTGAACCTAGCTTGGCTTCAGTCGAGGTCATGTTGGTGACGGTCACGTGCCCTAGAAACTGGATGACGGAGAATCCGGAACCGGTCCCACTAAATTCCAGGCCCGGCCCTGCTTCCTTGGTGGGGACCTAGTGACAGGCAGGCAGGAGCCTCTTGCGTGAGCCTCGTCACTGAATCGACCAGCTTGGACTAAACCAAACACGCCCCCACGACCTTAAACTCATCGCAACAACATTACACACCAACAATCCCTGAACTCGAACCCTCCAATTCAAACTTTTGCCGATAATTACAGATCTTGAGGGGACTACATCGCGATCACCGCTACCATGTCTGACGGAGTTTTAAAGCCCGAGAAGGACTTCTCGAAGGAGGTTGACCAGCAGCTTCCCGAAGCTGAGAAGCTGGCTGCGGTAGGTTTTTGAGCTTTGAGCTTCCGATATTGAGCTTTTTCTGACGCTCTATTTAGTCCGGTAACCTCCAAGGCGCCATTGAGAAGCTTGCTGCGCTCGAGAAGCAAACCCGACAAGTATGCATTGGTACACGCCTGCTCACTCCCCTTCGCCGCTAATCCAGTACTAGGCCTCCGATCTTGCGTCTACATCACGAGTCCTGATCGCAATCGTCACACTATGCAAAAATGCGGGCGACTGGAGCTTGTTGAACGACCAGACCTTGGTCTTGTCCAAGAAGCACAGTCAGCTCAAGCAAGCCATCACCAAGATGGTCCAGACCGTCATGGGATTCCTCGACGACACCCCCGACCTCAAGACCAAGCTCTCTGTAATCGAGACCCTGCGAACAGTAACAGAGGGAAAGATCTTCGTCGAAGTCGAACGAGCCCGTGTCACCAAGATCCTTTCCGACATTAAGAAGAAGCAGGGTGATCTAAAATCCGCCACCGAGATTCTTTGCGAGCTGCAAGTCGAGACCTTTGGTTCAATGGATCGACGGGAAAAGACCGAGTTCATTCTGGCGCAAGTTGAGCTATGCATTGAGAGCGGAGACTGGACACAGGCTGCTATTCTAGGTCGCAAAATCAGCACCCGGTATCTTTCTCGCAAGCCTAAAAAGACAGCCGAGCAGCTTGAGAAGGAGCAAAAGGAGCGTGAAAAGAAGAAGGCCCGCGGCGAGGAGGTTCCGGAGGAGAAGGAGGACGACACAACTGATCTGAAGCTGCGTTACTACGAGCAGCAGATCATCCTTGCCAAGCACGAGGAGAAGTACCTGGATGTGTGCAAGCATTATCGGCAGGTTCTGGACACAGAAGCAGTTGAGGAAGACCCAGCCAAGCTTCGACCTGTACGTTGACTGCCTTTGAAGTGCCAATCTGCTTTGCTAATCTCTTCACCATAGGTCCTGCAACGCATTATCTACTTTGTCATCCTAGCTCCCTATGACAACGAACAACACGATCTTCTCCACCGAATCCACAAAGACACACGCAACTCCGAAGTTCCAGCCGAAGCAGAACTTCTGCGACTCTTTACTGTTCATGAGTTGATGCGATGGCCAGAGATCTCTAAGAGATTCGGCCCTCACCTCTGCAGTACCGACGTCTTTGACGCGCAGCCAGGTCAATCTTCGGACGACAAGGCTCATCAGCGATGGCAGGATCTGCGAAAGCGAGTGATTGAGCACAACGTTCGAGTTATTGCCAAGTACTATACTCGCATCCAGATGAGCCGCCTGACTCAGCTACTTGATCTTGCCGAGGACGAGACAGAGAAGTACATCAGCGAGCTTGTAACTTCCAAGACTGTCTACGCCAAAATTGATCGACCCGCACGAATTGTGAGCTTCGCAAAGCCTAGAGATGCTGACGATGTCCTCAACGAGTGGAGTCACAACATGAAGAGTCTCCTGGGACTATTGGAGAGAATTGATCACCTCATCACCAAGGAGGAGATGATGGCACGAATCCAGCCTGCTAAATAAGACTATGGAGTACAGGATAGAGCGATTCATAATTCATGACGGTTTAGGTGGTCTGTAATTATACAGGTTAGATAGTCCTCTGGATGAGGATATATGACATGGCATTTGGTGTATTTCACCAGTCTATCTATTCGTGTGCGTCTTAGTCTATATGTGTTTTCCCAATACTCAATAAGAATGTCGTAACAAAAACCACTCCTCGACAAAATTCTTCATTACAACTCTGCTTTGGGCTCATTGTTCTGACCATGCTCCTTGATGAAGCCAGCCAGAGGCGCTGCCCACTGTTTGGACACGGGTACGTGGTGACCTCCTGGGTGAACAAGTACAAGAGGGTCTTGACAACGATCTGTGAGAGCCCGGCTTCGACTCTCGTCAACCACTGTGTCAAGACTACCCAGGAAGTGTAATGAAGGAGTCTTGATCTTGGGCTCATAACAGAACTGAAGCGAGTCGGGAGTGGCCCAGAATCCGGAGTACGAAATGACAAACTTGAGAGCCTTCCCAGAGTTTGCCTCTCTAAGGCCTCTCGCCCACTCTCCCTCCTTTCCTTCAGGCAGAGTGCGTTCTGGCTCAAGAGCAGCTGCTACCAGAGCGGCCATGGCACCGCCCTGGCTGAAACCGCACACTGCATCGATGCCCTCTGCCTCCCGAATGGCCAGTCCAACGGTAGCCATGCCCTCGTCGAACAGTCGATAGTTGCCTGTGGCTTCATCTTTGCGGAACCATGCCCAGGTATCGGGTTGGTAGTCCTCTGGCTGAGGCTCCTCAGGGGGTTGATAGCCGGGGATGTCTTCTGGGCTTAGACGGTTGGGACCAGTGGCATAAAGGAAGACAGGGAGGAGTGAGATAGGGTTGAGTAATTTGACGAGTGTCTTCTCTAAAGCACGGGTTTTGGCACGGAAGAGAGCGCCAGATTGTGTGTAGCCTGGTGATAAATGTCAGTGAGGGACTTGTGAGATTACGGGTGAGTCCAGGGTATGCTGAAGATGACAGAAATAGATACGGAATGCATCTCTTTGCAAGAACATCATGAAGACTCACCATGAAGCATGAGAATCTTAACCTCCTTTTTGCCTCCGTTGCCATTCGGCTTGGTTGCTGCTGCAGCGGTCATTGTAGATAAGCAAACTTTGTATGAAGAAAAAGCGAAAGTTGGGGCTCGTCTAGTCGTAGTTACAGTTGGTCTAGCAGCAGAAAAAAAACCAAGAAGAAAGCGCATCTATAGAGGAATGATGGGATGTTAGAGCGGACTCAAGTCGGTGTTGATAAGAAGGTTGTAGGCCGTATGAGTCGAGCGTGGAGAGCAATAATGGCAATGATTTGTCAGTGGGAGAAATCTCAAAGGGCGTCGGGCCGTTGCTTAACATGACGGCACTTTATCCCCACCACAAACGTTGTCAACAATCCAGCAATGGCTGGCTAGTCAAGGTCTTTAGACATGTTCTCTTAAATGCGTAGTTTCACCTGATAGTTGAGGTCTATTATGAAAGACTACCTAGTCAAATCCAATATAACTGTTGTCACCTGTTTCATGTCTTGACGCATAATCCTCCTTATCGGAGGATTATATTGAGGGGTCTATGGAAGAAATTGGATGCTTCCGCATGAAATAGAGGCACCCACGGCATAAAGTAAGTACAGAAACGAGATATCATGTGGCCATGATGATGGACCGCTACATCCACAAGAACTTGATAGCCAGTATGTCGCGGTGAGTATTGGGCCATAGTTCATCTCCCTTGCACAAAAATAGAAATAAACCACGGAGCATGCTGGTAGATTTCAGAGTGAGTCAAGGGTTTGTACATATCACATAACCAGACCAGACTTCGGTCTTGCTTCCCACACAATCGGACATCCGGAGTTCGAGGGCATTCGTCGTTCGCAGTTATATCCATGGGCAACTTTCGTATGATCGTTGCATAGGTCAATTAAGCCCCTTTTTCGATTCTATGATACAATTCCATCTTGTGAACCATGGCCTCGCGTTCGAGCGGGTCGATTATGCGTGCCAGCTGGACGAAACCCCATTTCCTTTCCATCAAACTTAGTGACCGCCAGACTTGGCGTTGGGGTTGCGGGGGTCGTTCTTCCACTCGGCAGCTGTTATATCTGATTAGTCGTCGCTCTGTGCTCATCTTATAGGGGTCGTACAGTTCATCATGGCGGACTGGGCGGAGTTGACGCCGTAGGCAATAACAACACCTATATCAAGAATCAATTGCTGTCCAAAACTCATCGAAAGATCAATCGAAGTCGGGCGCGGCGGTATATGATCGGGAGAGAATCGTTTTGCCAGGCGAATTGCGCAATTTCACGTACCGGCAGCGAAGAAGGGCCAGTAAGGCTTCACTATTGGAGGAGTCAGTGGGACACGTTCACGATGGCGCAGATGGACGAGTCGCAATCGAACGTACAGAAGGGAGCGTTGAACTTCTTGAGGGGTTGAACACCGAGCCAAGACATGATGACGGATTTCGTGGGTATCGTGGGAGGTAGGTTCGGTTTGATGGACTGTATCGCTTCAAGATTGAGATTGCTACAGAACGAGCCTTTTTCCGAACGACACAGCTCCGAGCGGGTTCTGCCGAAGCCGAGCCCGGATGGTTTTCTGCGTGCCTTGAGGCTAAGGCAGAGAGAGTTTGAGAACTGCTGAGTCAGATGGGTACGTACCTGACCAGTGCTGAGGAACAGCAGGCCCAACCGAACCCCGCATTCTTTGACGCGCTAAGCTTTTACACGTGACGACTAAGCTGGGGTGACATCATCAGATAGCTCCCCGAGCTCCAGCTTTAAGAAGGTAGTGTACGTACTGCAAACCGCCTGATCTCATCACTCCTGTCTCCCTCAATCAAATCAGGCTATTTTCTCCTTGTTTCTCTGTCAAAGGCTCATAGAGTCTGTACTCGTCATACTCGTCGTTGAAAACAACCAAAACTCGCCCAATAAGTGCGGGGTGAATTATACATTCCTGGGCGTGTAACCGAAAGCCGTTCCGTCCCTCCAACTCTAAGCTGCCCAATCGTCCACGCGCTTCACCCTCCTCCTTAGGTTTGCCAGTGCCAGGGCAATCTCAACCAAAAGGTGCTTTGATACCACCTTGACGCTTAAACGCCTGCCTTCCCGCTTCTGCTGTGCCCTGCCAGCATTTGATTGCCACCAATCGTGCCGCATCTGACCTTCTGCTTCCGTTTCCTCGGTGTATTTTCTCCTTTCAGCATCTCCCCTGTCCGTCTCGGTCCCTCCAAGATCTACAACCGCACAACTCTAACGTTTGACGTTTTGACGTTGTTGTCATCTGCAAGATCGCCCGCAATCTCCCCGCGCCCGCGCCAGTGTCAGCTTTATTAGACACGAATTGCGCCCCATCCACCTCGAGACTTTACATCTCCATTCCTCACCGCAATCAAAGCTCTAAGCTCCAACCATCCCCAAAATGCTCAGTCGCCAATTTGCACGCGCCGCTGCCGTCACTCCTCTCGCAGGGGTACGAGCTCTGAGCTCTACTGCTATCCTCAACGGTCGCACACCTTCGCTGGGAGATGTCAACCCTACACACGCAGAGGTCGATAAGTTCAGTCAGAAGCAGAAGGAATTCCGCGATCACCTGGTCGAGGCACAGAAGAAGCGAGAAGCCAGTTCGTTGCCCTCTCACCCGCAGTCTGCTAACGTTCCTTTCAACGCGTCGGTCGAGGGCTCACAGAATGACCATGTAGGACGCTCTGAAGAGGTGAAGGAGCCTGAGCCTGCCCGTAAGGCGGGCCCTTTGACCAACCTCATATACGGTACCAAGGAGGGTCGCGAGCTCGATGCTCAGCTCGAAGCAAGCTTCAGTCAAGTTCTTGCCCGTGGCAAGTACGTCCATTCGATCGTTCTTCACCAAGTCAAGCCTGAGAAGGTTGACGAGTATGTCGATCTCGTTGGAAAGTGGTACCCCAAGATGGCCAACGCCCCCGAGAACAAGGTGAACCTGGTCGGAAGCTGGAGGACAGAAGTTGGCGATTGTGACACCTTCGGTAGGTTATGATTAATTTTATTATGCTTTCTAACTACTAACCACTGTAACAGTCCACATCTGGGAATACCAAAAATACGAAGGTTACCATCAATCCCGATACTCAATCACTCACCACCCCGAATTTGCCGACTTCGACAACAAACTAAAGGGCCTAATCAACTCCAAGAAAGTCTCTCTCATGCAAGAATTTTCTTTCTGGCCAACCACTCCCCCACGATCGCTCGGTGGTGTCTTTGAGCTGCGTTCTTACACACTGCACCCCGGCAACCTGCTCGAGTGGGAGACACACTGGCGACGAGGCCTCAAGGCCCGCCGTGAGGTCATGGAGGGCGTTGGTGCTTGGTTCGTTCAGATTGGTGACCTTAACACAGTCCACCATTTATGGCAATTTGCCAACCTTGAGGAGCGCCGAGGCCGTCGTGAACAGAGCTGGCAGGTCGAGGGCTGGAGCGACACAGTCCACAAGACAGTGCCTCTTATCCAGAGCATGAAGTCAAGGATCCTCGTCCCTATGCCTTGGTCTCCTGTTCGATAAGTGCTCAAGCGACAACACTACCGCCGCTCTCACCCCACAGTATCCTGATCATATCACCCGCCTGGTCAGATCCAGGCTGAACATACCTCCTGTACGAGATTAGAGGCTGTCTCTTTGCGTTTTCACAGCATAGTCCATTTTGTTTTATGTCAAGAGTCTTGACGGTTTTAGCGGAGGAGCGCTGGAATGTGGATTATGGATTACATGGACAGATGTATTATCTAAATTTCTACAAATTCATCTGAAACTGAAGAAGCAGCATTCATAATATGGCAGCATGCAGTGATATCGATTTTTACGCCTTCGAAGGCGATGATAATCCAAAACAAGCTTGGGAGTGAAAACCCCGCCCAATAAGATCCATTGTCACCTCAACGCCAGGGTATCCAATCAGTTTACATGCAAAGCTGCTCACATGGCCTTTCCCCTCACTTCTAAGAGTCAACACTTAGAACCTCAGCAATGTTCCTTCGCGCTTGGCCAAGCATGTGACTGAGGTAGCTAAGCTTGGACTGAATGGATATGAGACTCGGATCTGCGCTTTCGACGCGTACCTTTTCCCGGACATAGACTTCCTGAATATCATTACTATCCACTTCTGCAGCGGACGATCCTGGCTCTGGGGTATGGCGGGCACTGCCCCGCTTCGAGCCGCCAATGTTGGACCCCTGTGTGTTATACCGGAAAACGGTGTCCATCTCATCATGCTCCAGCCGACGTACAGTTCCAAAGGCTAGACCAAGCTTGGTGCCAAAATGAACATGCGCATGAACAGGTTCTAGAGCACGCAACCAAAGAATTATGCAGCTTTCTTGAAGACCGAGATAAAAGCTGAGGTTGGGCCCAATTGATGGCACAAACTGGTCTGGTGAACATGAGCACATCTGCCAAGCAGGATCAGAGTCTGTTAAAGGAGGTCCTTTGAGAATAGCTGATGAATCGGAGAGAGAATCAGCAAGAATACTGAGAGTAGAGGCGAGTGAGCTAGCGTCCTGTGGTTTGGACAAGGTGATAGCGAGGAGATCGATGGACTGGTTTAGGTAGCCGTGCAGAGCATCGAGGCCTTGGATATGAATAGCTTTGGACTGCGATAGGGACAAGGTCTGCGGGGGTATCGTTCGAAGCTGGAGATGTATAGTCTGCGATCCAAGGACGTCAGCTTGCAGAACGAGGCTGGAGCTGCATGCAGGGGAACATGAGCTCAGCAGGCAACCTTACGCCTTTGACAATACGAGTACCGACACGAGTGAGCGTGCCCTTGACCTTTTCGTTGCGCGGTGTACTCATGACGAGTGTACTGCCCGGATCGATAGGCGCGAGGAGCGCATAGCAATCCTCGAGGCCATGTTTAAGATCGCGGCAGACCTCGAGTGTTTCGTCGACGATCCAATCGAGTTCGCGCGCCTTGTCAAAATAGATCAGCATGTTGTCTTGACTTATTTTCTCTCGTTTCGCTTCGTCGCATGAGGTCGTAGTACCTGGGTTTCGGAGGCTTTAAGTCTGAGCTCGGCCGGCGAGACAGGAGGCCAGATTGCAATGGACATTATGAATAGGTGCCTAGCTGGTCGATACTACGCGAATAGCCAGGTAGGCAGCCATGAGAGAAGATGGCGGCGATGAGTTTATGGCGATGGTGGACTGATACTGATTAGGAACGAGTTGGAGATGGACGAGTAGCCCAGAAGATATTGACTCTAGGTGAGCTCAGCCGACAGCTTCAAGGTGACGTCTTCAGCGGGCCGCTGGTGCGCTAGAAACGCTACATTTGGGGTGCATGAACTGCGCCACAGATCTGTGGCGCTCTCATCCTCAACTTTGGAAGGAAGATTTTGCGATAATGATACGAAGTTTATTAACGTCTTATAATAATTGTTCTCAACATCTATTTCAAATTCTTTCAGAAGGTATCGATTTGAAGGTCGCTCCTTTTGCCGCGGTTCATGAAAGCATCGCGGTAGTGGGGGTGTCCGTATCTAAAAGGACTTTTTTACTCTTCCTTTCCATTCATGAGGCTTGTGTCTTCTTCTCATCACTTCAACTTCTACTCACGCTAGGCATCATTCATACTCAGACGTCTTGAAACACTGAGGTGGCTAGAAACAACCGATTCAAAAAGGAGGACTCGTGGCATTTACAAAGTAGGACTTGTTCGGGCCCCTGGGAAAGGTTCTTTTGAAGATTCATTTGTCGATCGGCATCAGGCAGCCAAATCTCATTAAAAAAAAAACGACAAGATGGCTTCGACCGAAGCTTCCAAGGCTCCAAACAAGGTATACGGTACCTTCAGTAAGATGCCTGCTATTTCAGAAGGTATAGTTTTCACAAAATATTGCGAATAAGCGACTAACACTTCCCAGGCGCTCGTGTCGAGAAACGCCCCCTAACCAGGCGCCAGCCTCCAGCATCATCCAAATCTCGCATCATATACGTGTCTTCAAGGACACCATTCATGGCTGTGGTCAAACGCGCCCGTAAACAGCTTGACGACTCACTTAAGACCACCGACGCAGCACCCAAGTACGCGTCCCTATATTCGCGTGTCGAGGCGCTGCGGCGAAATAGAGGTGGAGATGCAGACAGTGCTGCCGTGACACTCGCAGGAACGGGTAGAGCTATTGAGAAGATCCTCGCGGTCGCGAGTTGGTTTGAACAGGAGGGAGACTGTGAGGTGGAGATCACAACAGGAACCGTCGGAGCCGTGGACGATGTGGTCGCCAGTGGAGACGAGGAGGATCAGAGTCGCCTGAGGAAGCTCAGTTGTCTGGAACTCCGGATTAAGCTCAAGTGAGATAGGTCCGTAGGCACGGCGATAAGGATTCAGGGACACGGCAGCAAGACTGTGTTGCATCAGATCTACAAGGCAAGTAACCTTGCATGCGAATCCTGGATTAGCATTGTGTTTTGCTGACACTTTCCCCATAGAGCAAAGTCCACGGCGTCCGAGTCGGAATGCGCGGGTATGCACAACGGCCACACAAAACAAGCCAATCTGACAGTATCGAGATCTAAATTGACTTCGATGATTGAGGAGTTGAGGGCTTGGGTGGGCCGCCGATCCGGATGATTTGGGTCAGCTCGAGAGACAGTGATTATGAATCAATCAGCCAGAGCCAAACCAGAGGCCGTCTGACCTTCGGGCATATTCCTAATAAGCAATAGAAATTGGTGTGACCGACTGATCAAGAATTGGTCCAGAATAGCCGCCAAAGGAGGAGAATGTTCTTGCTTGATAATGATATCTCCGAAACCCATTCTCATGACACCGTCGGTGTATCATGGTCCGAGTAAGAGACCGACGTGGGTACCGGATGGAATTACATACACCAAAATTGAGATGGAATGTCAGCTTGCCGTTAAATAACGTTATTTGGTTTTGAATAGGCAGGTCATTTAGTTCATCACTACCCAAACAAATGAGGATTAGGGAAGAGATGGGAAAGTCTCAACATCCAATGTCTACGCCGCTCAATGCATCGTCATCATCCGTCCATTTCCTCCTATTTGCTAACCGGGTCAAAAATTGACTCGGCTGTTAAAGACCAACTCCTGTGGTGCGCCGAGGGACCCGCTATCCAGTCAGGATCCCTTATGCAATGCTAAAAATGTCGTTTCTGTCAAGTCAAGTCATTCGGATCTTTCGCTTGCTGGTGATTGAGATTTTTTATGTAACACGGTAGGCACTGCGTCTTGTGATTAGGCACGCCCTTGTAAGATGGGGACTATGACTCAAGAAAGGGACTTACTCGATAACCAAGTGCTCGCCACGCCAGGCACCACTGGCCACCCATAATCCACAGTTGACGATTTCGGCGTAACGCTTGTCGGATGTTTTGAACGTCGCGAACATGCGGAATCCGTATCGTCGTGGGTCAATGTCCTTGGGGGCCCGAGGGCTTAATAGAGTATCGAGAACATCTGCAGGTCCTGAGAGAGAACCGCGAGTGCGCATTTCAAGACTGACCAATGAGTTAAATCCCAATTCAGTGACTTATTAGAATTCTGAAAACTTACAGTGCAGGCTGTTCATCACTTGTTTGGACGACAAAGGCGCCCTCAACAAGCCTCATGGGCCTGAAACCGCGTGCCTGGCCAAGATCATATCCGCCTGCCTATACACCACACATAAGATCGTCCTCAGTCAGCCACGAATTGGATAAAAGCGTAGAATCTAGAAGGGGTCGGGCGGGCGTGTGAAAAAAGGGAAAACGCACAATGACGCGGCCGTGGCCAAAAGATCCGGACCATACTCCGGCTGCTACGGTAGTGATCTCCTTGGTGTTGCCCGAGTCGACATGGACAGCCTCTTGATTTAAACGAACAGCGATTCGAAAGTCAAAATCGAGGGCTGGCATCGGAAAGGCGAGTCCGGGGCATGGGAAGTGGTTCAGAGAGCGTTGGCAGGCCTCTTCAACGGTTCTAAGAAACACCAAAGTATAGTCAGCAATTCAACGTCCGGTCAAATTCGGTAATCTGAGATGATCCCTCCGACTTACTTGCCAGGTCCCTCTCGACACTCGCGCTCAGCCTGAACTCTATATAAAAGACCTCCGTCGTTGAAACATCCACTTCCTGATACAGAATCTTGTGATTGTGCGGTCGGTTGCAGTGGTGGTATTCTCGTATCCCACTCGGCCGGCTTGGTCTGTTGCGGGCATTCCGAAGCTTGGTAAAAGGGAGCCGAGTGAGGCATGCATGTGGATTCAGAAACGTCGGTGGGAGCGGTGCTCGTAGGTAACGAGAATGAGAGAGTATCGGTTTCGGTCGCCATGATTTATTTTTTGGTGTAGATGTTGAAGTTGAAGCGAGTATTGAACGAGACGCCTTACGGCTGTCTAATGTCGCAATATGAGAATTCGGGTGTGTTGGAGACCTTATGATATCATCTGAGTACTACCGTCGAATAATTGAAAAGATTGAGGCCTGTGAAATTGACAGGACGATTGAGTTGGTATGTATAACGTTATTGCTCGCGGATATCGAGGCGGATTGATGGCGGGAGCGGCAACTATTATATGGTCCCGTCGGCTTGGCTTGGCTTGTGTAAGCGGTTTGTGGATGCAATAAGTGTCGCAATCCCCGAACCCCGAAGGCGAAGTTTAATAATGATGGTCGAGCTTTAATTATTTCGAGTATTGGTCAGATCGTGTTCGTGAAATATAACAAAGTCAATATACTAGAGATGAAATGATGAACTGCAAACACACAAGAAGGCCAGGGCAAGGCAGGATAGGATCAGCCAAGGTATTTAACATGGAGGTCAACACAACGGATAACGAGATCCATCCATTATCATCCAACCCATGGCATGCCGTAAAATCAAGTGCTGTATTCAAGCTAGGGGGGCGTGTAGGGCGTACTGCAACTACAGACCCAAGGTACGCTACATTTCAGCTCCAACTACAGTACAGCCAAGTCCAACAAGGGCGTGGCTTCTGGCCTGTTTTGTCATGCTTGCAAATCTCCAGATTCCATGGACGGGTTTAGGCCCCAAGTCCTGCGGTTGTACTGGAGGGAGGTTGCGGGAGAGGCCAAAGTTCCAACTCACTACTAAGCAGAACTCCTACAGGTGTGGCTGACCTGTCCAGGGTCCAATTACAGAGCAATTCGTACCCGTACAGGAGACTATATCCGCGGCTTTAGAGGGCGCGCCCCGGACGAAGACATAAAAAGGTGGGTTAATCGCCGATCCGGGTGGAGATCATGTTAAGAATCAGACCCGACAAGACGGAAGGCTTTCGTTTTGCAGTTAGTGCACTAACTATTCCTCGAGGTACAGGTATCAGTACATGCACCTGTATGTGACCCCAGATCTTGACATGGCGAGTTAATCTGGCTCCGGGAGGCATTCCCTATTCCACACGCAGCAGTCAAATGCTCTACAAACAGTGCCTACCCGAGCCGAAGAGCCCTATTGATTATGCAGACGCTGGGACTTAAGCCGTGTAAAGTCCGCCGAAGAGCGGGGCTTTTCCATTCGGCATCCTCGGACAGTCCACAACAACCGAGAGGCCGGGGTGTGGCAAGAGAACGACGATAATTAATCCATTAAACTCTGATCCGTGGACATTTGGGAGAGTAAGCCAAGATTGGTCTTTTCTTGGAAGCTGTTGCTAATATCCATTGTCTATCTGAATCCCTTCGTTGTGGCGGCTGCCGGTCAAAGAGCAAAGCCCGTTGTGTCAGAAACCCGGAGCTTAGAGATGCTGGGCTGACAAATTGAAAGGTCGTCAAGTCCACGAATATTACCCAAAAAGGAATAAAATCATGATGCAGCCGCTAGGGCTGTAGGATCCGTCATCATGAGGAGGATTGGTCTTACAGCCGATACCGACCGCATCGGTTTATTTTGTTTTGTTTTGTTGCTCTGAATATCTTGCTGTTGGTGTACAACACACCGTCCATCCACCAGTTTATTATTACGCATGGTAGCACTCGATAACGCACATCTGCACGTTGCCAACCTACATATTATGCAGATCAGAGCTTCTTGAGCTCTATGTCGTACAACATGCTCTTCGAAAATGGGGGCGGGGAGCTTGCTTTCGACCTCTCAGGGCTGGGGTCATCATGATTACTCTGTGCCAAGAAAAGCCTTCCCCTCCATCAAGGGTGACATCCAACTCAACGTGGAGGGCTAACCTACGTCGAGCTGCAGACGGAAAGGGAAACGGAATGCAACAGGATAGGTTGGTGAAGATCATATTGACCCAGTAAGATCTTGAATTCCGAAACCACCAAAAACCAGAGTTCATACCGATTCACAGCTCTGTTCAACATAGGCTACGGATTTAACAGGAACGGGCCATATGGGCCGCTGGCTTTCGGTAAGCTAAAGTCCATGATACTAGAGAGAGCACCAAGACAACTAGGGCGTTTATCACCGCGCGCGCGCCCTATGACATGCCCTCTAATAGGCGTAGACATGGCTTGTCAAGAACATGATTTTGGTTCCGAACCTAGGTACTCCCTCGGCAAGATTGTAACCGAATTTTCGGATTCGTAAAGAGTTCGCCGTCGATAACGACTTAATCCCGGGCTTAGAATCGGCTTTGATCTAAAAAGCTGATCAACAAACAAGAATCGTTGGGAATCCGGAATTGTTTCTGCGCGCGTCTACGATGGACTCATGGAGTTGCTGAACAAGCATCAGCGGATTTAGTGCTTCGTCAGCAAGCATCGGTGTTTAAATTGAGCTGCACATGGATTTGGGCTGACGCTATGGACTCTATAGATCCTACGACCACCATGGATATGTAATTATAATTTGCAGTAAGTCCGAGGTGGCCAGACACAGTCAGTATGAATCATTTCTACAGATCGATCACAAGATGAATGAACTGCTTAGCAATATTGGAAAAGCCATGTTGACCAACAACCTCGGACGACAATGTAATTATCGGTTCTAGTAATGCAATGGAAGATGCGACCCGACTCAGTGACAACATGACGCTGGGCTACGGCTTGTCAGCGTGAAGTAATGAAGTTGAGCTTGGCTTTTCTGGTATATCATTCCTGTTCGTATCTCACCCAACCTTGTTCCCAAACAAAGGTTGCTATGAAGGGGAGACAATAAAAGTTAGTGCCTTTATCCCAAGTGATAAAAATAACTGGTCTAAAGGTCTCCCAAGCCTATACTAAATTTGCCTAAATCTTTTATCACTTAGGATATCGCTCCTAGGCTTTTTCGTTCCCTGAGGACATGTCTAGAGCCATGGCTCTTCAAAGTTTTGGAAGAAACAATACCACCCTTTCTGCCATGTGCCGAGTCTCCCGCAAGGAATGAAACAGAGGAGCTCGGCACTTGAGACCGAGATGAGAACTTTGTCAGATGTTTGCTCACCTATGCGAAACACAAACTGCTTCGCGAGGTGCACCCAGATTTTCCCGCTACACAAGATTCAGAAACGGTCGCCAAATCACGTTGTATACCCATGTCGAAAGCCAAATATTTCCTGGTTCGCTCATGACGAAAAGCGTTGATTTTTCCGTCCCTCAGGGGGGTTTTTAATCCGGACCCCTTAACAACAGTCTCCGCTCTTTTCACGATGATCGTGGTCCTTTGATCGCCGACACGCAAGCAGGTTCCATTGTAACAGGATTCGAAGCAGCGACTGAGAGGCTGTAACAGAGATGCTCCACGGACAACCCCTGCCCTCGCCTGTTTCGAAATCTCCAACGTAACGCTAGAAAAGGCTTGTTCTGCAACCTTATTCCAAAGTGGCACTGTATTTCGCGATCAACAGCATGCGTCACTTGGTGAGACGAATTGTGATCCAGGATATGTGCACACAGTCCGGCAAACGGCAAGCCGCACTCCTGACGGGTTTGATCTTCTGTCTGGGCAGTCTAGCTCGGTCTGGCAAGTCAAGTTATTGCACCATTGTTGCACCTTGTGCCATCAGCGAACCGTCCAGGTAACATATCTGAATCGAGATGAGGGTAGATCTCAATTGGATCAAATGAGTTGGCGAGCGCATTGCTGTGTCAAGATTGCGATTAGGGCAAATTTGTTTGACTCGATGGACAAGGATGAACACTGTTGAAGTTGGGTTTGTTTATCTCACAATGTCTTGGCGATGATAGCCTCGTTGCTAGCAATATGTATCATTTTTCTAATCAAATCGTATTGGCCAAGAGGCATCTAGAATCTTACTCACTACTGCACACCAACCCCTGTGGCTGCGCATGTTACAGTGTGCTCACGTCGTAAGAAACGGCTTCTTCCAGGCGGTTACTCCTTACAGATTCATCCACCATGGCAAGTTACTGATCATAGTATCATCAAGTTTCAGGGGTAACTTGTCCTCAAGGAGACTTGTAATTCAAGCGCACGAAAGCGGGCCGTCCGTGTTACTTCCATCAATCGTAACCTCTGGGCTTGTACTGGGCAGGACTGGCCTGGCTGTGCTTGCTGTCATCACCTTCCTCGTCAAATCCTAGCTCCTGGATCCCCATGTGGGAAAACCGAAAACGTGAGGAAAAGATAGCCGCGTACTCCGTGCCTTCTTCCGTTGCGAGGCATGGTATCCAGTAAGGATCTCTCCACGTTCCACGTAATTGACGACGAGTGGAGGCTCAGACTTTCCCTTACATCTTTGGAATATTATCCTCTCTTCAAACCCTCATCAAACAACCCCATTTTGCACCTGTTTATCCCCATTCTCCTTAATAGCTACCGCATCGAGCCTAAGCTTCCTGATACCAATCCATGACCAGATAAAGGCCGGTTCCTCTTTCACTTGTAATTCATCTTCACCTCTCTCCTTATTGGCCGAGCCTACTACCAGCATATCGGCTGCTCCGCTTTGCGACCGCGCCGTTAGTGAGCTTACTGCGCAGCTACTGTAGCATACCGAAATAATTGGATTGCGCCGCGACCTCAATTTGTCCAGGGTCCATCCAGTTTCTTGACTTATCCGCTGCGATACCTTAGTTAGGTGTCAGCTCCACCGTCTCCAACTGCGGGCCCCTGGCTTTGGGGATTCATCCCTCGCTCGCCTCAATTTGACTGTTGTCCACTGCGATCAAGTTATTTGGCCGACACACATTTTTCCAAACTTCTTCTTCTTCTTCTTCTGTCGCATTCAGCTGCTTGTGCTTGTTCCCTTGTTGATACTGGCTTCTGCCTGGCCACGCTCGCTTTTCTATGCTATTATAGCACAGTCCTTTCGTTTCTCGACCTTCGCTTCCTACCCCTGTCCCTTATCCTGGGCATCGCTCCTTATCGACGAATTTCCAAAAAAGACTGCGACTTCGTACATACCTGGCGTTTCGATACCACAGTCGCCTCGCAGCCGTCGTCGCCATGCTCAACTCTCGCCGCGCCATCGTGGCAGCGGTTTTCATCCTCACTGTTTTCTTCCTCCTGACAAGGTCTCACACAACAACGCCTGTCGTCCCAGCTGCCAAAAATGCTGCTGCTACCGCCGTCGACACAAGCAAGAACGATGCCCCTGCCTCGAACCAAGCTGTGTCACCACCACCCGAGGAACAAAAGGAGATGGAGGTAAAGGAGCGTCGCACGCGGCCTCGCATTGACATGTCGGGCATGTCAATTCAAGAGAAGCTCGAATACGCCTATCCTTATGATGTTGCGACCAAGTTTCCAGCTTACATCTGGCAAACGTGGAAGCAAAGTCCTGATCAAGGTGATTTTCAGTTCAAGGACCATCATGCTTCTTGGAGAGAGGAGCACCCTGGTTTTGTCCACGAAGTCATCACCGACGACGTCGCCGTCAACCTTATTCGCTTACTCTACGCCACGGTTCCCGAAGTCGTTGAGGCGTACCGAAGTCTCCCCATGCCTGTTCTGAAGGCCGATTTCTTCCGTTATTTGATTCTCTTCGCTCGAGGCGGCATCTACTCTGATATCGATACATATGCAATTCAAAGCTCGGTGAAATGGCTGCCTGAACAGATCCCCCGCGATACTATTGGTCTCGTTATTGGCATTGAGGCAGACCCTGATCGCCCCGACTGGGCTCAGTGGTACAGCCGTCGTATCCAGTTCTGTCAGTGGACGATACAGGCCAAGCCTGGTCACCCTGTTCTTCGCGATATCATCACACGCATTACCAAGAAGACATTAGAATTGAAGAATCAAGGCAAGCTGGAAAAATTCATCGACAGAAACGTTGTTGAGTTCACTGGCCCTGCCGTATGGACAGATGCTATCATGGAGTACTTCAATGATCCAAGGTTCTTTGACATGTCACAAAGCAAGGGCACGATCGATTACAAGAACTTTACTGGCATGGAGACGAGTAAGCGTGTTGGAGATGTGGTTGTGTTGCCCATCACAAGCTTCTCACCTGGAGTGGGACAGATGGGCGCAAAGGAGCCTGACGACCCAATGGCTTTCGTCAAGCACGACTTCGAAGGTAAGGAACCTCCTGCTCATGACAGATCAACATTTGCTAACCGTAGACAGGAACATGGAAACCTGAGAGCGAGCGCCACATGGGCGAGCAGCAGCAACAAGAGGGACAGCAGGCGGCTCAGGCACCCCAAGCACCCCAAGCACCCTTGCAATAACATTATAATCCGAAGCAGAACCACAACCACGATACCTAATGTTTAGCAACGACTATGAAGATTTACTTCTCGAACCTGTACATTTCAGCTGCTACTCTTTACTCTTTTTAATGACACACTCGTGTCCGTTCCTGGGCTGGTTTCCGCATTAGCTGTTGTTCGAGCCAGAGGTCTATCAAACTCTGGCAGTTGCATTGCGATGGAAGAGATATAAAAAGTTTGAGGGGAACGGTACTAGACTCTATTTTGTGTATGAAAGACATCGCTAGGAAAGTCATTTGTTGCGCTTTGGGATAGATTTGTTTCTTGATCTTGTTTTTACCATATTGTCGCCCGCTTGTAGACTACCACATGTCTCGTGGACATCGAAGGAGAAGGGAGTTTCTCAGGATTGTCGATTGAAGGATGAAGCGAACAAGCATATGCCACGAAATTTCACACCAGGTTGACAGCCAGATTTGTTAAAAACATTATATTTGTAGCTGTGGCATGTGATTGAAGGTGCTGACTTTTGATTCACAGCGGGACTCGGACCGGATATTTCAGTGCTACGCTACTGCTGCGAACCAACAGGAAACTGCGAATAGCTATTCCAATTGGGTTCACGGCTCAAATATAGCCGTTGTTTCCGCGGTCTAGATGCTGAACTGAATGGGCTGCTACAGTGGAAGGGAAAACGGACGGCATTCGAACCGCCCCCGCATTTCCCCAGGTTTTAGTGGAAAAGGCGGTACATGATTGGTTCATTCTGTTGAGCCGCTGAGGGGTTCGGACTCCCGCTCCTGCTGCCGTTGGCAGTAGTGAATAGAATGTGGAGAGCTGACGGAACTGGAAGGAGCAAGAACAGGAGAGGATCAAGGACGGTGGATGTGGATGTGGGAGTGGAAGGAGGGAGGTCCTGGCGATGATAGCCGAGGATCATACGCCTCAAGGTACATGGGCCTGGCTACCTTATCCATACTGAGGTAGTTTCTAAGGCTGAAGCTCTCACAATAAGTCAAGCTCAGAGCCGGTGTATGCATGTCCCTCGCCTTGCGAATGTACATTAAACAGAGAACCCGCCTCTCCTTGTTCTACAAAGATCTTCTAAACTCCACATCCACATCAGGCGAGTTATCACAGCTTTCACAATGCAGACCGTAATACGTCAGAGCTTGAAAAGAACACATCTATCCTCAAGAACAATCCTCAAAACATGTCAAGTGAGAACACTTGCTACATCCAATCTAAGCATTCGATGGGGCCCCAAAGAGGTACGACCTCATTAATATCCCATGCACTCAGGGAGTATTTCTAACATATCATAGCCTCCTCTTTATAATGGCACAATCCCAGAACATTTTGCCTCAGTTGTTTCAGCCCACGGAGATCGCGAGGCTGTCATCGCCCGTTCTCCAGGCCCTAATTTCCATGAGTCAACACTAACATACTACGCCCTTGACTCGTTATCCAACAGCCTCGCACATTCTCTCTCTTCACTCGGCGTGCGAAAGGGAGACTGCGTGGCCGTATCTCTCGGCAATGGCCCTGAATTCGCAGCTTTAACATACGCCTGCTTCAAACTTGGTGCTATTCTCGTGCCGCTGAACCCAGGCTTCAATGAGCAACAAGTAGCCGCAGCGCTGAAGCATCTATCTGTGGAAACGCTCATCATCGGCGCTGTAACGGACCTGGCTTACAAGCCAGGAAGAGGCCGAAGTAACCAGCACTTGCTCCAGAGCATTGTGGGAGATGTATCCACGTCCAAGATCCAGAGCGAGACGGTCCCCTCTTTGCGTAACGTTGTGGTGCTAGACAACCTGGCGAGCCATCCAGATATCAAATTCGACCTCAAATCATGCCAGGCCTTCACTCCCTACCAATCTCTAGTCGACGGCTCAGTTCATACAGTAAAGCCAGACTCCCCTCTGAAACCAAGCGATGTCATCAACATCCAATTCACATCGGGCACGACCTCGCTCCCCAAAGCAGCCATGCTCTCACATCGCGCAATTCTCAACAACGGTGCTTTGATAGCGCATCGAATGGGTCTTCACGCCGATGATCGTATCGTGGTCCCTCCCCCGCTATTTCACTGCTTCGGCTGCGTGCTGGGATACATGGCTACGGCTACGACAGGCGCTGGTATTCTTTTCCCCAGCCCTGCGTTTGACCCTGAGGCTACTCTTCGCATGTGTGTCGACCATGAAGCTACGGGTCTTTATGGTGTAAATACCATGTTCGTTGCTGTTCTTGAGGCCCTGGATCGAGGCAATGTCGTCTCACAACCACCTCGTCACCTACGCAAGGGCATTGCTGCTGGCAGCAGCGTCCCTCCCTCTCTTATGAACACTTTATACGAACGTCTTGGTCTCCAGGATCTAGTTATCTGCTATGGCCAGACCGAGACAGCTCCTGTGAGCTGCATGACCAGCCCCTCGGATCCTTTCGAAAAACGAACCTCATCCATAGGCCGCGTCATGCCTCACACAGGCGTCAAGATTGTAGATCCCCTCGATCACGGCAAGATCCTCCCCATCGGAGAACGAGGCGAGCTTGCTGCGGCGGGTTATCTTGTCATGGAGGGCTACCATGGGGATGAGGCTCGAACAGCTGAGGTCCGCAAACCGGATCCGGAAGACGGAACAATATGGATGTACTCTGGTGATGAAGCCGAGATGGACGAACAAGGCTACGTGCAGATCACTGGCCGAATCAAGGACCTCATCATCCGTGGCGGAGAGAACATTCACCCGCTAGAAGTGGAGGATTGTCTTCTCACGCATGAGGGTGTGCGAGAAGCCAGCGTCGTGGGTGTCCCTGATGAGCGATATGGCGAAGCAGTCGCTGCATTTGTTATCCCTGCGCGAGGATGGACACCTCTAGATCATATGAAAGATACAGAGGAGGCGCCCATTGATAAAGCAAACGCTGAAGAGCCAGGGACTTTGTCAAGGGACGGGTTAAGACAATGGGTTGCGACAAAGCTGTCCAAGCATCTCGTACCCAAGTATGTGTTCTGGATCGATGAGTATCCCAAGACACCAAGTGGAAAGGTGCAGAAGTACAAGTTAAAGGACTATGCGAAGGAAATACTCGGTGACGAGGACAACAAGGCGGCGCAGTGATGAAAGGTTCAATTAAAGTAATTCATTGCATTGACAGCGTTATAATCGAGGTATCATTCGCAAATGGGCTATCTTTCTTCTCTTGAAAAGCCAAGCAGACAGATGATCAAGTGTTCCCATCCAAAGCCTTTAGAAATCGTCAAAAAAGGACTCTTTTTTATCTTCGTTGCAAAGAAGCAATCGTCGTCTCTAATGGCGGCCGTCTATTCTTTAGCGGAGCTCTCCAATGCAGACCCTACGAGGTTCCTGGCCTCGGTTATTTTTCGTTAGCTCCCATCTACCAAGTCGTTGTGATCAAGACAGCGGGCAAGATATCTCCTCCCATAAATGCAAGCCCAAAACATAAAAGTGGAAAAAAGGTTCAAAAATGTGAGCATCACTCGGATGTGGAACGAGAAAAATGCCGTTAAACTCCCAACACATAGCTTCGTCTAGTCGACCTGCTTCTCGCAGCCAATACGACCTAACAACTCCTTTCGATCACTGTGGCCAGGGAGGCTGACTCCTGAACTGCTGGCTTGTTTCTTAACGCCTGATCGTCGCTCCCAGTTTCGGAGGTCGAGCTCTTCGACGCCAACCTCCTCCTCCAGGGGCTGTGCCTCTTCGTAGACAAACTCCTCTTCCTCCTCCTCTTCGCCACCCTCGTCGTCACTTCGGACATCTTCAGCATCGCCTCCCTTCAGGACCTTGATAATGACGCGAACGATCATGGTAAACCAGCCGATGGTGATGACTTGGAGGAAGAGGAGGGGAGCAAGGAAACTCCACTTGATCGTCTCATTATAACAAACAAGGCCTTCAGGGTTGATGAAAGGGTCGACCAGATATTTCCAGCCGGCTGGAGGGTCGATGGGACCAATCATATTCTCGTTGTTCCCCTTGAAGCAACCAGTTGGCATGATACGGGGAGTGTCTGAGTAGATGGACCAGCAGACCGCAATGTATAGGACATGGCGAGCAATGAACCACGAAACTACAAAGAGGCCAAACATGACATCACAGACTTTCTTGAAACCGCAATACTTGAGGCACTTGGCGAGCTGCACTGAATTAGCAAGTCGACTGATAAGCAATGTAAGGAAACTTACAGGGAGGAACAGATCAACAACATCCATGATAACCAGGATGAAGTTACCGACACGGGTGTGGTGGTAAGTGTAGCAAGCGAAGATAAGAGCGGTGGTGACAATGTGATGGGTAAACATCTGCCAATGGTCCTTACGGCGCTCCTCAATGTTAATAACAATCATCTGCTGCAGCCAGAAAGCCCACTGGCAGAGGAGATAGGCCTTCATGAGTCCGTCGAGCTCGCGGTTAGGCCAGTCGGTCCAGAAATTCTCCATGCTCATGTAGTGAGGGGAAGTACAATAAATGTACTATACAGACGTCAGCGCATGCTTCTCACATCTTTGAGTAATATTAAACTTACCACGCCCCAGGGCCAGAAAACAGTATAGTACACCATAAGCCAAGCTTGCTCACTGAATCGGGTCAGGTTCTTGCGGTTGCTGATGCCCTGGAGTCGACCAATGGGTGCAAGAACGTATTCCATGGTGGCGGCGCGAAGACCGGTGAAGAGAATAACGCAGAAGGTGATGAAATAAGCATCATCGTAACCGATGCGATACTGGCCGGATTGAGAGCTGTAGTAGCTGAGGTGGAAGAATTTGTGGGTGTGTTCTCGAGCTTTGGGGATGAAAGTCTGGGCGAGGAAGATGAGAGCGAGGAGGTTAAAAGAGAGGCCTAAAATGGAAACCAGCTGTCAGCTTGAGTTCGGCAGAACAAGATAAAATGGCCAAATCAGTGCACACACACGGACGCACACCAGCAGGCGATCAACCTGTCAAGTCATGGGAGCGAGGCGTTTAGGTAGCGTAGCGTAGCAGGAAAGGACCCTTAGAGGCCTGGGATGGTACTGTAGGGATACCGTGCCACGCGGGGTGCTGCTGAAGTGCGACACCCTCCTATTCCCAAAGTGTCATTAACCAGGGACAAGTCTGGATTTTGACTTGACACCCTTGACAGTTGACACCCCCACGACAACGACATGGGCATCGCCCGTTCGCTCGCAATCCATGATCGGCAAGAAAAGAGGAGGTTGGAGAGTAACGTACCGATTTGGTTCTCGACAAACCAGCGCGAGAGATGCTTCCAGGTGCTCTCCTCCTTGCGCTTAAGTCGGCGGACAAGCACTGTCTTGTTCCCGGCAGTCTGCATGTAGAGTGGCCCGTTCATGTTGGGCGTGCTGTTGTCCTTCTTGAGTCGTGGTCGCGGGGCAGCAGTGGTTGGTGAAGTGGGATTGGCGGTACTGCTCAAGGCTGAATTGGGGCCTCTAGCCTCGTCTGTTGTTGTGATGACAGTCACATCTTGTCGAATGACTGTCTCCTCTACAGCTGTCTCGTTGCTGGTGACAGAAGGTCCGGGGACGATCTTGTCCTCGACCTGCATGACTGGATGGTCGCTCATTGTTGAGCGCCCGTGGCAGAAATGATGTATCCTCGTGCAGTTCTCGCTTCGTCTCGTGTAAGAGGATGCTGTGCCCTTTGTCTTATCTTTAGACCAGGTCCGTGGTAGGGAGGCGTTGAGCTGTGGCTGGCTGCTGCTGCTGTGGGCGGAAGGAGGGAGGGGTCCGCAGGTCGGAGTCGGAGGCCACAAAAAGATGGAAATTTGGGGGAGAGCAAGAGATCAGGGAATTGAGTTGAGCTGCGTTGCGTTGGTAGAGATCAGGTCAGATAATGTACCTGAGCTCTGAATTGTCCTCGTAACGTGGGGAGGAAACTTTCGGTGGGAAGATATAGCGATGCAAGGTTCAATCGAGATCCAAATCAAATCAAAAAAGTTAAGCAAAGATTCCCCTGTCGCTTTTCGCTTTTCGAGGTTGCGCGCAGCTAATCAGATGTCGAGTAAAAGCCGTTGGAGTTTCCCAAAGGCTTTCGTTCTCAACAAGCAAAACTGAACACAGTGAACGGCGAATGCAATGCAATGCCTGAAGGTAACGAGTATGGAGGAGGAGAAGGAGTAGGAGTAGGAGGAGAGGAGAAAGGGAGGAGGAAAAGAAAAGTTCAAGGATCGGGCAGCCAAAGGAACCTGAGAGAATGGGATCCCGATGAATTTTGAACCCCCGAGAATTAACTTGAGAACTGGCTAAGAGGAGAGGCTCGTAGGGGGTAGGTAGCGCACTGCACTACATCCATGGTAGCGGGGGTGTTTTACGGGGAGTAGGCAAGCCAGTTCCAGGTCCAGTTCCAGTGCCAGTGCCAGGGTGTCCACCTTCACTGTACGTACCTTGCTGCAGAGCTGTTGAGGGAGAACCTGAGTACCCCACCTCACAGCGGGCATTTTGAAGGCGGTGAGCAAAGAGATGCAGTTGGACTGCATTGGCACTGGATCTGATCTGAGATTGTTTGATAGAGGAGGTATTGCTGTTAAAGAAAAAAAAAAAAAAAAGAAAAAAACCCCATTTACCAGGGGAGAATAGGACCAAAAAATCATTCAATTGACCTCAATTGGACATACGAGAGTTCAGTAGAGCCATGAGAAGTACCGTATTATTGCCTCGCAGTGACAAGAGAACAGATCCATGAATCGATCACCTTGGTTCTCCTTTTGATCAACAATATTTCAGCACATCATTCACTGCAGCCGGCGCTTGTTCCTCTTCTCATCCCTGCATCAGCCAGAACATCCATATCCATTTAAGCAATTCCGTTCCGAATAAGAATAAGTCGGATGGGTGTCACCCTCCACCACTAGAAACAAACAAATATTAATTATACTACCCGAGTTACCACTGTCTGTCCAGGCCTCATTCCAAGGAAATTTCGAGATTCTAGATGGCCCTGGACTAGATGGAATGACCCTAGCTCCAGGGGACGGAAGGGGTCCAGCCACCGTTGCTCAAAGCTTTCCATCTCGTTGAGACGGAGAACAAACCAATGAGAACAGACGATTCTCGCGTCCCCTTACAATTTATTCAATCTTGCCCCTCCCTATCTTGTTCTTCTTATTGACAGCCAAGGTTTCTTAAGCTTTTAGCTTGGCTAGTAGCTAGCACCCTACCTAATCTGAGGCGAGGACAGTCAGAACTGCACCGTAGATCTCTCTTGGTTCAATACCCGAGTTTACCCCTTTTCTTTGTGCCAATTAACTACATCCACATGCGGGCCAGTGGCGGCTCGCTCCCGTAAAACCCTAGTTTTTCGCATTGGTTAAGTTTGGTGGGAGGATGTGGAAGCGAAAAGTAAGAAAAGTAAACAGGCACGACACCAAGATTCTATGCGTTCAAGATGTCATTCTCGTGTGATTTATAGATGTGCACTACGCTTCTGCAAGTCAAGCTGTTAACTTCCTTGGATGGGATGGAACCCAGTGAAATGCCGCTGCAAGGCCCATGCTCGGGTCTCTCATTGATTGACTTATTCCCCCGCTATGGGGCCCGTTCTACCGTTGGCTGCTTCAGAACCAGCATCTTCTGGGCTGATGATGATTTCCTCAGAATCGATTGGCCAATTCATGTGGTGGACTCATGCAACCTCGGTACAGAAGCACGGGCTGGAATTGAGATGGATGATTTGACTCTTTAAACTCTGCCCTTGTCGCTTCTATTCAGAGATTGCCAGTTTGAGTCAGTAACTTCAGTAGCTGCATGATACATCACTCACTGGTGACGAACGAGAGAGCTTCTTGGAACATCAACATCTCGATCCACTGTCGAAGCCTCCTCCACCGTCTTTTCAACACGAGACGGATCAATGGGTATTGTTTCAAGTTATCTTGCATGCCCCTCCTTAGGGGAGTCAAGAAAACCTAGAATCTATATTCTCAGTGACCAAAAGATTTGAGTAAATTTATTAAGACTTGGGTAATTTTAGTATAACTTGGTAGGCACCTAAACTCGTTATTTTTGATACCCTCTCTACAGGTCGGAGGTTTTCCTGCTCCCTGAAGCACAGCTGTCGCAATCACCAAGGTTCCTCCAGCTTTGTTTACCTGTGGTTGAGATATAGCTGATACATACTCTACAACTTGTCTTTTCATAACCCAGTGATTACGTCTAATAACTGCTCTGTAACAGTAAAAACCCGTGATCTGATCTATGTTTCGTCTACCGACTACAACTCGAACGACTTGGACATAAAGCTGCAATCTTGCGGAGTAGTACTCCACATGCGCATATCTAGCCTCCCAAATTAAGCTACAGATCACTTGTTGGTCGTGACATGTTTCTATAAAAGTCAACGTGAGATTCGGCGTCGGAGTCGTTCACTCCGCAATCCATCCGCTGACTACTTTTGATCAAACTTGCAATTGGACATTGCAAAAATACGCTGATAATTGCTATTTGCTGAATTTGTAGTTTTTATCTTTGCGTGCCATTGCAGTTACCTCACAAACCTCCACCCCTTCAACTCAGGTGGCCTTTCTAAGAATGAGGTAGAAGTGTCCCTTGAGGCAAAGAATAACCTGAACTCCTACTAGTTTACTGCAGTCAAGCAGTCTTTTCCTAATTTTATGGTCTTAGTTGGAGAACTCGGATGTTCAATATCTTCCTTCCAAGTTATGCACGTCTTGAACTGTCTATCCTAGGTAAGAGTTGAGATGGCGCAAAGAATGAAGATGTGTCGTTTGCTGGTGATCATAACAACGCCCCTTCTTCACCACCTTCATCTGCTGAAAGTTCGACGTCTGAAACACAGCAGCGTGTGGTGTTCGAGTCAGTATAACTCTATCGTCTTCTATACTCTGCAGGTGGTCAGCGTTTGTCATCTCAGTATTGCATTCGTCTTCTTTTCCTTTCCATGGCCTTTCAAAGCCATGATAATTATGAAAACGGTCATGGATTGGCATACGCCGGTTAATAAGATGAGCTATGGCATATCACAGTTATACAGGTTCCCATTCCAGACCAAGTTGAAGGTAGCTCGGGAGCGAGCAAGCATATAAACCACAGAACTGGTCACAGTAAACGCACTACTTGGTTCGTGAACTCTTTGAGCTCGCCAAGGAAACTCTCTATTCTGTCGTTATCGTTGTATGTTGGATTAGCCCCGGCTGTTAGCATCAGTCTGCGAGTGTTGAGCCGCTGGAGCTCGCTCCCTGGTATTACAGTCCTGGATTGCACTTGTAATCCGGAAGCAACTTAATGCCAATGCCAGTTCACGACATATCGACTTACAAGGCACGACAGTCGTCTGAAAATGCCACATGATCGACGTCGAGCCCCTCATCCAACAAAAACTTACACAGCTCTAGCTGATCCTTAGGATGCTAGGATCATTGACGAGTCTCAGGATGCAGTGGTCAATTGACATATCCATACTTACTGACAACAATGATACACCACGTTGGTCATGATCTCGTAGAGAGCCTGACCGCCCTGGAGCAGTTGCAAAAGCTCTTGTAACTTGCCTTGTCTCGCGAGCTTGAAAACTCGCTAACTTGATGGGAGAACTTTGGCCACCTGCAATCTCGGCAACCTGCAATAATTTCTCTCTGAATGAGAAAATCCACTGACATATGCTGGTTCTACTTTCTGTTCGGCAGGTAAGTCACTGGCATTTTGTAGTCAGCCAAATGCCCTTTGCCCGATGATACAGTGTTGCTCACGTCGCCTCTTGAGACCATCGCCCGTTTCCTCTTATGAATAATGGACCAACTCTCCAGATTCTGATACCTGCTTCTCCATGGGCTATCTCCTGGTATAGAATGGTGCCAATAACCAAACAACTTTTAGTTTCTATCGAATCAGCAAAAGTGAGTGAGCTTGACTGAGGCCATAGTTGACTTACTTCGAGAGTAGATAAACAGCGCATTCTGGTTGAAGGATCGGGTGCATCGACCGAGCCCATTCTCCGCGTTTCCTTGTAACTTGTGATTATTTCTATCCCGAGCACTCTTTGACATTGTCTATACATTAACTGTGACTGATCCCGTCAACTCATTATTCTCAGCGAAAACGTCAGCAGCGTCACATTTCTCATCTGTAGGGTCACAGAGGCGGTCGATGCTCTCTGAAATGACCTATCTTTTATTAGGTCCGTTCGTGCTTTGTTCTCCTTCGTTTTCACATTTTTACCCCTTGCCGGTATTCATTGCTCTCTGGAGTTACGTGATTCCTGATACCATTGAGCAATGAGGGTTCGTGTGCAGAGTTCGAGTTGCAGATGGGCGAGATCGAATCGATTGTCTGTTGAATAAGCGACAAGCTGTTTCGTGAACCAGTGTCTTGATCATTATGTCGAGTTGTCACGTCGTTCGCAAAGCTGAGTTTCTTCACTATTGATACAAGTCAAGCATCTATTAGAGCATTACTCCACTGTATCTGTTGCCACATCTACTGTTTCATCTCCCAAGCCGAAGAAGGCATTGCTGTCTAACGACAGTGATCATCGTCTATGATTAATACATTAATATATCATTTTGCTTTTATAAAACCACCATTGTTATACTGATCACAAACTGACTTTAGAATTAATGCTTTTTCAACTCGAGACAAGTTGTCATGTCGTTCTTTGAAGGTCGAGCTCAACCCGGACCTTCTTGTTCCATGCGCGAGACGTAGACATCAGCTTGCATTCATCATCACAGGGATGAGGGCTGAGGTAACAGTCTCGATTCGAGGTAGTTATGCCAAACTTAGGTCAAGGGCTCGGTGTACACAAAAGTCATCATAAGTTCTGTTGTCTAGTATTCTGTGTTTCTTCTAGACTTAGAGGTTCTATTTCCATACAATATTTACATATAACAAAAGTAAGAGTGATACAACCAAATGGTAAGGCAAATCGATCTACATGAGTAGATTTAATTCAGCAACTTTGACATAACGGTTTAGCTGGATAACCGTTCTTTCCCGAAGTACATTGCTGGGTGAGAAGACACAACGAGACGGAAGGAGCTCCTTCCCCTGGCAATTCGGACATAACCACAAAAGATCTCGACGCCCCAGAACTTATTTTTCTTCTTCTTCAAGCTCATCATTGTCTTTGCGTCTCGCCGTTTTTCGTTGCGTCTCGCCTGCGTCTGTTATACGACGCCTCTGTTTTCTGTCGCCGCCGCTGCACCGCCGACCTTTGCCCTTCTCTTCCCATTCCCCTGAGTGTGGAAGACTTCTGGAGACGTTCGTTACAGGCGCCTTCGAGCCCTGTCTTAACTCTTCTGTTCGCTTCGGTGACAGTTGGGCGTTCTGTTGAAGGTCGTCTGAAGCATTCAGTTTCCGACTCCCCCTCCTTCCCCTGTTTGTGAAAGACTTCCATAAGTCCGGTTTACAGGCGCCTTCGAGCCCTGTATTTACTCTCTGTTCACTTCTGTGACAGTTAGGCCGTTCGGTTGTCCGTAGCATTCAGTCTCGCCTCTCCTTTCTCTCTCACCCCCTATCTTCCTCAATAATGGCTACTACTATGGACCACACAGCCACCATCGACGAGATCCTCCAGGCTTTCGTGGTAAATCAATCCACCTAGGAGGCTGAATTGAGCAGTTACTATGAGCTCAAGGACAAAACCATCACCCTCGACCAACCTCGCAAGAGAGAGCTCAAGAACCAGAGCGATACAGTCGATGGCTATGCCAATGCTTGTCTTGATGTCCAGATCATTCTCCTTGATCGCATCGGAAACTCGTAAGTTTACCCCTATCTATCATAACATAGCACCTTCTGACAATGTTTGTAGACCATGGACCAGCCTGTCTGAGAGTGTCCAGAACGTCTTGAGCATCAAGATCCCCGGATCAGAGTACTTGGTTCTGAAAGTCCAATTCGGAGTAGAGGATCTTAAAGCACTCCCTATTGCAACTCCGGCCAGACCTCAAGCTGCTTCTGCTTACGTGACGCCACTAAGTATGACCTCCCAGGACTTATACCATGTATATTAAATCTAACACTTTTAGGCCAGGAACTTCCGCAAACCGGCCAGCATGCAGAGTCTCCTGGTACCGCAGATAGGGGCTCTGTCAAGCGAAAGGCTGCACCTCTTCTTTCGGAAGCCCTTCGTTCTCTTCCAGACCTCTTCAAGAAACCACGCCTCAGTGGCCCGGACGATGACTTTTTCCCCAGCGACGACGAAGTCCCAGTAGATCTCGTTGACGACGATGACGCTGCCGCTGCTACCGCCAAGTGTCTGACACAAGCAGTCGATGATCAAGGCTTTATCCGCATCGGTCGACAACCCATGAGGCCTCAACTATGGGTTCGATCAGCTCCAGAGAAAAAGGCAAATGGTGTCATCAAAAGGGCTGTTACTCACAATCACAACATCAGAGACTCTCGCTTTCCCAACTCGGATGTAGGCCGTCTACAGCTCGCCGCTACCAAGTTGACTAGAGAACTTGGGGGCCTTATGATTGAGTCCAAGACTGGCTGGGTTAAGCTACTCTGTGACTACACCGGCCTCCCGATGTCATGGGCTCCTGGACCACGATCTCCTTCCTTAGAGTCTATATACCCAGTGGTCAAATTTGAGGGTCATATTGAGTATCACGCCCCTCCAAATGGGCGTCTCATTATGGCTTTCATAAACTGGGCAAAGAGACAACACCTACCGATTGCTCTCCCCTTGGTTTCTGTTTGGCTCAATGCATACCAAGAGCCGAACTTCAACTCTCAGCAACGACAATGTGTTTGGGCCTTCAATGCACTCTCAAACACGATGATTATGACTCGGACTTTTCAAGCTATTGATAAACACGAGAATAGGACCAAGCGCTGGAACAGCTTAAGAGTTGATCAACAGCGTGCCATCCTTGAGATGCAACGAACAGGCACAAGGATACCTGGGGTCGAACACCTGCTTGAAGCAGCCAGTGAGGATTTTTTATGGGCCCCAACATACCGCGGTGCTGCTCCTGCCACCAGACGGAACTTCCACGGGTCCTCTATCTACAGGAGCCTCAAACACATCGCCGAATCAAAGGGCATCACAACCTTTGAGTTTGAGTACTACTGTACCGTTCTCTCTCCCGGCCGAATCAGGCAGAGAGTCTTCTACCCATTTCATATTCTCTCAAGGCCCCAAGCTGAGAGCATCGGGTGGGATTGGCATATTCTGTTCCAGATCTGTCGGGACATGCTCAAAAAGATGCGAAAAGAATGTAACAAGCACGCAGAGAAAGCAGGCCACGGAGAGGCTCATGTAGATGCGGTCCGACTTATCTACTGGATGGGAACCTGGGTTTGCGACCAGATCAGTCGTCTCAAAGCCAAAACTTCCGACAAAGAAGAGATCGCGTTCTCCTTGATGCTTGATCGCTGGGGGTTACCTATTGTCCCTTGGATATCGCATATCCTTCGAGTCTCACTTTGCAAGAAACAAGACCATGGAATTGCAATGATCTTTGGTATTGAAGACGCCCCTGACTTTGATCCTGTACAGCATATTGATCTTAATCGTGCCACTGTTACTCTAGACACGGGCTTTACAAACATGGCAATGAGGAACTTTGACGCTGGCTGTTGGGATAGTCTCCGAGCAATCCTTATGCGGGTACCTCTGCAACACCCTTTCTGGAAGGTTGATCTATCTCTTGGGGATAAAGTCTGGGCAGGAGAATGGGACAGGTCGATTCAGCCTCAGGCGCCTACCCCTGAGTTCCAGGCCAACCTTTTGTCGATCGAGGCATGGGTTGACGAACAACCCAGAGATCCCTTCTCTTGCGCATACTGTGACCAGACATTCAATAGTACTGGTCAGTTGGTCAAGCATTCCCGAGGATGCTCTAGAGGAATTCAGGACGAACAAGAAGCACCAAATCTTGAGCAGGACACTGCTGATCAAGAATACTGGAACTCCGTTCATAAGTGTGAGGAATGCGGCCAGTCATTTGCAAGATCGGATACTCTCGCTCTCCATCAGAGAACGCATACTGGAGAGAAGCCCTATAAGTGTGACATTTGCGGTCAGTCATTCACACAGAGTGGCAATCTCAAGACCCACAAGAGAACGCATACTGGGGAAAAACCCTATAAGTGTTCTTGCGGCCAAGCATTTACAAGGAGTTATAATTTTAAGAAGCATAAGAAGAGGCTTAACCACTGAATTTTATATTGTAGGATGGATAAAAGCAGGTAACTCTTTAATAAGATCACATCTCCCGTTGCATTCTGGACCAGGCTTGGGACGATGTATCTGGTTGCCACGGGGAAGGTGCAGTTGTGATCTTGAACACATGCAGAGGAAGGGCAGAGCGACAGTCAACAAGCTCTTTCCTATTTCTTGACCAAAGAGATGCTCGGCCGTAACTTCTTCTCGCTCAAATATCTACCTACCTACAACTTCTTGACCGTCTTCGTTTAACTCTGGTTTTCTTGATTAACTCACACGTTTTCGACTTGAGCTATATATTCACACTCGTGCTCTTGTCAGGTTCTTCATTATGAAGTTCCTCCTCCTTTTCCTATTCACCCTTTTGGGTAGTGCCGATGCGAGGTACTGGCTTGAGGATATCGAGCACCGTGGGACTGCTCCCTATTATCCTGACAAGCTTTACCCTGTGTTTCGCAACGTGAAAGACTTTGGTGCTATTGGCGATGGAGGTTCGTACTTCACTAGGAGTCAGTTTCGTAGCTAACAAAACAGTTGCGGACGACACGACCGCTATAAATGCAGCAATTAGTGAAGGTGTTCGATGTATTCCTGGTGTGTGCAAAGGAAGCACTATTTCACCTGCGACTGTCTATATACCAGCTGGGTGAGTGCGCAGAATAACATCGCTAATCCAGTATTGCTAACAGAGAAAGAACGTATCTCATCAGCAACTCCCTCATTGATTTGTACTATACGCAAATTATTGGTGACCCCACAAACCGGCCTGTCATCAAAGCATCCGCCTCCTTTTCTAAGCAAAGCTTCGGCTTAATCGACGGGAACCCCTATCTGTCTACTGGTTCCCTCGCATGGAACTCGACAAACGTCTTTTTTCGCCAAATTCGTAATCTGGTTTTGGATACAACTGCCCTTCCCCCAGACTTTCATGCCGTGGGTATACACTGGCCGTCATCTCAGGCAACAGCTATCACCAACTGTGTGTTCCAACTGTCGACCGTCCCTGGAAATCAACACACAGGCCTTCTCATCGAAGAAGGCTCAGGGGGACTTCTCAATGATCTTTACTTCTTTGGTGGGGGAAATGCCACAGTTTTGGGTAATCAACAGTTTACAGCACGTAACCTCTGGTTCTCTAATGCCGACGTCGCGATATGGATGACCTGGGACTGGGGGTGGACTTTCAAGAGTACCGTGTTTAAAAACTGTCGAGTGGGCATCAAGATGGATGATTCCTCGTTTGGCGTTGGCTCTATCACGATCCTTGACAGTTGGTTCGAGAATGTTGATGTGGCTATTGCTACAACACGCAACAGTTCACAGAGTATCAGCAGCACAGCTTCTTTGGCGATGGAAAACGTCAAATTTCAGAATGTGAACAACGTTCTCATGGGCCCTGCAGGTACTGATCTGGCACGTTCTGCTATAGCACCAGTGGAAAGCGCTGTTTTCCTGATGGTAGGCCAACTCGCGGAACTGTGAACATTACTAACAGAATCAGGGGCACTACACGAACTGGGAGGGCACATTCGATGCGACGGCCCTTTATCCGCTTCCTTTCACTCGGAGTCAAAATCTCCTTGATCGCAACATTTACTACGAGCGATCAAAGCCTCAGTACGAGCAAGTTCCAGGCAGTTCCTTCATCTCAGCAAAAGCAAATGGTGCATACGGTGACGCATCGCATGATGACACTCAGGCGCTCAATGCCTTATTCCAGTACACGGCGGCAAAAGGGCTCATTGCATATCTTGACGCAGGATACTACATGGTTTCAGACACTATACACATCCCACCGAATGCCAGAATTGTGGGTGAAGCCCTTGCGTCGATCATCATGGGGACTGGACCCAACTTTGGGGACCTGAACAAACCTCGGCCTGTCGTTCAAGTTGGTCGCCCTGGTGATGTTGGCCATATAGAGTGGTTAGATACAATAGTATCAACGCGTGGGCCAACGGCAGGTGCCGTCCTAATTCAGTATAATTTGTTCGCCCCTGGAGCCCCCTCAGGCATGTGGGATGTACATGCTCGCGTTGGAGGCTTTGCCGGGACATATCTTCAAGTTTCAGACTGCCCTGCTATCAAAGGGACAAACACTGTTAACCCGAGATGTCTGGCAGCATACATGAGCTTTCACGTAACAGCTTTCGCCGGGGGTCTATTCACAGAAAACTGTTGGTTTTGGGTTGCAGATCACGACCTTGAGGATCAAAAATACCAACGTGTTTCCATTTTTGCAGGACGAGGAGTTCTTGTGGAGGCACAAAGAGGCCGTATCTGGCTCAGTGCATCTGGCTCAGAACACCATGTTCTGTATCAGTACCAACTCGCCAACACCAGAGATGTTTATATTGGCCACGCACAGACAGAACAGGCATACTTTCAACCCATGCCCGTGGCTCAATACCCATTCCCGCCTGTCACAGCACTGAACGATCCAAACTTTCAGCAAGACTGCCAGAACGACCCTGATCCAGCTGGATGCAACATAGGATGGGGCATGAGAATTCTCAACTCCAGCAACGTGGCCGTCTATGGGGCAGGGTTGTATTCGTTTTTCACGAATTACAACGACACCTGTGCTAGCAACAAATCGCCAGGATATTGCCAGGCGAGAACTTTGAGCATTGAAGGCACCAACGCTGGAACGAGGTTTCTAGGATTGACTGTAGTGGGCACCAGGATCATGGTGCATCGAGATGGGATGGATTTGGCTCCGGCTAGTGACAACAACAGCACATTTGCAGACACTTTGGCTTTGTATGTATCATGAGAATTTGACATACTTTTTTGACGTCAGATAACGCAGGGGGAAGCTTAACAAGGGTATCGTTCGCTATACCAGTAAACTAACTAGAATCCCAAATACCTCTCAATGTTGCCAAAGCAATAAACACAGCTTCATCTGTCCTGATAGTCCGGCATCCTTGACCGGGCAAAATATTAACCCAATGGTCGAACAACTCCTTGGTCCTGGGACCCTGGATGTCCATACTGCTGAGCTCTTGGTCGTTCATTGCCGCAAACTCCAGACCTCGCGGGCCACCAAAGACAATGATAAGATGGTTGAAGTTGACTCTCTTAGACGGCGGGAAAACCCTAGAGGCCGGGATACCGCGTTCGGAGGTGCCAATACTAACATCGTACCCATTCTCGTAAGGACTCTCAGTGAAAACATTGGAGAGGGAACTGGCCCTTCTTACAGTGTATCCCCAATAGTAGCCGCCCTCAGTTCTTGGTGCAGCAGGATGCACAGGTTCAGGGTATTGGGTCTCATCCTCGGAGAACTTGAGTGTTATCCGTGTCTTTGGAGGGATCTTAGCCTCAACCTCGACAGGCTCCCCCAGGCCAACTTCAACGAGCGAACCGGAACCTGTGCTAGTTTCACCAGGAATAACTATTCCTTCTCGATAAGAGATCCAGTCCTTGGGGTTTGGGTGGTGGGGCATGTCGAGAGTGGGCAACATGGCAGTGAGTCGCAGGTTAGGGTGGAGAGGGAAGAGGGCTTTGCGCATAAATGGCGGCGCCTCTAGGTAGGTTAGAATGTGCGTGAGGAAATGGCATGGGTCGGTGTCGCCTGTGTAACTGTTGGTATCTGTGTGACGAGGTCGGGCCGAGAGAGGAGAATCGTCAAAAACAACCACTTCATCGACAGAGAAAGCAGCAAGGGCACGAGCAATGCGCGCGGGTTGGTTCATTCGCTGGTCAGCAGAAGCAAGGCTGTGATTGTTAGTGAGTACGGGAATAGCTACTACCAGCAAGCTACATACTCTGAGAGAATACTGCTGGGAACAGCAACGGAGATGGTCCATGGTCGACCACCTTCAATCGGGTCAAATATCGTGGAAGGTCTGGCGGAACCTCCCTCCCGACCATTATGTTCGGTTTTGCGTTTCTGTTAAAAGTTAATACATTGGTGTAAATTTAGGGTTGATTGATAACTGACTTTAGAGTTACGCTCTGAGTAAGACATCTTGCTGTTAGGGATTGATAAGATCCGAATAGTATAGATCACCTCAGGTAAAGTTGCGACAGCTCTAAACAAAAAGTTGTGATAGTGGGGCCAAATGTCCGGCAGAATCTTCCCGCCTTTGTCACCGCCTACCTAACACGGAGCTTTCGAGGGTCGCCCGCGCTTCGTCAGCATCATAGCGAACAGAATGCGACAAATGTGGCCTTTCACGACAAGCAAACAGACTCAACAATAACGAAATCGCAACCATGAGCGGCCCCATTAACATTGCTTCTGAGTCCGAATGGAGTAGTCTCCTCTCGGGTACAAATGTGGTGATCGCAGATTGTACGTTCGAACATTCCGCGAACACCCATATGATCACTAACACTACTTCTACTAAGTCTACGCCGACTGGTGTGGTCCCTGCAAGATGATCGCGCCTACATTCGAAGCTCTCGCCAAAGAACACTCACGCCCGAAGAAGGTTGCCTTTGCAAAGGTCAACGTCGATAACCAGTCCGGCATCGCTCGAGCCCAAGGTGTTTCCGCCATGCCGACCTTCAAGATCTTCCACAATGGCACCTGCATCGAGACCATCAAGGGCGCCAACCCTCCCGCTCTTACGGCGGCTATCAATAATGCGGTCAAGCTTGGCGGACCAGCTACTGGCAATGTTTTCAAGACTCCCGGGCGAACGCTCGGTGGCGAGTCACGATCTGCCTCGCTGTCCAAACAGTGGAACTTGAAAGGCTTTTTCGATGCTCTAATAGCGTTCTTTGGACTATACTTTGTTTCTTTGTTCACGGTAAGTGACTGGCTGGCGGCCTATCAGTGTGGAATATTGGGGTTTGCTAATTAGATGGTAGTTTGACCCGTATAAGTCAGCCGAAGAGAGCCCTTTCAACCTTCATCGTAAACCAGCACCAAGAAACACTGGTGGTTCGCAGAGCGCCAGTGGTGCCAGAGCTCCTCCACGTTCGTCCTTCAAGACGTTGGCAGATCTTGGTGGTGATTAAGAGAAACTTCGGGCATGGCGTTAATCAGTATAGGGCTCTACATGGGCATGGTTATTCAATCTTTTCAGGCGAACTTACTATACAGTTCTAGAATCATTCGACTCGTTCATATGATCTTGACTCTCCATTTTTCATTGCATGGTGACAATTTAGCTGAAGCGTAAAGACAATTGCCACAATGTCACGTGATTGCGCGTCAAGACAAAAAACTCCCAATGAAGCTCTTTAAAACTTCAACTCCATACCCTCAGATTTGTATAGTACGGAAAATGTTGTCGGCCAGAAGGATCCGAAATGCTTGTCCGAGGTGTAGTGCTTCTTCTTTAACGGTATCTTCACGGTTTTATTCTACTTCCACTCCTTTACTTCGCCCACAGCATATTTCTTCCTCCCGTTACTTGCAGCCCAATAGGAACGCAGCAATTACACAGGCATTTTCGACGTCAAGATGTTTGCGACAAGACACACAGACACCGGGACAAGCGTCGCCGGAGGAAATTGAGCAAGTTGTTCGAGACGCGAAACAGAGATTTCGAGATACTTTACCAAAAGGATACCTTAACGATGAAGAATATGCGGTATACGAACGATTATACGGCGCGCCGCTACGTGAGACGAGACCTGAAGATGTCGGTATTCCAGAGCATGCGGACATGGGACCACAACCCCCACGGCCAGATAATGAAGGTATTCTATTGAGGCAGCTTGAGGGTGGCGAATTTGAAGAGGTCACTTACGAAATTCCTATGAATGAGAGTGTTGAGGACATAAACGAGCCAATTCCGGAAACCGACTTGGAGGACCGCGCAATCGACCAAATGGTGCCAGGCTACGTCGATTTAGTTGCCAGAAGCCAACGAGAATACGATGCACTACAGAAGCTTTCAGAGGACTTCAAGGTCGCACAGCAGAAGCAACAAGAGGCTGAAGATGAAGCGGCGGCTCAGGAAGAACTAGAGATGGAACGGCTGGAGGAAGATACAGAAGCGACTTGGCCTGAGGAGTATGAGCATAGTGAGCGAGTCACTGGCGAGGAGGCGCGATTTCACCCCTTGACTCTAGAGGGTCGCTTCTGGGGAAGTCCCCTTGAGATTCTCTTGCCACAGGACGAAATGGTCATGCCGATTCGTGATCTTCTACAGCGAACTCATATCGATCACGTCAAGAGTGCCGCCGAAACTGCGTTTGGCGGTCCAGGTCTTCCTCTGTCTCCTGCGACACCTGAAGCCAAGAGGAATGGAAATATGTTTGGTGTTGGCCTTCCAGCAGATCAGCGACATATGACTGAGATTGAAGGCGATGCTTTCCTTGCAGGCTTCATGCCGCCAGCCTATGCCTCAGTGATGGCTACCCTCAAAGAAGTTCGCAAGCGAGTTGGCAGCAAGTGGCTTCAGTCCAAACTCAAAGATGGCAGTGGCATGAGCGTTCTTGATGCAGGATCTGGTGGCGCAGGCTTGATTGCCTGGGACGAGATCGTACGAGCAGAATGGGGTTTACTCAAGGAAAAGGGCGAGGTCAAGGGGGATAATCCCCCAGGCAAGCGTACAGTCATTATTGGCTCTGATCGCTTACGACACCGCACCAAGACCTTCCTAGAGAACACCACTTTCCTTCCTCGACTTCCCGACTATGAGCACTCAGGAGAGATGAAGGGCGAGCATCTAGATGCGGGTAGCAAGCCTCAACCTCGCAAGAGCTACGATGTTATTATCGCCTCTCATCTCTTTCTGAAGGAAGAGCAGGACCACTATCGACAAGCAGTCCTTAACAAACTCTGGACCTTACTAAACAAAGACGGCGGTGTTCTGATTGTCCTAGAGAAGGCCCATCCTCGAGGATTTGAGGCTGTTGCTCATGTTCGAGACACCGTCCTTCGGCAGTTCCTTTTGCCTCAATCTGGAGAACCAGAGCTTGATAGCGAGGACTTCAACCCTGCTTATCAACGCGAAAAGGAGCTCGGATATGTTGTTGCCCCCTGTACTAACCAGGGGCTGTGCCCGATGTACCAGACTCCTGGTAAGAGCAAAGGCCGCAAGGATTTCTGCCATTTTAGTCAGAGATTTGTACGTCCTGCGTTCTATTCTCGAATGCTTGGAAACAGCACGAGAAACCAGGGTGAGGTGGAGTTCAGCTATGTGGCCTTTAGACGTGGCGTTGCCAAGGAGCGGTCTATAAGTGGTAAGGAGGCAGCAAACCGGGCGTTCGAAGGATACGAACACTCTGACGAAAAACCCGACATGCAGAGCCTGCCGCGATCTATCATGCCTCCGTTGAAGAAGAAGGGCCATGTTACCCTTGACTTCTGCACACCGGAAGGCAAGCTTGAGAGATGGACCGTTACCAAGAGCCAAAGCAAACTCGCATACCACGATGCTCGCAAGTCACGATGGGGCGACCTTTGGGCTCTTGGAGCCAAGACGCGAGTTCCACGCAACGCTCGTACTGGCAAGGGGCCCGACGACGGTGGTAAACGAGCCGGACAAGGCAAGAAGCCCAGAAAGGTCGAGATTGTCATGGGGCCTGGCGGTATCAGTGCCAGCGAGAAGAACGCCCCTCGTGAGCGTCGTGGAAAGAACAAGATGGACAAGAAGAGCCGCCTTATCAAGGAGATTCTCGAGGCGGAGGAAGAGGAAGAGAGAATAATCGCCAAGCAAATGGATGAAGAAGTAGAGGCTGAACTGCAAGACGACTCTGACAGAAGAGGTCGATCATAGGTGGATGTATTATATGTAAAATATATGTACCAACACTGGTTCGAGGCCAGGAAGTCATGATGAGGGCATTGGGCATGATGATAGATCTCAACACCAAAACAATGTAACGATTTTATGCAATACACTCCTCGAAGCCTTCGAACCATGCTTAATTGTCGTGAAGCACTCTCCCGCAGCATAATGAGCCTCATTCAAGTCATTCAGCGTACGCGGCGACTTTTTGAACACCGTTCCGATGATTGAACCTCAACAATAAGAGCCACGCCCGGTTAGCTCAATCGGTAGAGCGTGAGACTCTTACGAGTACGCGATCTCAAGGTTGCGGGTTCGACCCCCGCATCGGGCTGTTCCTATATAAATTCGATTGCGAGCGTTTGCGAGGCTTTCTTTTTTGTTTTTTTTGTGTTCTGTGATAGTTTGTGCTGCGGTGTCATGGTGATGTTTCTGGCGTGAGCCCTTACACGATGATGCGTCAAGCAAGAGACTATTTTATCTTTTTGTCTGCTCCTGACGAATGACGATTTATGATCCAATTGGCCTTGCTATTCCTTCATCATGACATGGATTGAACCACTAATACGTAGGCGAAGTCCATATCATGGCCATTTGGTTATCACGTGTCTTGATATCAGATGGTCTTCTCGAGATTTGCATCTCCGCCCAAGAACCAAAACCACGGAATTCCATGCTATGCATCAGATCATCTTATCGCTTCCCACACTCAAAAATAACGTGCTTTATCGCAATTCTGACATCTCCGGTTGCGGCCCGCGGAAGTCGGCGATTGCGTTATCAAGGGTGTCTTTGGTGCCCGCCGACAGCCCGATTAAAGAGATGGCGTGAGTTTGAGCCAATGACACGAGCCTGATTTGGAGTCTCTGGAGGGGGAGGGGCAATGGGGTAACTTTTTTTCTTCTATCGGCTCATGAGGGAGGAGCAGGGGTTCAGGGTCTAGTCTCGTTCAGTTCATGAGAGAGCTCTTTTATAAGCCGACCGAGTCTCGCAGTCGCGACATTTTGGTGCGTTGTTGCTGAGGTGAAATATTTCTTTTCTTTATTTTCTGTATAAGCGGATCAATCAAATTATTCGAAATGGCATCAACAATACCTTCATCGCTTCTCGCAGCTCTCAACTGCAGAGGCAATACTCATCTCGTTATCGGCACGAACCCGCTCGCTGCGACTCGATGTACCCAGTCTCTAAGCTCTGGCGCAAGACCAATCCTTATTGCCCCCGAAGGCTCTGAGCTTCACTATGCTCTGCAGAAGAAGATCGACGATGGCAGTGTCCAATGGCACAAGAAGCAGTTCGAAGACGCCGATTTGCTAAGACTTGGGCGCGAGGAAGTGGATGGTGTAGTCGATGCTGTCTTTGTCACGTCAGGACCACGAGACCCTCAAAGTAGGTCTTGTAACAAAGGACAAAGTCAATATACTAAAAATTATCAGGTCTTCATATTTCTACCCTCTGCAAACGAAATCGCATTCCCGTAAACGTCGTTGACGCTCCTCAACTCTGCACATTCTCTCTCCTCTCGACACATACCGACGGCCCGCTCCAGATCGGCGTCACTACAAATGGCCGTGGCTGTAAGCTAGCCTCGAGAATTCGTCGTGATATTGCCGCTTCCCTCCCCGTCAACTTGGGTGCTGCCTGCACACGCCTCGGAGACGTCCGCCGCCGCATCCATGATGAAGACTCCCTAGGCGCTCAAGACGACCCCGCCTCTCTCGATGACTCGTACGACCAAAACGCTCAATTCAACCGTTTAATTACTGAGGAGGATGCGAAGAACCGCAGGGTGCGCTGGTTGAGTCAGGTCTGCGAATACTGGCCCCTGAAGCGCCTCGCTGCTATTACCGACAATGATGTTGAGACGGTTCTCAAGTCATACCCCGGTAATGGCCCTGATATCAAGCGTGATCCTGGTACGCCAGAGAAGCGTGTTGGTACCATTATCTTGGCTGGTAGCGGACCTGGTCACCCTGATCTCCTCACCCAGGCCACTCATAAGGCTATCAAGACCGCTGATCTTATTCTTGCTGATAAGCTGGTGCCTTCTGGTGTCCTTGACCTTATCCCCCGCCGCACTCCTGTTCAGATCGCTCGCAAGTTCCCCGGTAACGCAGATCGCGCTCAAGAAGAACTTCTCGAGATGGCTCTCGCCGGAGTTCAAGAGGGCAAGACAGTCTTGCGCCTCAAGCAGGGTGATCCATATGTATATGGACGTGGTGGTGAGGAGGTGGCCTACTTCCGTCAACACGGCTTTGGAGACAGAGTATCGGTTCTCCCAGGTGTTACGAGTGCTTTAAGTGCCCCTCTTTTCGCAGCCATCCCTCCTACGCAACGTGATGTTGCTGACCAGATCCTGATATGCACTGGCACGGGCAAGAAGGGCAAGGCTCCTTCACCGCCAGAGTTCGTGCCCAGCCGTACTGTGGTCTTCCTCATGGCCCTTCACCGAATCAACGGCCTCATTCGTGAGCTGACAACTCACATCGAGCTTGAGCCTCTTGCTCCAGCTAATGAGGAGGCTGCTTCAGCGCAGCCCCCTCCTCCACCAGAACCTACTCAAGTCTCGCCTGTAACAGGCGAGAGCAAGCGAGTACTCTGGCCCCGCAACACTCCGTGTGCTGTCATTGAGCGTGCCAGTTGTCCCGATCAGCGGGTTATTAGAACCACACTTGAGCATGTTGCTGAGGCCATTGAGACAGAGGGCAGCCGACCTCCAGGTCTCTTGGTAGTTGGACGATCTTGCGAGACTCTTTTCACCCCTGAAAAGGGTCGAGCTTGGGTCGTTGAGGAAGGATTTAGAGGAATGGAGATAGAAGATTTCACTGTCGGCCTTGAGGCCTTGCAAGCATGATTCATGATATCCTATATGATTTGGTTTGGAGTTTACGCGGGCATGATAAAGGTTGCATAGCTGGAGTTGGGTACATCTGGATATTACTTCTACATAGACTCATATCAACAACGATCATTACTATCCAATCTTTATTCACTCTGCACGCGAGCGCTTCGTGTTTAGCGGTGCATCGCCGTCCTCCTCTGACGGTCTCTTGCTTGCCAAAGTTTTCCGCAAGTCTTCCTGTCCAGGCTTTTCCAATAGGACCAGCTCTTTATACTTCTCATCACCCGAAAAAACTTTTAAGTAGTCACCTCTCAACCCACGGAGCTGGCTGCCCACTTCTCGAAGGGCTTTTTTGCCAGTCGCGCAATTCCTTGTCGAAATTTGTCCCCAGTTTTGTAATCGTCAGCTGGACCTTTAAACCAGCCTCCATTCTTTTAGGTGAGTAGATCGGATCTCTTAGACGATACTCAAGGTAGTGCAGGTGTGCGCGATCGATTGACAATTCCCATTCTTGCTGTTCAGGATCCTCAAGGAAAGCGTCAAGCCATTGACAGTCTTTGCACTCCTCTGTTGTAGTCCCACAGGGAGGCTTCTTGTGAGCCCATCCTACCAGTTCGTCTGGCCGGGAATTGATCGGACGATGGGGTACCTCTCGCAGCGCGGTTCCCAGGAAATCTTGCACTGCTGGAATTGTAGGCGCCTCATTTGCCTCCAGAATCTTGATAAGAGGCTCAAGAAATTTGTCATATATACCATAGTTTTCAAATGGGAGCCAAAGCTCCTTGTTGTCGTTGAAAGTTTTGCAGTTCCGCTCCAATATCCGCCAAGCTTCTTGTCCCGCACAATTTGATATAGCCTTCTTTCAGCTGCTCGACAAGTTCACTGCCTTGAGACCACCTGCCCGTGATCAGACCAGATTTGAGCTCTTCTACTGGGAAATCCAATTGTTGTCCAGCATGCTCGAGGGTGAACTTGCAGAGCTCAGAGAATTTCTTGAATGAACCAGTCCTCTCAGATGACATGTGCTGTAGAAGAAACAACAAAAGGGAGCTTTCAGCTTTCGATACGATTTTCTGAAGAAAGCTAGCAGTGTTAGTAATTTGCTCCTCTTGAGTCACGCAACATCTCTGACCAACATATGTTTGAAGTATCCATTCTTCATCTCCACTGCGCTTTTTTAGAATTGAGGAGGAAAAATCGGTGGTCATGCTTCCATGAAGCCTGAGATTGTATCTTTTCTTCGCAAATGGGATCTGCCTAGACCTGGAAACTCTCAAATAGAGGGGGGTGCTTTGCCAATGACTTGAAAGCAGCACAAAAGGAATCGAAGTCTTTAGCTGAAACAGTGTCTTTGATGAGTTCTTGGAACCTATTGTGCTTATGTCAATATCGTAAATTTCATGGCAAAGCCATAATGAGTTCGACCTACCAATAATTCCAATCGATCGCTTGTTCTTTGTCATCAAAGTGCTTTCTCAGATAATTTACCAGCCCTCGGCTAATGTCCTCTCCGTGCGATCGGAAATTCTTTCTGAAACATTCCAGAAAGATCTTCGTGTTCTCGAGCTCCAAAGCACACTTCGAGATAAGACCTGGAACTCAACCCTTTGACCATAGTTGCATGCGGAGACACAAAGCGTTCTCCATGAAAGCTGTAGCAACTTGTCTTGAGTATGGATCATCTCGGTTTTTCAAAAGATCTTGATACACCATTTCTGTCAAAATAATCCTCTTTTATGGTGCAAGAAGGTCTGTAAGAGGGCCTGTTCGAGCATAACTGGTCAAGGTACTCCTTCGGCATAAGATAGGCTACCGTCTTGTGATAATGAAACGCGCGCGGCTCTTTGGCCTTACCAAACAACCCCCCTTCATCCTCGATATCAGGGGCTTCCCTCCCAATATCGTAGTCCAAGAAATCTTCAAGGTTGAGAACGAGTTCTGAAGAAAGTTGATCACCGTTCAGATTGTACAGGGTCCTGAGGGTAGTTTGATCTTGGTACTCATCACAGTCATCTATGTCAACTTAGAAATGCGTTGTTTGTCCAAACATGAAGTAGAAGCAAGCTTCTGAACAGATCTCGTTCAAATAGCGTCCAATGGATCGATCGCGGCCTTGAAGATTTCTCAAGCACAAGCTTGACTCTGCGTAAAGGTGGTCTAGGGGGTACAGAAGTTTACCGACTTTGGGGAGGTCAGTCCGAAACCTAGCCAGCATGGATTTGAGATCCTTGGTTCGCTGGAAGAAGGTGGAGGCCGATAGCTCATCTTCCCCCGTTGCAAAGAGTTTGTAGGCGAGGACGAGTCGATATCCAGATGTCAGTCGCTCGACTTCATGTGTCACATCTGAATACCAGGACATGGCTGTGAGGTCAAACTCGCAGTTTTCGGCTGTTGAAAGACGTCGTTTTTGAGATCCAAAGGACAAGCAAACGTCACCGCCCTCATGTTGCGAAGGAAGACAGACGAAAAGAGTTCCGATCATGCCTTGTTCCTTTTCTGAATCTTTATGGGGTTGGAGGAACGATCCAGGTTCGTAGAGGAGTAGCTTGTGAGGATCGGCTCGTAGTTCGAACAAACCGAGTCCTCTGGCCATATAGCGCAGTATCCTTGAGCTAAAGTCCTCGAACCATTTCTTGTTCACGAGATTGAAATTCGAGGCATCGAGCTCCCATGTATTGCGTACTGAAGTGTCGACAACCGTCCTGTTGCGATGGTCAAAGGGCGCCTGTTGGCAACCGCTCTTTATTGCCTGCGCGTCATCCTCTTCTAGTGTTAGGCGGATAGGACGATCCCCTTCAATTACAACCTGGATTCGCATATTCAGCGTAAATATCGAAGGTACTAAATGTCACCGGTGGATCGGATCGAGTCGAGCGTGCGTGACAACGCATGAGTACTCTCGGCATATTCGTCAACTGAGGAACTTTCAGATCCCTCATCTGAATAGTCGGACATGGTGTGGTCTAACTCGCCAGTTCGACCAGGCTCTGGTGTTTGTTGACGTTCTGGTAATATTGTGGAGTTGCGAGGAGTCGGTTTATCTCGTCAAGAAAATGATGGACAGGTTTGACTTTAAATGCCTGCCCGCGTGTGCAACATTTGGATAACAGCTGCCACAAGCCACGGATGAATGCAGAGACCTTCCCGCTGGTAAAATTGAACGTAGCGATCGAACAATAATAAGACACTGAGTTTGTTCGCAGTGCTAAACATTGCCCGCTTCCGTCTGACCTGCTGTTTGATTGTACGGCAGACCCCGGTCTATGGCGCCCATCTCGGAGGTGCAGAGCCGTTTACCAGGCTGTGATCCATCTCCAGTGGGTGGCCTTCTCACTTCAGCTGAATTCAGGGGCGGCACGTATGGAGTTACTCCCTCCAGCAAGATGATCTCACGGTATCGTTGCTCACCAAGTGCCTTCCTCATGAAATGTCCCCGGAGAGGTTGAAGAACCTTCTCTAAGCCGCTGTAGTTGAAAACCAAGCTTCGCAAGTCAGGTTGGGCCTGGGCTGCCGTCTTGGTCACCCTGAGTTTCTCACACGTGCCGGTTGTCTGATTCAATACTCTTAAAGCTTGGAGCGACTCTTCTACCCCAATAGCATGCTCGATATGCAATCTTCGAGTCTTTGGTGCGTTGAACTCCCAGACGGTATCCTGAGGCGAAGCTAAGAATCGATCCAGTTCAGCACAATCCTCACAGAACCCACAGCCTCACTCTCGGAAAAACCAATCCGCCAACAGCCTGAGATTGCCTGGGCAAGTTAAGGCGGATGATTTTGCGCACAAGAAGCTCAAGAACTTCCAATCAAGCCGGTATCTTCCTCCACAGGCCGTCCGCGGACAATCGAATGAGGGGGGTGATCAAGCAAAAGATAACACCGAATGGATCTTTGACAAGAATCCACTTCACCTTCTCTGCGACAAAGAGAGAAAATGTCTCTTTAAGTACCCGAGAAGCTTCTACAAATGCTCCAATAGCGTGGCACTCAGTAGTGAGCCGAACAAAAGGGCCGCAGATCATATCATGCCTTGGAGTCTGAACCAACCAAGCTTCTTCCGTAGGCTCAAGCCTATCAGGCGAGAAGTTGAGTTTACCATCGCTGTGATTTATAATGCTTTCGAACATTGCCTTTGCATGTTTAAACTGTGGTTCCTTTCTGAACTGGTAGATGTGGAACAGAAGCTGGATCAAGAGTGCGCTATGGCCCTCGTTGTGATACCCAGACGCAACTCTGGGAAGCAGCCTAAAACGTCACATGAGCATCAAATTGACTGAAGTAAATAACGGTCGGCAAAACAAGATAGACGAACCTGTTGACAATCCAGTGAGTGTTGTCGCAGCGGAGCCGGATTAAGTCGAGGATCATTTCTAGATCCTTATACTCCCAACTGAGCTCTGAGTCTAGCTTCTCGTCCATTATTGTCTCCGACCATGCATCAAAAGATTTCCATACAGGTGGACTGACAGCCAGGATAGTACGCGAAAAGTTGCGATATGATATTCCAAATCGCCCGATGGGCTTCTTTGTGATATCGTCAAGCCTGTATTGAGGTTAGGTAATACATGACTTTGGACGTAAGAAACTTACCATTCTTTCCAATCGATAGAATCTTCTGAGCCTTGGTACTTCTTTGCAAGATACTCTACAAGTACATGCACTACAGTTATGGGTGTTTTCCGGAAAGCTGTTGTGTATAGTGGCATATAACCAGACCTCAAGCACCAGTTCACAATGGGGTTGATGCATGTGCATAGCACTTGCGTGTCATTCCCAGAGTCGCAAAGCTCGTCGATTATGTTTTCTGCCACCTTGACTGTACCCCCAGGATTCTTCTCTAAGTCGTCGACGACCATCGCCACAACGGGTGTCACGCCTGGATGATGGGTCTCTTGATCTCAAGTAGGTCGTACTGGCCGCCGAGAGGTGTTTTGACCACCATCTGGTCTCACCAGGTCCAGCAATCCTTCTTTAGGTATCAGAAGAACTGCGTGGTCGTGCCAACGGCGAGTCATTTCGTGTTCTTCCATGAGATATCCATTACTCATGCCCTTATCATCATCACCGGCAGGTTCGAGGTCCCATTGCCGACCCACATCAAAGCCCAATACCTCATTTTCTGCATCGAGCTCTTTGTTTTCTGTCAAGAAATGACCTTCAGGCGTGTAGAGTCCGTCAATTGAACCTTCCACAGTTGTGAGAATGAGATTACCGGTCATCTCATGTGTGGTTTCAGCGAACACCATGTATAGCCCGGCCCGTCCCGTCAATGCACACCTGACGTCAGCGATACAATAGGGGCCAAGGGGAGGGAAGGATCCCTAGAATCTCTATTCTAAATGACAAAAAAAAACTTGGACAAATTTAGGATAGACTTAGTAGACCTTTAGGGTACCTGATTATTTTCAGCCCCTCGGCCCAGGTCCAGAAGTTTTCTTGCTCCTTAAGGGGGGGCTTGGCGTTCAAATGCCCAGCCCAATATCGGTCCATGGGTATTAAACAATGCGAGTTCACTCAAAAGAAACCGGAACGGGTCCATGATCTTGGATCAGTTCTCTTCAATTACCCATCAAGGTTCTTCCTTCATACCGTGTTTACCTATTAGAACTACGTATATAATATGCCTAGGCCAGGTACGCCAATGGGGATGACACAAGAAATATCCTTATCTCACAACCAATACCTCACTTCGCGTTTCAATATACAATCTCCAGTCATCTACCAAATATCTATTTGTACAATACCACCAAAGGCCAGCAAGAGTCAGTTTGAGCAAGTATTGCAGATCTTACCTTAGACAGCTGACTCATCGGCCCCGCTACTATATCTCTCAAGTGAAGCATGTTGATTCACCTCAACTTCTCTGATGCAAAGATGGGTTTCCTATCGCAAAGAGCCATAGAGGCGGTTGGCGGACTAGATCTGCCATGGAGGTTCGCACCGAGGGGGGACTATGATGCAGATCATAACCCAAATGGTTTGATATCATTTGGCACAGCTGAGCATGTACGAGAACCTTTAATCCAGACAGAGCTTCAGAATGCTGACCATACTAGGCCTTGGTAACTGAAGAGTTGAAGGAGTTCACAGACAAGAATGTATGAGTCAACTTATCAAACCCATAAACCCGAGCAACTCGTAACTCACGCACATAGGTCACCATCTCACATGATGATTTCCTCTATCGAGGTAGCCATGCAGGGGGTCCTCGCTTCCCCAAAGCCTTAGCGGCCCACCTCAATGAATACTTCCAACCGTATAGCCCTGTAACTCCCGATATGATTCGATGCGTTGGTGCTGCTACCGCAATGCACGATATTCTTGCATGGGGAGTCGCGGATCCCGGCGATGGCGTACTGACCAGCAGACCTGTATATGGCCGGTTCGAGCTTGATTTCGGTAACATGTCTCAGGTCAGAGTCGTATACTCCAACAATAAGATAGAAGAAGCGTTCCAAGGGGACATTGTCGAAAAGTTCGAGGAGGCGTTGTTGCGCTCTCGAAAGGCTGGGGTTAATGTCAAGATGGTACTAATCGTTAATCCCCATAACCCCCTTGGTAAGAAAATATTTGTGCTTTTCTTGCCCAAGTACCTAATACGTTTCAGGACGCTGTTATCATAAGTCAACGCTCATCAATATAATGCAATTCTGCCAGGAACATAGACTGCATCTACTGAGCGATGAGATATACGCCTGCTCCGTTTTCGATACGGATGAGCCTGCAGTCCCCTTTACCTCGATACTTTCAATTAATCCGACTGGTCTTATAGATCCAGAACTTCTTCATGTCACTTATGGTCTTAGCAAAGACTTCGGTGCGGCTGGTCTTCGGCTTGGTGCCATAATCACTCGCAGCCAACCTGTCCTCCGGGCCATCGAAGCGGCCATGCGATTCAATAACCCTTCTGGAGCCAGCTTGGCTATTGGAAGCGCCTTGCTTGAGGATCGAGCGTGGTGTCGAGCTTTTATTGACTCTTCAAGGCTGAAGCTCGCCCAAGCCCATCGCCATATCACGTCCCTGCTCAGCGACATGGGTATCAAGTACTTACCCGGCAGCAATGCAGGGTTCTTTGTCTGGGTAGATCTATCCCCATACCTTCCATCTGAGTTCGACGGAGAGTTGAATCAAGAATTTGCTCTCGCGAAACGGTTGCACAAGGTGGGCGTGTTTCTGCATCCTCGCGAGGAGCATTCTATTGAGCCGGGATGGTTCCGAATGGTATATTCGCAAGATCCAAGAACTGTTACCGAGGGGCTCCGGAGGTACGTTGATGGATATTGCATTAATGACCAAGTTTCAATGCTAATAATTCTAGAATCCATAAAGCGATATCTTAGCCTGAATGGCAGTGGAAAAGGTTAATCAAATTTATGACGGGCAAATTCAAACAAGTGTCAGAAATTTCAAAGATAGAGGTAGAAAACAGCCAGCCATCATAAGTACGAATGTAAGTGGCTGTAGCTTTGATATCACGCTGGAAATCAAACCTCAGTCCGAGTGATGGTAATTTGATAGCTTATCTTGATACACTTTGTATCTGCCACCTACTGGCCAACAGCATCCTCGAACTTCTTACCAGTCAACATGAGGAAGGCCTCTCGGTAGCGGTCTGCTGTAGCCTGAACGATATCCTGGGGTAGCTCCACGCCCTCCTTGCCCTTGAGTCCTTCCTTAGTGAGCCAGTTGCGGATGAATTGCTTGTCAAAGCTGTCCTGGTCGCGGCCAGGCATGTAGCCGGCTGCTGGCCAGAATCGAGAAGAGTCAGGGGTCAGAACCTCATCGACGAGGTAGATGTTTCCCTCTCCATCCTTGGCAAATTCAAACTTGGTGTCAGCCAAGAGAATGCCTCGCTCTTCGGCATACTTGGCGGCCTCCTCGTATATCTTGAGGGAAAGTTCCTTCACGCGGTCTGCAGTCTCACGATCACCAACCTCCTTCCAAGCGTCATCAGGGTGGATGTTCTCGTCGTGTTCTCCAGCATCAGCCTTGGTGCTTGGAGTCCAGAGAGGCTGCTTGAACTTTTGGGCTTCTTCCATACCAGGCTCGACGGGGATGCCATGAACGGTTCCCTTCTGCTTGTACTCCTTGAAAGCTGAGCCGGTCAGGTAACCTCGTCTGTTGGACTGTTAGTGCTTAAATGTCCCTATAGAGCACGAAACTGAAGACCTGTTTCATATTCAAGGGAAGGTTTCGCGTGGTACTTTTGCAATGGGAATGGGGGCGTACACAATTGATTCGATCTTGATGACAGAAAGCTTCTTCACGACCATCGAACGGTCCTTGATGGTCTTTGCCTCTTCAGGAGTAACACCCTCGGGAATATCGAGACTGATGAAATGGGTGCGGAGGCCAGGAATGCGCTCTGTTAAAACTTGGAACCAGTGAGCCGAGACGAGGGTCAAAATCTTGCCCTTGTCAGGGATTGGGTTCTTCAGAACAGCATCGTACGCAGAGACACGGTCGGAGGCCACAAAGAGAAGGGTGTTCTTGTCTGGCAGCTCGAACAGGTCGCGCACTTTGCCCGAAGCAATCTTTTGAAAGCTTGGGAGCGAGATTTCCGTCAAAGCAGACATTGTGACTAAATTCGGTGGTTTTGAATTGATCAGGTTTGACTTATCGGAATAAAGTCAATTTGTAGGTGACCAGGATTAGTCACGGTTGTGATGATACCTGAAGGGAGGAAGTTGATGATGAGGTGATGAAAGTGTGAGGAGAAAAATTTAGCCTGTGACTTGGAAAGCTTCTCCACTGAGTCATAGAGGTATATTCCAGTGCGGTTTCGCCATTGGAGATAGCTGACCAAAGCTTTTGATGGGAAAGCACACTTTCCACCTGTGACGCCTTCCTCCTCATAAAATAACTGAACAAGAACCGATCGCACCTATTGACAGGGGCAACAAGAACGAGTCGCGCACAGTGTTTCACAGTGTCAAACGACACTTTCGGCACGGTCTCACAAGACTCCACTCCCGTAATGTTATTGGCTGCGGCTTGCTTTCAGCCAGACTTCAATATCATTCAGTAGAGGAGGGTCAGTAGGTAGTTTGAATGAGCAAGACGTAGTTCGGAGACTTTTTTACCATGATGGCATTCCTTTGCTTCTATTCGGTTCTTCTCCATATCAGGTCGAGTTCCTATCATGGATCGCCATATCTGTATGATGACTTTCATACAGTAGGTGAGGAGTTTCGCGAGTATGAAGGCATATGGAGCAACATTAGAATGCAAAGTGGTAGCCAGCACATGTATTCTATTCAATTTATGAATCTCGAATCACACTGCCAAAAGTGTTCCCAAGAACAATATGGTATGATCACACACTAAGAAATCCACTTCCCCTTCATCTCGTGTAACATAGTCAAAGGAAGGAGAGAACATTGAAGATCCGGCGCTAAACCTTGGCCAGACGATGTTCCTATCTGAGTATAAAACATTAAACGCGATCTCATTGTAAAGCTGTGCGAGAAATTACAAGATTCTAGATCAAACGCGCCTTTCATATGAGACGTGTCACATATGTTCATCTACCATTTGTTCGGTAGTACTCATACTCCAGGAACATATGCCTTACGAGATAAATTGTTCTTGCCATTCTGCTTCTCGGACTTTTAAGTATCAGCCAATGATCTTAACACGCCATTGGCTTCCGCCAAATTCACCGCGCATCTCCTAACTACTACCTACCTTACTCAAAGATATATTATTCTCTGTTTCCGTCTCCCAGGTCAAGCGAGAGAACTGTCGATTTTCATGCCTAAATCAGAATACTAATGTCCTCAGGCATTCAAGATAGATGCTTTCCATGATAACCTTAAAACATGCATTCAGTTACAGGCGGACTGGCGTCAGTCTAACAGAATGCTGTTAAAGTCACATACCCAATGTATTTAGCTTAAGTGTGGCTCTCGAGATACAAAGTTGAGAACGGCCAATCTATTACATATCGTTGCAGCCTGATTTGGAACTTGTTGACGTGCTGCCGTGCCTCCCAAGAGTTTTCCCTGCTGCCTCAGCATGGCCACTTTCCTATCCCTGCCACGGTAATGCGCATAACCCCGAGAACAGGAGTAATGGATTAGGCATCAATTATGGATGCTGAAATCTCGGAAGCATGTGAAAAGGGGGAAAGGATTCTGCAGAGTTTGGTTCTCAGTTGAAACAATGAAGATACCACCTCGATAAACTTGATATCTCGTAAACGTCTTAATACTAAAGCTCAGACTTTCTCCGGCCCCGGCTATCACCAAACGGTCTGATAAACTAGCAACACGTTAATATTAATGCTTCCGGTCTGGCTCGTGCGTCAAAAGCTTTCCAGTTGATCTCCTACCTGAATGGGAACTCATCTTCAGCCCTAGACTAGGCATATAAGACAACAAGCATGTGGGATTGAGCCATGGTCTTAGGCTGTTTGTACAGCGACATGTCAAAAATCATCATGGCAAGGACCTCACCTCGGACGTCACTGTCGCCTTTTTGTCCTTTTGTGTAGTAGACTCGTTCATGAACCTGACATCTGTCCAGTAACCTCATTCGAGTATTGCTAATAAGAACGGTTGTTTTCTCAGTACAGGGGATACTGAACCACTTTTTAAGCCTTGAGAGGAGTAAGTGATAAATCCTTCGTGTTATTGCCAGGCCTGTGCAATAATAATTCAGATGTATCATATTTCAAGAATTGTGTCAAACCTTATCTAATGGTTAGAGCCTGCCAATGAGTCCTATGCTATGACTACCTGAGGAGAAAGAAAGAAGTTGTATGGATAGCTTACGAAGTCACAAAAGACCGAACCTCCCCCGAAAAGCACACACTTGCTATTCGGCATTTACATACCTAGTAATTAGGTAGCTTTAGACATTTTAAGAAAGTACATGCTTTGATCGGGCAGTTTGGCTTTCCCTGTGGCTACAGGTTTGGCATCGACACTGACTAACATCGACTGAAGTGTCACTGATTCCTAACGACAGCGCTGGAAAGAGGATGTTCCTAAAGCTGTTCTCCGCGCTTGTTCACTGGTAAACGCTTTCCGGGGTGAGCTAACCCGAATCTTGCTACAATATCAGATTGAATGATTTCTCGGTTGTTCATTGGTATCGGTTCATTCGGCTCGCCCAAGCTTCAGGTGTCCTAATACCAAATTACAAATGCCGGTGTCTGGAAATTGAAAGCTGATGGCATTTTGTTAACCACGCTGCCCATGCTTAGTCGTACATCATCAAATCAAAGAAGGCCAAATAATCAAACACCCCACACTGGTTTATATTTCAGGACCTGTCCGATCAAAGTGGACCAAAGCGAGCCGTCTTAACATTGTATGCTGTAAACATCACAGCTTTGACTCTGGACAAAACCATCGGCCCTTCTTACCCCGTCTATGCTTGATACGAAACATTTCTACAAAGGATCGAATATCCCCCTGGCGCCGAGGGTTGGGCATCGGCCGCGGGATCTGGCCGGGAGAAGAACGCGCCGATCATGCTTCGAGTTCGGTAGTTGATGGGAATCAGGATTCAACTAGGGACAGTCCCGGCTTTAATGGGAGATAGAATGCCTGGACGTCAACATGCATACCTAGTGGCACCATGTTCGTCTCCAAGTGTGGCCCACGCTTGTGATGAATCCACTGCTCCGTCGAGAAATCATTTCCAGGCACTCGTCAACATTGGATCATGTTCACGTAACTTGACTGGGACTGCATGATTTGGAGGACAGAATGAAATCTTGTGAAGGCTTCACCCCTTGTCTTTTTGTGGCTATCAGACCAGCCTAGTTGTCTTAGCGTAAGCTCAGCCGATGCGAGGTCGAGATCAGCATGAATGGATCGGTGTCTTCATCAAATGCTCATCACCAATGTACCGCAATCGCAGATCGTCGATTCGATCACTGAAAGTCTTGGCAAGGAGCTGTGTGGCAACTCTGGTGTGTCTGGAACTCATCGACGTAGATGATCAGCGATCAACTAATAAAGAATACAAAGCGACACTATACTTATCTCGGCTTGCTTCGAGATTCAGTCCGTAGATGAGTGACCGTGAGTCCCTTGGGCCATGTCAAGGATGTCAACCGGAGAATAGTCTCGATTGTGCTTGAAGGCTCCAGGATGAGCTTTAGGAAAGTATTGTTGGCTCCTGCATATCAAATTGCGTATCATTCACCTATAGCAAACAAGATTCCAACAGTTAAGCGTGGGGGGTTTAAAAAATAGAAACGATTGATCAGGTTCATGGCGGATGATACGCAGTACAAGAGTCCAAACAATGTCTTGAGCAATGTTGAGTTTTCAGCCCTTCTCTCGCCTTCTATACATAGCTAGTGCCCAGGTTTGGTATTGATTTACGTCAAAGCACATCCCAAGCTTCATAGATAGCGAGCGAATTGCCCAAAGCTCAAACCATGGTCGTGATCTAAATATCATCCTAGTAGAACCGGCCCCTCCCGTCATCCCTGTCCCTTGCATCGCCGTTCCTTGACCAATCACGGTCGATCCATTGGTCTCGTAACTGCTTCGAGGCCTCTTAGGCGCGGTTGCAGAAGCAAGCAAGCAAGCAAACAAGCAAGCAAGAATGTCCCCTTCGCTCAGTCTCAACATGCAGGTATTGCTTATGTAGAAGGTGAAGCCCCTACCAGTGAGGCACCCATGTCATCCCCCAGGGCCTTGCCTCATTATTATCGCTCTTCATCGTCTCTTGTCATAATATTTCGAGTTCTGCCGGTCTTCCTCTCCATATCTGATCATCGGGTTCGCGTAGCCAAGTAACGCTAACATAGACGCATCACGCAGAGTTCCAGACGCTCCCGCGCAGTTCGTCTTGGCCAATTTCGTTGTGATGCCCGCTCGTCGAGGTCGTTCCAAGCCTCCCACAGCAGTTTGTTGTGCTTGCTTTTGGTCTCCTCGCCTCAGCTTGTACTGAGCAGCTCTCAAGGAGGAACTGCAAACTTATAAAGCCACGACGCGAGTGCCACGGAGCCGGTGCCAACTAACTGCAGATCAACGCTTCCTTGCCGATGGTAGTTCGATACCCTTAACACCCTCGTCTTATGAGCCAATCGCCTCACCTGATCTGCCTATCCTTCGATCTCTCCTCCAAGCATACCTTATTACCTTCTCCTCTCCTGGCCATAAGCGCTTGCGCTTGCGCTCCCACAGATGCAGAGTAATCCTGCCTGAGCGACCTATCCGTACTTCTTTGAATGGTGAAAGTGAAGCGCAGCGCTTTGTGCTGAACCGCTACTACACATTGCTTGTTGTTGGCTGGACGGCGTCGCGTACCTGGCCTGGCCTGGGCTGTCTACAGCACTTGTCGCCCTGCAGTCAATCTCCCGCTCCCGCTCCCTCTGCCTAGGTATCCGTCTCGATTCCAGCAAATACGTCGACACTAAATCCAATCCAGCATTCAAGGCATAAGGGTTCAGTTCCACCGGGATACGGGACACGATTGGTACGCAACGGCACCAGCATCAGCCATTGGCGTTTAGAGTACAGTGCATTTTGTCGTTCGATTGTCTTTTTGTAACCTTGCTTGTTGCAGCACCAGCACCAAGACCTGGTTCCGGTGCACACCTGGTTGTCTACTAGAGCTCCTGTGACTGCCATCGTTTGTTGGTATCTCACCACTGGCCGAAGTGGAAACATGGAGTCCTCCGTCCCGATCGTCAAACGACGAGCTTCAATTGCTTGTCGCCGGTAGATGAGCCTGTCTCGTGCCTCATGCGTACTCATTTGCTGATCCTATGCTACAGATGCCGGCGCATGAGGAGTAAATGTGTCCACGATCGTGGCCAGCCTCCCTGTAAGGCCTGCTTAGACGCCGGGGTCAAGGAAGGCGGATGGTAGGCTTCCCTGATCATGTCTCTGAAACTTATCTGAATTTCTGTATAACAGCGTGTTCACGCCACGAGGCCAACCGGATAATGATCGATGCCACCGGCGTCCGCGCGTTGCTCGCACAAGGACTGCCAAGACGACTCGACAGGATCCAGGAGGAGCACGACGTGGGAGTCTTGATGCTTCCTCGACAGCTCTAGGCACATTGAGTAACGGATGGGAAAATCTACCTCCACTACCAGAGATCATTGATGGTATAAACCAGTTCACGCGACATTACTTTCAACTTGGTTTTATTCCTAAAGAGCAATTTCCCCAGCGCCTGCTTAAAGATCGCACGTCGGTTAGCGTCTTTCTCGTTGTCAGTATTCTTAGCATTTCAGCTCGCCTCAGTCGTCCTCTATCAAGGCGGTATGGATCTGGCCTAAAGGCGTCCGAGTTTTTCATGGAGCGGGCGACAGGCATTGCACTCGGCGAGATATTCCCGACCAAAAATACATTGGAGAACTGCCAGGCCTTTTATCTTCTTAGCATCGCACAACAAGGGAATGGACTTAAAGATGAGAGCCATGTACGTGTAGAAGACTTGAACAACCGCCCCAGTACTGACTTGACAGACGAGCATGGGCCTTGCTCTTCGAATCGCATCTGCAATCAAGCTGCATTTAGAACATACTTATGCTTATGAGAATTCGAACCCTACGCCCGATGCCATCATTCTTCGCGAATCCGCACGGAGGACTCTGGTAAGTCATGCCAAATAAACAAACGTTAGTGATATGGCTGAAAAGAATGTACTCAGTGGATGTTACATAGTCAGGATCAGCTACACTCATGCTCCTCCTCGCCCATCTCTCTCGCTGCTTCGGATATCGATGCCCTACTACCTTGTGATGAAGAAGACTTCGCCAATGGGCGAGAGCCTCCTTCGCGGGCCGCTCTTGAAGGGACTCCGCGTGCTATCAAGGACCCAAGCCTGGTCAATGACCCAAACCGGTCTCTTTTCGGCGCTCTCATTCAAGCACACGGATTCTGGGGCGTTGTCACACGGGATGCAGTCAACTATACTCCTTATTCTTATCCATGGGACCCAGAGAGCAAGTTTGTCAGAGTCTCCAAAAAGCTTGATCAGTGGGAAAGGAGCTTACCTCCCAGCCATCAATGGAGCCGGGCTAGACTGTCTGAATACAAGGCCAAAGCACAGGATCTGGTACGCTACCCCCCTTTGTAACAAACCGAACCACTAACAACTCAGGCATATCTTGGGGTCACAATGATTCCGCGCCTTTGCAATATTGTTCTTCGTCGGCCATACTTGGAGTAGTAAGTTTTCATAAGCAACGCATAATGCCAAGTCTAATATGTTGTAGTATCCTCACTTCATCACGCGAATATCACCAGCGGCCGTCAGTCTTCGACCAGATAGCATGCGACCTTTTCAACAATGTCCATAGGCTCTACGAGCAAATCGACGCCCAGTTTACGGGACGCTCTTCAGATGAAAGTGTCGGTGCACAAATGGCTGCCTTTTGTGTTTATACATGCGGCCTTTTTTCTATATATCTTTGGCGCTATCCGACCTGTGAGTTATCCTGCTGTCAAAAACGATCTATACCCTGGGTATTGATTCTCTTCGTTTTATCAAGTCCTGAACATCACGTATGACGGGTATATGATGTTTCAACGCAGCCTGGATATTCTGATGGAATGCAAAGAGGTCTGGCCTCTTGCTTCTCGTTGGGTCGATGCCTTAAAGCGCTTTGCTCAAGATCCTGACAGCTCATTTAAAAGCGAAAATGGGATGGCAGATGGCAAAGACCTCATCCACAACCCAACAACTCACCTTCCTGCGACCACGCCAATATCATCTGGTGCGTCGCCTGCTTCGTCCTTATACACTCGGCAAAGTAATTCTCTTGCTTCAAGCTCCATTGCTCTGCAGTCTCCGTCCCCAAACGATATCTCTGCCTCCATATCTACGACTCATATTATACCCTCTCATTTTTCTCAACCTCAAACCCAACAACAGCTACAAATCCATTCTCATCCTCATCAGCCACCACTATCGGTAATACCACAGCAACAGGCTTTCGTCCCGCCTCAGCTTCAGCCTCAGCTTTACATGAGTCCTGACAATATTGCCAACTTTGACATGGTCCTTGGGGGCTTTAACCCCAACGCTGTCCAAGCTTATCCAATGGCATCGCAGGGCAACGCTCCGTTAGCAACCGGCATTCCAACAGCTATGGATATCACCAGTGGGCCAATAAACCCTCCTCTGGACGGCTTCTTGGACGAGTTGAACTATTATTCGTACGGGTCCCAGGACTGGATACCGACAAGCAATTTGTTCGAAGGCTATAAGTAATCTCTCTTGGCACTGTTTGGGATCCAATATTTGCAAGAAAGAAACGTTGCCATCTAGTGATTGTCTCCTATTCCACCAAGCTGGACAGACGGGGCAGCAAAATGACACGTTTTTTACAGGGTATGTCAGTCAAAGGTATCAATATCTGTTCATATTCCTTACACTACAAATTCAAGTAAAATTGAGAATCATGGGGATGATTTCTCATATCAAATGGACTCTTCTCATCATTGTAGGCAAGAAGGAAAAATAGCTTGTCATTTTATTTAATAATCAAGACCTATCGTGGGATCCGATATGTGAAGTGTGAATTCCACCATGATTTAGAACCACACCTGACAAACAGATCCAGGCTACTACTGATGTCAAGTCTTCATTTTATTTGTGGTAATGGCTGCGTCTGGCTTAGATTCATCAGCACAAGATGGCATTTCACAACATCTGGCAAGTGTCTGTGGGTTCATTGTATGAGAGCCAACGATTGTTTGACTATCGACAGCTACAGACGAGCTCACTTGATACTCTAGTCCGAAGGTTTCATTTCAACGTGTCTTCTCTCAACTCTAAGGATCCCCTACACACTCCGAATTTTCAATCCACTCCTCAAGAATCCCACCATGTTCCACAAAGGTGGTTTGTCCGAGTACGCCGTCCTAAGCCTTCCCTAACACTTGAAAGGGAATCCAAGACAGACTCCATGGGCCGTGACAACCAGGGCTGCAAAAGCAGAACAAAAAAGAGTAATAAACCGGCCGCCTTGACTCCCTATCCTCTACATGAATTTTGGGCCGCCGCCGCTTTTCATCCTCGCAGGGCATACATGACTTCTCTATTCCATCATTGCATCTGAATAAATAAAACAAAATGGGCTGTGTAGTGTAGTGTAGTGTAGTGATATGATAGGGGAATGAATACATCATGTAGCGATGAATATGCCAGGTGAAGCGTCATAAGGGGGTATTTGAATTACTGTAGTGTCGTATGGGGTCTATATACATGCAAGGGTCGTGGGGATCGTGCTATGACTGGGGAGGGGGAGGGGAACATTTATTTGTGGCGGCGATCGCTCGCCTTGAATTTGAGATGAGAGTCTGAGTGCCAGATCAGTTGGCCATGACGGCCTGAGAGCCACCCAGTTGGCGTTTAACCTGCTCGCGGGCCCAGCGGGCGGTCTCGATAGTTCGGGGCTGGAATTCCCGGTTGGTCTTGGTCTCCTTGATCATAACAGTGAGCCAGTCTTGGCGGAAAGCGTCAACCAGTTGGCCGTCGGGGTAAGCATCAGCAAGGTCACTGTTCGAGTTAGCATAGTTCATGCGAGTTGCTGGGCCAGAATAGCTTACCCAATGACGCCCATGGAAGCCCGCATCAAGGATTCGCTTCGGTTCATATCACTAGCGATAATGCTGAGGGCGTTGAAGATGAGAGGGACGTATTGCTGGAGAGCTTGTGCTATGGCGTGTTAGTAATGATTGCATATCAGACGGACAGGACGACATACTCTTCTCGCTGACCTTCATGGCGCCAATAATTCCGCCCCAGGCATCCATAATACCCTCACGGAGGGAGACAACATAGTCGTACATCTCATAGGGGCCCTCGGGAGAAGCGGTAACAGTTGTAGCTTGCTCGAGAACCTGGGCAACCACGGACAAATATGTCTCGAAGTGGCCACCGATGGCACCAGCAATGTCGCCAAAGCATTGCAGGATAGCAGGCTTGAACTGGTTGGCCAGGGTGGTACTCTGCGACTGGTTAGATATGACAAGACACACAAATAGGGGGATACATACCCTGAGGTTGTTGAGGAGGTAGTTCATGAAGTTATCGCAGTAAGGCTGGCTGCGCTCGCCCAGAGATCGAGTAATGTCGCTGACCAGACCAATAGCCATGGAGCAGAGACTGGGCTCGTCCTGGTTTCCGAGGGCGTTGTACAGGAATGGGGCAAAGGCATCCATGTACTTGACGAAATCCTCCTCCATAGCAGTGGAAAGGGCGCTGATGGTAGCGAAAACGGCATCAGGAACGCTAGACTTTCCACCCACGCTGTTGAGGATCTGAAGAAGGATTTGCATGATACGATCACCCTGAGGAATGATCTCCTTGTCAAGGCGAGAAATGATAGCCTGGAGGACAGTGCACAGGCTGTTCTGCATCTCCTCAAGAGTGATCTTGTCCTCGACACTGACGACCTGGTTCTGGAGAGGAACAGTCTCTTCGAGTCTCTTGATGATTACATCGGAGAGAGAGGCAACTGGCTGCAAGCTTTCGGAAGCAGCGTTCTGCACAAAAACGTTGAGAACCTCATAAGCAGCGGTTCGCACTGAGGTTTCGGTTTCTGTGCGAGCAGTAACGTCCAGCAGAGAGCTGACGGCATTGTTGAAGTGGGGGGTGATAGCGTTAGAAGAAGCGCCGAGATCACCAGCAAAACGCTCAGCCAAGTTCATAAGGGCCCAACAGCATGAGGGTGCCATCTTGGCGCTGCTGAGAAGACCCTTGAAGAGCGACTCGATCAAAGTGGGGAGTTGTGTCTGAGGGTCAATGGCCTCGGAGCATGCCTCGGTGATTCTGCCCAGGGCATATGCAGTCGAGTCCTTGACGTGGAGGGATTGGTCATCCATCATGGTAATGAGGATAGGCAGGGCCTGCTTGACGATAGGGTCCAGGACCTTCTCGTCAGGACCCTCCATGATAGCGCCGAAAGCAGATACAGCAGCATCTCGGTTATGCCAGTCCTCGTGACGTAGGTTACCCTCAACAAACTGAAGGACGGGAGTGATGATCGTAGCACCAACGGCCTGGGCGTACAGCTGCAGACACTGGTAAGCAGCGCGGGACAGGTTGTACTCGTCGTCGGTGGCGTCCTCGTCCTGCTTGGTGAGGAGAAGCAGGAGAACCGGTACGACTTCATTGGCAGCAACGCGGGCAAAGTTGTAGAAAGGGCGCATCTGGTCAGAGCTCTCTACTTGGGCGTTGTCATCCTCGATGGAGATCTCCTCTTCGCAAACGGTACTCCAGAACTCAACAGCCAGCTTCGCGACATCTTCGTCATCGGACTTCATGCCAAGAATGGTAAGACCAAACAAGGCCTTCTCCATATAGAATCGCATGTTCTCGTAGTAAAGGGCCATGATTCGGTTGAGGCAGCCAAAGGCGCCCTGTTGTATCCTTGAGTCGTCGGCTTGTGTGGCCTCGCAGACGACCTGCATAATGTAGTTTCGCTCGCCCTCGTGCTTAAAGTTGTTGCCGACAAATTCGAGCGAGTCACCAAGGGCGGTGATGGCAGCGAGGCGAACCTCGATGTTCGTTTCCTCCTTTCGGGCTCCTTGCACGACAGCAGTCAGAATAGCATTTGAGTGTGTTACCAAAGCCCCGCGCAGTTCAGCATCTTGGCTCTCGCAGATGTAGCCAATGGTGGTCAAAGAAGACTGCTTCTGGTGGTCGGCACCCTCGCTCACATTCTTGACAAGGAAAGGTAGCAGATCGTTCCACTGGCCGCGGGGCAACTCGATAGCGGCAATAGAAGAAATGACCTGGGCGGCGGCAGTGCCAGCCTGGGTGTTGGAGGAGTTGAGAGTCTGGAGAGTGAGCTCCTTGACTCTGTTCTTAGTCTCGTCGTCTGTTTGCTGGAGCCATTTCGCTTGCAATTCCTGGTGACGAGCAAAGTCTCGGGTTGTGAAGGCGTTCTTGAGGGCGATACCGGCAGCAGCTCTGATGGAGCCATCGGCAGAGTCGTTTGCTAACTCTTGTACGAGGGTTGCGAGGTATAGGGGCTAATGAATCGTCAGCCGTCATTCGAGCAAGGGAGGATCAGGGGTGCCATACAAAGTTGCTCTCAGCGGCTTGGGTAAGTTGCTGCTCGGCAGCATTTCGCAGGTTCGCATCTGACAAAAGTTAGCATTGGTTCGCTTCACTCGCAGATAACTGCTCAAGTTTCAATCGGCGGGGAGGGCGTGGGATACTGACCAGGCGACAGCGAATTTGCGAGCACCTGGTTTATCTCTGAGCTCGACATTTTTGCGATTTAAGAACGTCTCGTCATGCGGTTTCGGGAGGTATCAATAATGAGTGAAGGCGCAGAAAGGCGTAAATGTGTGAGAATGAAGAAGAAGAAGGAAAAAATAGAGCCTTTGGTTAGGCGCACGTGTCGATAAGTTTGGCAGATGGAAGAGAGAACTGTTCTGGATGAGGCGGAGAGGCGGGGGTTTTTTCCCACGACGGGGGGCTCAGGCCAGGAGAGGAAAAGAACGGGTATGAGGGTCGAACGAGCTTGGCGGGCTAAAAACCGATGGAACGGGGCCTTGTTTGATTTGATGGGCTTTGAGATGCTTGGTTGGTAGCAAAGCGGTGGTGAAGGAAGAGAAAGTCCTGACTTTAGACAGAAGAAGTGTTGATATTTTACGGCTTGATGTTACAGGGGAGGGAAAAGTTAACCTCTTGGATCAAAGGTTTGATGATGACAATCGGCAGCCCGCTCCTGCCCTCGAAGTCGCTACCGCCACCTATTTCGACACTGTATGGCACTGTGCAGAGGTGATCTGTGAGAGGCGGTTATTTTCACCACGGAGCAGCAACGTTTGATGCCTGATTTGAGGTTCAGGGAACTGCAATAATAGACATGCAGGTATGTGTGTTAAGTAACAGGCTGCAGTTATCAGCGAAAGGGAGAATCACAGCGATGAACAGAACTGAGGATGCTGTGATTCATCACCTATGTCTACCTGCTGATGCGTCACAGCCCTGAGCCTCACTGTGACTACTGTACCTACCTACTATGCATGCATGTAGGACCCCTCCACACCGACGGCCATGCCCTTCTTTTGCTGCTGGACCTTGCGGCAAACGCCATCATACTTTCCTGGCTGGTGCGAATATATCTGCAGCAGGTTTCGTTTTGTTTTGTTTATTATGAGACGATACATGAGACTCTGGGCCGCTTTCGGGGTCTCGTGACCTTTGCTGCTTATGCACGCTGTCGCTTGTCTTGATTCAGGTTTACCTGGACTGTTGTTAGTTCCAATGCGTAGAACCTCCACTATGAACGCATAATTCAAACCTGCTTCCATTACTTAAGGTACACTGGAGGCGGGAAGAACTTCGCTTAATCTCTAGGAAGTCGCACTGTACGCCCTTTATACAGTGCCCCGCGGTGAAGAAATTCACACAGGCTTTGGCACAGTGCCAATTAAAGGTATCTCAAGTACCGTAAGGTTCACATGGAAGCCCAGGCCAGGCAAAACAAATGCCATTCAGGGACAACAGGGCCCTGGCTACCTTTGGGTGGGAGTTTAAAGTTAGGCATAGCATAGCACAAACCCATCCCTTCGAATAGTTCCTGCTGAGGATATTCATTTTCTATTTGAAATTATCACTTCATTTAGCTCACACATAATTTGATCAAACCCCCTTTCCTTTCTTAGTTTTTCTTTTCTTCTGTTTGTGTTGATTTCTTTCCCAAGTAAATAGTTCCACTCTTCCACAGCAACCAACGCCGCCAGCCTTGCCACGCTGGGTAACTCATTTATTATCCAGTTCCACGGCGGATGCAGTTTGGGCCGCTATCGAAATGAAGCTGACTTGTCAGATTTAGGGCTCATGTTCGATGTTCGCTTCGTCTTGGGATTTGGATCTTCCATGTGTTTCCAGGGGTCCAGTCTGGGGAAATTTCGTTACTGGCCCTGCTCCCGCTACTTTAGTATCCGTACAAGGCCGTTATATCATGAGAGCACTGACAATATCTGCTTCTCCCAACCAAACCATTCTACGATATATAACCCAGTCTGTCTCAAGGCCCCTTGCTCTTTATTTTTTGTATCCTGCCTGTCGGCTTGTTCTCACAGTACTCTGGTTCCAATGCTTATATAACTACCTAGGTAATAAACCTCACAGTCTCCCTGTCTGCAAACGTCTGTGCCCTTCACAGCATCGGGGAACACAAGGTCCACGGGCAGCTACTTGCGAATCAAATAACTACATCGTGAGTTGAAGTGGGTTCGTTGGGCAATGGGCTCCTTACTACACAGACAGCACGAACTGAGTGAACTGATGAAGCCTTAAGCTGTCTTGCTTGGTTCCCTTGGTCTCTCCTCTGCTGTTGAAGGGATTAGTCAGGCTTTCAGCTTCTGCTTTGTGCTCTGGAGAGACGTCACAATGCCAGTGGAGCATGATCTTGTGTTCAAACTGCATTACTATAAGACTTGCAAGTCTTTTTATTTTTTTTATTTTTTATTTTTTTTAGATAAATATCCTTTGTTATTCAGATACTAAATAGTAAGTAATAGGTATGATTGCCCCAAGAGTCCGGCCCTAGCTTAAGTAAATACACTACAATCTCTTATTTGTTGCCATACAAGTATGTTCAGTGTTAGACCACATGCTCTCACTTTGAGTCGTAGGCATCGTACAATGATACTTATTTATGCTTAACCTTGGGAGGGTAATGCAAAAAATCAACACAATAATGACAACAAGTCTCTATTCAGTGTCTCTCCTACCTGAGCCCTAGCCACCTATCAAACAAGGGATCTCTATCCTCGTTTGCGAGAAGCGCCAGACTTCCCAGTCTGCCAGCCGTTTGAAAGCCTACACGCAGGGCCCTATAACACAAGCCTTACAGGGTCGAATCAAGGAACTCAAGGTCGCATCAGATATTCGATTTGGCCGGGATAAGAGGCCAATGACATCTCGCAGTCCAGGGGTCAAATACCGGTGAGGTAGTATTGCAACACCGATTACTCGTTCATTACCCGGGCATCTATGCATGCCGGAAAAGAAGAAATCCTGAATAACTTGGTTCGCGATGAAGGACCGCCGGGCACTAATAAGTCGGGATCAACTCCCGTGAGTAAAAAGAGTTGAAACTTATCATTCTTATTTACTTTGTCAAGTCTGCGATCCATGTTGGTTAGACGTGGGTCTCGTAGAATGCCCCTCGATGGAGGGGTAGGCAGCGGGATGTCCGAAGACCATGAGGTCACCAGTCCCAACAGGCAGCCCCTCAATCACGAGACTTCTTCTTCTTGTTGCTCTTCTGCCTCCAAAGGAGCATCGTAACGGGAGAATATAAATGTGCGTATTGAAAAGGTTGTCGTTATTTATTTCTTGTCATAAGTCGTAATTATGCGTTTCAACCAAGCATCTACATACATCCATTCCATACCGTACAAACTCATATCGTTTCATCCGCTGTATATGATTGATTTCGTAAATTCGTACAACCAATAGTTGCCCAATATGAAACATCATTCACGACACCAGTACATGTCTGTAGTTGCTTTGGAAAAAAAGGTATCCATTACCCAAAAAGAAAACCTCCGCTGCCCTTCAAAAGGTGACCATGAATGAGAACGCCAGTAAAAAAGCAGACTTAACGCAGGTAGCCTCGGGGTGGGCGAGTGTCATAAAACGTCTCACGTTCCGTTACCTCGTCCCAGCGAGGGTGGCTGTGTCGGTGACTATCGCGTTCATAGTCGAATTGGTATTCTCTTTCATACTCCAGCTCTCTCGCGCGCTGCTTTCGAGATCGTCGGATCTCATCGGAAATGTCAACTAGGCGAAGAACGTCGTCCTGCAAATGTTAGCATTCGGTCGTTGTCATTTTTGGGTGACGACTTACGTATTTAAGATAGTCCATGATGTAGTAGAACTCCTTGGTCTCTTCGTATTCATACCCAGAGCTCTCAATAGCCTCACGGATAACGAGGTCCTTGGTGATCTCAGTCCACATATCCTTTGGTGGTGGAGGTGCAGGTCGAGAACGCGTTTCTCGTGTTCTTTCGATATCAATTTCCCTCTCGCGATCGTAAATGGAAACATTAACGCGGTCACGAGTATCTGGGGGTGACGGGTCCTTCAGAATGGGCTTTGGCATGGGCGCAGGAGCAGGTGAAGGAGCGCCATCCCTCTCAGGAATGAATTTGCTCTTCCTGGAACCACTGTACCTCGTCCAGTTTGTCTCGGTACTTCCACCGCCGACTCCATCCATGCGGATGCGCTCAGTGCCTGGGGGAACATCAACGAGTGTCCAGTCCTTGGTAGCACCGCCCCAGGCTTCACCCATTCGGCCGCGAGAGTCAATCTTGCTGGTAAGATAGTCGCCTTCTTCGTCCACAGCACTGGGTGTCGGCAGAGGAGCAGCTGAATGGGCTCGACGCCGGGTTGTTTCGGACTCGTGTCGAACCACGAGTTCGTCATCGCGGTAGTCGGATCGTCGTTCTCGGCTTTGAGAACGAGTGCGCGATGTGCGAGTAACATCTACTTCAGTTCTGTTCTTTGACAAAGAAATATCGATATCTGTCTCACGCTCTCGGACTCGGGAAGGAGCACGAGGCTGAGGCTTTGGCTGGGGAGGAGGAGTAGGAGGTCTAGCTTTGATCATGCCTGCAACTGTTAGCGTTCTGAGTCGTTTGGTTAGAACTTCAGTTTGCTTACCATGGTCGATATCCCGGTAGTGGGTGATAACCTCTCGCTCGATTGTTGGTCCGCGGATAGTCTGGGGCGGGGGAGGCGGAGGAGAAGGCTTGGGAACCGGAGGGGGCGAAGGAGCCCTCTCGCGCTCAATGATGCGAGTGCGAATGCGCTCTCGCTCCTCAACTGGAGGGGCGGGCGGAGGAGAAGGCGACTTTGGTCGCTCAACGTATCTGACAACACGGGCGGGCGAAGGAGCTCGCCTGGGAGGTGGTTGAGAGGGTTCTCTGACTCGCTCTCGCTCGTAAACTCTGGTGCGAGAACGCTCATGCTCATGGTCGTGCGAGTGATGGCTGCTGGGTGAAATGCTGCGGGGTCTTCGAATGATGCGTTCCTCTCGAACGCGAACTGGGCTGGGACTTCTGGGTCGGTGTCGGTCGATGGTCTCTACTTGACGCTGGCGCAAGACCATGGGACCAGCTTCTGTTCGGCGAGTATCTTCTCGCAAAAAGGCGGGTGTACGAGATTCCTCTCGCGGGGGAGGGCTGATGGTAACGGTGCGACGACGATAGTCGACTTCATCAAGCCCCTCCGGAGCTGAACGTCGAGGAGCAGGGTAGTAATCCCTCTCCTCGAACTCAGTAGCCCTTACACGGGACATTTTGGTGTAGTAAAGTGCTGTTTTCTGTGGATGTGTATATACCGATGCTGGTTTTGGTGCACTTTTGAGGGCGCCAACTCAATTCAGCAGGCTGTTGGGTTGCGACAAAGAGTTGCAAAAGGGTATGTCGTCACACTTCAAACAAGGTGGGGTTCCAGCGACGAGACTCAGACTTGGTGAGGTCTTGTTACGAGCCAAGCGAGAAGCAAAGCTGCAAACTACAAACCCAAAAGAATGCGATGTTTTTGAGGTGATAAGAGAGGAGGAGAAAAGCAATAGCCAAGAGAAATGGAAGAGAAAGGAAAAAAAGAGTTTATGAGTGTCAGGTGGGTTTAATGGCGCGCAAGCCGCAAGACGCCGCAAGAATCAGGCCCCAGGCGAGCAAGGACGGAGCATGGAAGCAAAGCAGAACGTCGTCATCCGACAGCAATAATGAGAGGGAACCCCCCGCCAACAATAGGGTGTCAGCCGTGACCTTGACCTTACTCTAGTTAATGGAGGGGCTGGGCATGGGCAGTGCTGGTGCTGGGCTGCTTGAGCAATGTCAAGATGGGAAGACCTGGTAAGCTGTTGTAGTGGGCAAAGCGGGGACTGCTGCTCCAAGGTTAGGTACAAGATTGATGATGGTGGCAGCGGTCCGCAACGGGAGAACTAACATAAACGATGATCTTTTCGCCTGTTGCACTTTCGTCGAATAGTATGTAGCAAGTCTGATCGAACCTCTGTCCAAACGTTGATCGTAAACTCGACAACTTCAGAGGAATCTTGCCTGGTGTGGACATCAACGAATGACCACAATAGACAGACGGTATACCCATCCAATGATCCATCAAGTACCGGAGGCAAGTCAGTCTGCCTGCCTTACGACCCCAAACACGATGAGTCTACCATGGCGGCCCAATGAGACGGGCCCTCCTCCCACGCGAAACATTCAGATGGAGGGTCAAGCGCAGCCAGGAAGAACATGAGACCTACCAGCCTGACAAACTCTACTCAGAAATTGTCTCTGCCCAAGGCCCCATCAACGATAGTCCCATTTTCCCGTTATAGAGTTCATCGCCGTTGCCTTGTACGATTCTGGGCATTCGCTGGGCCTAATTTTTGCATCTATCGATTCGTGCTTGCTCTGCCCCTTCTTTGACGAGAACAAAAGCTCGTTTGTTTAACATGCAAAGCTGGCTGTGGTGTGGAGATCTACTGACGCAATAGTGCAGCAGCTCACCCCGGCATCTTCTGGTCCTTGGCCCCAGTGCATTGCGAGATGGGAGCCAGAACAGGGCTCTCAGACTGCCCCCTGCGGCGCCACGAGTCCATATCAGCGAATAACGTGAAGGCTCGAGATGCAACTCAGTGAGGTCGACAAAGAAGGTACAGATGTTAATTCTGGCCGAAGAGATAACAATTGTGCTGAGCAACGCGAATGCCGCAAGTCTATCTCTGTCACATAAGAGTTGCATGCAAATCATTGCCCTTGTGATCGGCGATGGAGGTCCAAGTCGTTGTTCCGCTCAGTTGGGCATTGAATCTCAAAACGAGTGGTCCTGTCATGGACTAGGACTGGGGTCTCTGAGAATTACTGAAGATCCTTGAGAAACATCGTACCGAACTTCCAAAGTCACACTGAGAGCCCAACGAGGCGTCGAGCTTGAACCCCATAAGCCGTCATCCTCAGCTGTCAGTTCCTGGTCGAAGCCCTTTGGAGTCGCTGAGGCATCAATGCTGAGCATCTGCCGTCCTTCCATGGTTCTATGGCTGTCTGTCACATGTGACATGCTGCTGCACAGACCAGGCAAGTTTGCGTGCCAGGCAGGGTTCATGACAGGGCACGGTTGAGTTGGATTCGTCTAGATTGTTCTCTTGAAACTTGACATCGAGGAAACGGAATATTGGAGGGTCAATTGAAGGGTCTACTAGCTTCAAATTCTTCTAACGGGATAGTTCGTCAAGCTTTATGCCAAGCATTTGGTGACAGCAACTTCCTCACTGAATCCGTCTCTGGAGCTCAGGAACATAGACTCAGCTACGAAACCCACAGCCATCGAATTGGACGGCTTCCGTAGCTCAGTTGGTTAGAGCGTCGTACTAATACTTCATTCCGAGTATTCGGTAATGCGAAGGTCTCAGGTTCAAGCCCTGGCGGGAGCAATCCCAATGCCTTCCAATTCGTATTTTTGATTCTCAGACGTCTTTGACAGATCTGAAACTTTCTTTTTGCAACTTTCGTTCTTGTTTATTATATCCGCATGTGCAGGTTGTTTACTTGCAATGAGTGTGCCACTGCTCGAGTTTAACTACATTAGTGTATTTATCAAGTTACTACCTTGTTTATTTCTCTGGTTCAGTGATTAAACAATTCCTTTAAAATGGCAAGGAGTCTTACATAGTTCAATATTGTCATGTCAATCCATCGGCCATAGCCCATTCAGGGTGCAAGCAGTGTAAACCACTTACAGGATTTAGCAAACATGACATTTCCTATCAGGCTATAGTCAAAAGAACGTGACCTATCCAGAACAGTCGAACAGCGTCCGAGACAGTGCTGCCTAGACGCTATCCATCGAAGTCTAGGTTAGTAGTAAATCTCAAGTTGTAATCCTCCAGAAGTGCAAATGTCAAGCGATAGACGACATCTTGTGTAGAATGTCTCCAGAACTATATACCAATAACAAACCACAAAACCATACCGGCCCAATATAAGGATATCAACTATAGACTATTTAACTTAAATACACCAAGAAGATTGAAGGAATAACCTCCTAAAGTACTCTTAGATGCTCTTTAAACCAGAACTTACCTTGAACCAGATGTAGATAAACCATGAACATTGGCAATTAACTGCATATATTATCACAGGTAATCACCACGAGGATCGACACGTTGAGATTCTGATAACCATTCTATAAGAAATGGCGATGCTTCTGTGAATTTCCTAGGCATTATAAACAAATTCTGGCTTGGTAAATATATTGGCTGGACGAGCCACATCGCATTTAAATTGATAGAAGGGAACCACACAAAGAATAAGGACTCATTCGCACAGTAAGTCGGATGTAGCTGGGATCTTGTATCTCATAAGTCGCCCAGAAGCATTAACAGCAACTCATTGTCCAGTATCTCAATCGGCAGCAACTTACTCAAGCACGGGTATTTTGCCGACCCCTTGAATACAAATTTACCAACTACTTCTTATCGACTTCAACTATGTTGTAAGTGCTTTGGGGGTTTGTAGATTTGACTGAAACACAGGCCCTTATCGTTCCGTTGATGCTGAGATTGAGCCCGGCAATGACGCTTCTACAGGCACATGAAGACTCGGTATTTGTCGTAAATCCCTATTCAGTATTCCTTACCTGGGCTATTTCTGCTACTTATCCAAGAAAGCACTACAGACGGAGTGTAATACAAAAAGAGCATATAAACAAGATTGTCGTTCAAGACCAACGTGCCAAAGATAATTGCTTGAACGCCTAAAACTGATTTCATTCATACTGAGCTATCATTAAGAATAAAGGTGAGGGGAAAGTGAAGTAACGTCAATCTGAAAATGACCTTATAGCCAAAAGATGACGTCCCCCTACAGACCACGTTTTGTGTCCTTTGCGATCAACCCTGTCAAGCTCTTCTCCGGCTTAGGGTAGTCAGGACGGCCCGCCAACATGTCTACTACCTCTGACAGGCCCAGCCAGTGGGCAGTCGCAGGTCTTCGGTTGGGCCAATCTGTGCCGTGCTCCTCTAGCTCCTCCATTGCGTTGAACACAACCTCGGAGCCCTGGATACCAATGACAGAGGCACTCTTGGGGTCCTTCTTAACGTGGTTATGAGCATTACGTCCAAAGCCCTCAAGATGCTGGATGCACTTGATGGCCAGACGAACAGCTCGGCAACGATCCATAGCGGAAGGAACACCACCCTGCTGGACGTGACCAGGAATACTCTCTCGGCTCTCGAACCGGTCGTGAGCCTCTTCGCGGATGATGTCCGCAATGAGCTTAGCATTGTAGACCTTGCTGGACTTCTCGTTTACGAGAATCAGGCGTCCAGCACGGGACTGGCCCTTGTCCTTCTTGAAAACCTCCTTGAGGTGGTTAACATCGGAGTTGAGCATCTCAAGAGAGATACCTTCCTCGGGGATGTAGACAGCGGAGGCACCAACATCCAGGCCAGCCAGGGTAGCGATGTAGCCTGAGCGACCACCCTGAGTCTCGATAACGAAGACACGACGACGGGTAGCGGACGCTGATTGCTTGATCTTGTCACAGTAGTTGACAAGCTCGTTCAAGCAAGTATCTGAGCCCAGAGAATACTCGGTTCCGGGAACGTTGTTGGAGATGGTGGCGGGGAGAATAACCATGGGGATGCACAAAGAAGGGTATTCCTTCCTGGCCTTGCGCATTTGAGAAACGGAGTGGAAGGCCTCGAAACCACCAACAAGGAATAGAGCATCAAAGTGGTGCTCCTCGATCAGGTTGGCAATCAACTCCATACCAGACTCGCCAGGAAGCTCTCGGTTTGTACCAATCTCGGAACCGCCCTTGCTTGCCCAACCGTCAACCTCGAGCCAGTCGAATGGGCGGACAGCGCCGATAGGCTTGTCATCGTGGTGTCGCGCGAATCCAGCGAAACCGTTGTGAATAGCCAGAGGCTCGTGGCCCTTGGAAAGACAGTACGCAACAGCAGCACGTACTGCAGCGTTCATGCCACCAGCAGGGGCACCAACATTGATGAAGCCAATTCGCATGCGCTAAGCAGTCAGTTGTCAGTAAGAGGAACAATAATGCAGAGTTAGGGCCAGACTTACATCCTTTTCAGGCAGCTTAGAATCGTCAACCATGACGTTCGTGGTCAACATATAAGAGCCCCATTGGTCGGCGAACTCGGCATCACGAAGAGACATGGCCTTCTCGAAGTCTTTGGCATCAACGGCCTTGGCGAGTTCTTTGGTCTCAGCAACAGCTTGCATTAGAGGCTTGCGGACAATCTTGTTCTCGTTAATAGCGATGAAAGGAGTCTCGGTCTCTGGTGTAGCTTCGAGGACAGCCTTGACGGCTTCGACACCCTGCAGGGTAGCCAACATTCGGTCGTATGCGACGGCAGTACCGCCTCGTTGGACGTGACCGAGGGTGGTAATACGTGTATCGAGAGCAAGACCGCCCTCGCTCTTGTCGGCTAAGATGTTCTTGATTTCTTCGGCGCCGATCTTGTTGCCGTCCTTGTCGCGGGCACCTTCAGCGACAATGACAATGGTCTTGCGCTTTCCAAGGTCTCGATGCTGTAAGTCGTTAGTGCCTGTGATTGGAAGCTATTGTCTGCGCTTAAACCTACCCTTCGCACAACGACCTTCATATCTTCCTGCCAATCATGCTCACGAGGTCTTTCAGGAATAAAGACAAAGTCTGCACCAGTTGCGACACCGGCCATGAGGGCCAGCCAACCACAATGTCGGCCCATGACTTCGACGACGAAAGCACGCGAGTGTGAAGAGGCTGTCGCTTCGACGTAGTCGACCATCTCGCAAATACGGGCGAGTGCTGAGTAGCAACCAATGGTCGCATCGGTTCCTGTGAGATCATTGTCGATAGAGCCGACGAGACCGACAATGTTGAGATGCTTATAAGGTGCTATTTGTTCTGTAGACAGCTCTCCCTTGGAAACGAGCTCTTCCAGCAGAGAAGGCCACTCAGCTCGGAACTTGTCAGCACCAGTCAAGGAGCCGTCACCACCGCAGATGATCAGAGCATCAATGCCAGAAAGAACCATGTTCTTGGCGGCCGTTAACCGACCGGGACGCTCGTAGAAAGCCATGCATCGAGCAGTACCAATAAGTGTACCACCCTCAGAGAGGTAGCCTCTGACATCGTTCCACTGCATCTGTCGGATGAAGTCGCCTCCCTGCACCAAACCCTCATATCCCTCGTAGACGCAGTAGGCGTCGCAACCCATGTGAAGGGACATGCGCACAACAGCTCGGACAGCAGCGTTCATGCCAGGGGAGTCACCTCCCGAGGTCATGACGGCGATCTTCTTCTTGGGGGCCATTTTGGCGGATTCGAAAAGACAGGAAGAACGCTTAATATTGATGATTCGATTCAAGGTTTGCCAGAACCGAGTTGAAGTAAGTTTGAGATATTGCGTAGCCGTCCGGAGAAGGAAAAAACGCGGGGGGCAGATAGTGTAGCTCTAAAAGTGTATATGATGAGAAACAAGGGCACAACAATTGGGGAGAGCACGATACTTACAGGAAAATAAGGAGAAGAGAAGAGAAGCGCCGGCTTCAACGGATGATATTGATAGAATATGGTCTCACCAGGTTTCCTGTCAAGAGAAGGGGGGAAATTATTATGGCGCCAGCTTCATGGTCCGGGCAGCAGTCGGTCGGTGACGCAGCTGGAGGTCAGGATAAGTACCTACAGTAGCGAGGGGCAGCACAGGGAAGCCAAGAACCGACTGACGAAGTGGAGGGTATGATGTGTGAAGAAAGAGCTCTTATCGCTTATCGGCCCGCGCGGGGGGGCAGATTTTGGTTTTTTTTAGGTGCCAGTCTTGACCCAAGGTGAGCTTTTAGCTGGCTCAGGTGGGTTATGATGTTACGATTCGTAAGGTGAATTATTAGCACTCACCTCACTTTGCAGCCTCTTGTCCCTCTAGTCTCGGTGTTTTATGCTTGCTTGCTTGTCTGGTTGCCAATTACCAGCTGCGATAATCCCCTCAAGCCCCTCTTCTTTTTTTATCGCACGCACAATCGAATCGAAGCTGTTAGAATAATACCGCATTCCTGAGGTATTCATGCTATCTGATCCACGTTTCGGTGGCATTGGGCGACGCAATGGTACAGAAACAGCATTGGCAGTGGGACGGGGCGCTTCCATGAGACGTCATAAAGCCGCATTCATTCTTTTTTTGCCTACCAACAGGCCGGGCAAGAGGAGACTTTGCATGATTTCAATCATGAATAACTGGATGTTGAATACATGGGTTGTGTCAAGTATCCAACGTATTTCTGCAATATCTATCTCTTCATATGTCACTTCAAAGACAACTACCGGCGCATCAAATTTTTGACATGATCTCCATCCTGGTCTACCGCGATCTGCTACTTTAGCTCTAGCTAATTGGCATGTAGTGGTTCGTGGGGCTGAAGTGCGTTGAATGACGGCAGCCAGATCTTCAACGCAGGACAGGTGATTGTTAAGGCATTAAGGCAGGCTGAACTGCAAGATCGAAGAACCGAAAGGCGATCGAGATGTCCTGATTTATCAATTGTCAGGCAGGGGCTCTTACATGGCTGCTCACCTCACATCGTATGCAATTTCAAACACGCCATCAGTCACTACATGCCCATGTCATCCTCAAAATCGCTGGCCTCAGAAGACGCCTCAGATTGAAATCAATGTCTATCGTTATTAAAAGGGATAAATACTTGAGAAATGAGATAACTCATAAACCAGTTTGCCAACGGACGGCATAGAAGAACCAAAGCTAGGACAGGACATCGTCTTGCCATCTTGAATACCCTAGACCCCCACGCGAAGAAGGCAAGACAACGGTCAACACACCTAGACAAGAGTCATGAGTTTCTAATTCCATGACTACAAGGGGCCTGGGACGCATAATTGCTTTGGTAGGAAGAGATGCCTTCCAATAGCATATCTGAGGCAGGCAAAGGTGCGAACTCCAGGGTCACCAGCCTGCCGGCGCTCTGAAATCTGACCAGTCATTGAGAAAACTTGACAGTCATCTTGGAAACCGAGACGGGCTGTGATGATCGCTGCGAGGATTACTGAGGCGTCCACCACTGAAGCCCTGTGTTTACAACCCGGCGGTGCAAGCAAGGAAATGAGAGGTCGAAATGTGAAAATAGAAAGCCCTTTAGGAGAGTCATATGGCTGCAGATGCAGTTTTATGCGCTGGCAAGCGTCACCTCACAGCGGTTGGGATGGATGGTTGGCCTGGTGCGACGGCAGCGCGTCTGCTGACCTGGAGCGCCAAGCGCTGAGTCGCCAGGACCCTGAAGAAGCGCCCCTGAACATGACGACAGAGGCCTCAGCAGGGCCTCAGCTCATCGCAACCCAGGTTAACAAGGCTCAATTCAAGTCTGCCTCCCTTGAAGCTGCCTTGACTGCCGACTGTAACTGTTAAGCCTCTCGACAACGAGTGGTGCGGAGGATCCTGGAACATCAAGGCAGGTGACCTACCCCAGGTATCGTCACTGAAGCCTCGGGATATTCATTTATGAGCCGGTAGCAAGTTTCTCGTCTGATCTGCTCGGCATATGTCCGTGGTCACGCCTATCCCATGATGTCGGGCGCATCAACGCAGCAGAACGGACGGGAGGCAAGTCCTGCCCAACTGACTATGGGCAGAGGGATAGTTGCAGGCTACGGCCCAAAAACCTCACCTCCAGAGTGACTCAACTCGGCTTCGTCCCGTCGGAATGAGCTCCGTGGTCAGGCGCAAGGACACGGTCATCAGTCATCAGTCGTTACCCGCCTGTACTTTCACCGCGCATAGCCTTTCCCTTACTTTCCCAGTGTCGACAGATGAATTTCTAGGCGAGATCAGTCAAAGGCCCGTGGCCGCTTGCGGAGGCGAGGTGCAGCGTGCGGATGACAATCTGGGGGCTCGTTGTTATCACGGGGTCACCGGATATTGGTTATGCCATTGAGAACGGGTCAAGTTAATGAATCCCCACGATCCTCTGGGGCTTCTACAGGGCGAGAATCACTAGCAGGATTCTCATTTCCAATCCCAGATCGCCCAGAATCACGTCAATTCGCCGTTGAAGTGGAAGCCTGGATTGCAAGCGGACCAATTGACGCTTTAACACGGGCGTCTGTTGATGATACCGGGTTGGGGTTGGAATCGAAGCTCAATGCCAAAAACACCCTTGACATAACCGGTCAGGGTCTTCAACACAATGCTCGGCGAAAATTCTCTCAGGGTCTATCATGTGCCTTGAAGCTATCGAGCTAATGGCTTCCAAGAGAGCCGTTCGTCCTTACCGAGTCTCACTATTCTCAGGATCAAATGCCTTGGTGAATGTTAAGACCGCGGTTAATCCGGGCCAGAACAACACAAAGCGAGGCTTGGATCACCAACGTGACTTGTGATGGGGCCTCAGACAGGTCCCTGATGAGGAGCGGGCTACAGGGTGCTTCATCCGCGGGAGACAGAAGGTCCCAAGAGAATGACAGTGGGGGGGATTGGACCTGGCAAGGCAAACATCAGGGTCGTCCTCAGTTCTGGACTCGGATGCCCGATTCGGTCTCAGTTCACAACGGAGCCGTTCAAGGGAGATGGACAGGACACATGACAAGCTGTCAACGTTCCAGAACGCCAAACGGACCGCAGGATCTGCTTTCCGTTACAGGAGGCCGCGGCCCCATTAGGAAGAGTTAGGGGACACCGAGAGATAGAACCGTTTGCACTCCCGAGACCGCCTTCGTCTGTGCTCGCTCCGTAACTGTCTCAGGTGGGCCACTTACTTGATCAGGTAATCCAGATATAACCCAAAGAGGACTGGCTCGATATCTCCGAGTCTAAACTCTGTTGGGTATCATAGTGACCCGCTGCTTGAACACAATAAGTGCCTCTTCAGGTAAAGACCCGTGGAAACTGGTCATCAGGAAGAATTTGCCTCCCCCTCTCTTCCACCTCCACCTGTGTTCCTCCCCCTGACAGAAGCCCTGTCCTTGTCTGCTGTGTCGCCGAAGTCGAACAGCCAACAGACCTTCCCACCTCCACCTCTATCATCCTTTGCCCTGGCGTGGACATGACATTGGGCAGGTTCTTGATTCGAGAGGATCCCTTTGTTCAGAGAGGAACAGAGTCAAAGATACAGACGAGGAATAAATAGCTCTTTGGTCTTCGTTGTCATGCGTTTGCTGTACTATGCTGTGCTGTGCTGTGCTGTGCTGTGCCGCCACTTTAACCCCCATTCTCAACTGAATCCGTCTGGTCACGCCTCTGTAAAAGTGTAAGGTTAAGGTGCCACCCCACAGGAATCAATCAATCAATCACTGGACTCATCCTGAGTGAACCGTAACTCACATCAGCGTACATTGGCAGCGAAAATTCTCCTGCGCCGCGGTACTGGGAGACTTGGGCTTGTGCTATTTGGGTGGTACCCGCTATTTCCAATGCCCCCCTCCTCCATTTCTACTCCAAGTACGTACCTGAGCCACCCCGGCGAAAGTGCAGTGGCTCGCACCCCCTCTGGGGCCCACGCCCCTGCGTCCGACACCCCTGGGCCTGGCGTGCACTCGTGCTTGTGCTAAGGTACCTTAGACTCCATTTACATAGCGCACACCGCGACTCCCTTCCCCCAATCCGTCTTTCTTCCCACAGACCAAACAAGAATAACTACGTTTGATCCCCCCGGACTTTGTTCGTCCTCCTCCACTTACACATACACTTACACCAACACCCAACATCCATTGCAGAGGATTTTGAGAGGACGACCTTGCACCAGGAATCGCCTTTACACATACAGTATATATCTACTCGAGGATCCCCATGAAACGCAGCATCCACCTCGACATCACACTGACACGCCAAATTCGCTTACATTGACCTTGAACTCCCTCGACTTCACCGCCCGCGACTAAGGCTTCTCCACCTCGAAACTCAACCTCTTTACTACGCTCTGGCGCATTGTCGGCTCTAATTCGATTTACTTCGCCGACGACCTATACAGAACTTGTCGACCACTTCGATTGCACTTACAACTTCGACCGACTTATTCGCACCCACCCTCGCAACTCTCCCCAGTCGATTCATCGACAGGCCCAAGACACATTATGCCCTATCGTTTAGACACTCACGTTTTGACAGTGGATGCGAACGTCATCCACAAGGTCGATACTGGCAATCCCGCCAATCTTTATAGCATGTGGACTGGTAAGTCGTCCCTTGTTTGTGCCGCCTGCTTATATGCTGACCAGTCAGTCTTCTCTCGGTGCGCAGACTCCGTTGAACAAGGTCGAAGACTGGAGAACCTTAGCTGGCGACTGTGGCAAAGAGAGACCTTTGTCGTCGACAACGAAGAAAAGACAGCACCCTCTACACAAACTCTTCCCCAGAACATTCCTTCCGAGTCAAGGATACCCGATCTTCCTCAACTGTCTGGCAGTGTTGAGTCTCTCGTAGACGAAGAGGCCGTCGACTTTAGTTCATTATCAGCACCACTTGAGATCGCCCGCCCTCGTGTACGACGTCAAGATTCTTGCGCCAGCACCCGAAGCAAGCGCGAACGCCACATCAGCTCCGACGATTTCGAGAAGATGATTGTCTCTATTGTTAAGGACAAGGGTCCTCTGTCGGCCCCTCCTCATGTTGCTCCCGTCCCCAAGGAGTCCCTTCCAGTTCCTCCTGTTTTCGAGCGTTCTGGTTCTACTACAACCGAGTCTCAATCGCCTGCAAAGTCTATCACAGCTTCAGAGGGTTCGCCACAACCTTCACCGCAAAGCCTCCCCCGCACCACTGTTGTGCGTGGCTTCTCACCTTCCCAGATTCCCACTCCTCGAACTATCTCCGGTGCTGCTCAATCATCAGACGCAATTCCTGAGCCCAAGTCGTCGCCTGCTGCCAAGGTGGTGCAACCAAAGAAGCCCGCTCGTTTTGCGCTTGGTGGCTCTTGTTCGTCTAGTGAACAGGACCAGAGCCTCAGCAACAGCAAGCCCATCATTCCCATCATCAAGAAGCCCGTGTTCCAGATCGGCGGCTCCTCTGAAGAGGACGGCTCACTCAAGAGCGCCATGGCTTCATCACGGCCTGGCTCGCTCCTCTCTGCACGCAAGAAGCAGGCCTCGTTCAGCAACAATGTCATGACACGAACAATTGATGATGAGGCAGCTGTCGACTCAGATACCGACGACTACATCGACGAGAGCGCCATCGATGACGATGACGACTCTTCGGACTGGGAGGACTCGATGGAAGAGAGCGGCAAATCCAGCATGGACGACAAGTTCTTCCAGCGAGTGGATTCCAAGCCCAATTTGACCTCGCGACGATCGCTCATTACCCTCATGCTTGCCCAGAACGATCGCGCACGCACTCTTGGTAACCACGCTTCCCAATCGACTTCAGCCATTCCACGATCTCGTATGGCCCACGGCCCGTCACTGGGTGCCTCGCCTAATGACTCTGACGAGGCTCCCCTGATGATGAAGGGCATGCGTGGACCTGGTCTCAAGCCGATCCATGAGGTCCCTAGGTCTACTGCTCAGCCCATCATGACCGGCCCCAACCACATCCAGCCTCAAGCTGCGCTGTCACCTCGCACTACTCGTCGCAATATGTTGGCGACTGAGTTGACTGAGTCTCTTCGACGTCACCTCCTTTGGGAGCGACAACAGAAGTCCTCGACAGCCAATGCCGTCCTCAAGCGACGACATACATCACACGATGTGGCCAACCTGAAGCAGTACCCTGAGAAGCCTTGCATGAAGAAGAGCGAGGATGTGAACGCAAGCAGCTGGAATCAATACTTCTCCAAGGAGGCCAGCGACGGATACCACTCCAAGGGGTGGTAAATGATACCCATACCATATTATACCATACCGACACAACTATACCCACTACGATTGTGCATTGGACGGCGCACGAAAGGCATCACCACATCAGCATTGAGCGTTTTTATTTTTAGCTGCACTTGGCAGCGTTTGTTTTACAAGTCGTTTAGCGAAACGGAACTCAAAGTATTTTATCATTTTATCACTCATGGCGGGGACTCTTAACATTATGATACCATGAAATCGTGTTTTTTCAAGGCCGCGGTAGGCTCTTGTTTCGTCATTTCCAGGCTCGGGGCACGTGTACTTGTAGTTCATATGGGGAAGATTTCTGGGGCAACCTGAGGATATGATTTCGCTACGAAAGTTTGAGGTGGAGGGAACCTGAGTTAAGGCGGAGCATGGGTCACGAAATACGGCCATCGGTTTTACTCGAGCAAGCGCAAAAGGCGAAAACAAAAGTCAAAAGCAGTGGATGATGACAAGCGAAAGCGAAGGCGAAAAGGGGATGTATGAGCGAGAGAGAGAATGAGATGGAAGAGCAAAAGATTAAACGAGTCACTCAGCAAAAAAAACTCGCAAAAAGGGCGAATTGTCTATGAGAAAGAGGTTTCCGCAAAAACATGAATAAAACTTTTCACGTTGAACAAACAATGAATGACTTGATCCAATTGAGTGAGTGAATCGATCATCCAGACGCAATGTGTGTGGTGTTGTGATGGAATGTCGCATTGGATTGTGAGTCGTCAGAAGGGTTCCAAGGTTCCTGGATGCTTCAAGGATTGCTGGAGACATGACCCAGGATGGACGTCATCAATTCCGCGTGTTTTCAGCACTGAGCCAGGCCTAGCCAGCACCTTCAGAGCTGAGGGTTGCAGGCAAACACCAGCGGCCGTTTAATGCTAGCAGGCGGAAATCCCATTGGCTCGGGGAGGAGAAGCCCCAGGCCTTGAAGGCCATTTGAGTGTGGCAGACCCGACCAAGCAAGCCAGCGCTGCAGGCTTTGTAGAGCTCGTGACTTGATCAATTGGCTTTTGGTTTTCGCGAGAGGAGAAGAGAGAGAGTCAGACTGAGCACATGTCAAAGCATGAATCTTTGAGACAATTTTCATCATTTGGTCTCGTCAACTCTACGAGAATGCTCTGCATCTCATGGAAACCACTGGCAAGCCAACCAAACTGTCGGTAATAAATGGCGTGAGTCGCTAGACACAGAGGAACATGGGACTTTACGATAATACCCGTAGTCTGATCGAGCGGTCAATCGTAGGTGCTGTCGGACAATAGCTGCTGCTTCTAGTCTTTTCTTTAGCATAGGGCAGTGCTGTCTTTGTTGGGGATACCTTATGCAAGCTGACACAGCGCAGTAGTAAACAACACACTCCAAGGTAAGGTCAACAACACGAGGTCAAGTTAGAACCGTCGTGAGCCGTCTCCAGCGACAAGTTTTACAAGATGACCATTGACATGAAACGACTGGCTTGATTGGCAAGTTCAACACCATCCCCAGGGCCGCCAAGCCATCGGCACTCGCTTCTGGGACCTGGAACGCGCCATTGAGTTTTTTTTCACATGGGCTATCACATGGGTTATCACATTAGTTATTCTCATCTCAAGTCGACCTGAATTGAAAGGGTGTCCGGCATCGGTATTCAGAAACCGATCCCAACCTCTCGGTCAATAGGTGTAAGCTGAAGGGGACCAACCGGACGCTAAGAACAACACGCGTAAGTCCAATCTCCTCCAAAGCCCAAACAACTCCCTTGTATCTCCGCCCTCGGCCAAAATACCAGACTTCGGAGGTTCTATTCCTTAGAATATACCTGGGCAGACGGATCTTTCTGGCTGCTTTTCTTTGCGTTCCTGTTACCTGACATTGGGATGTAAGGGTATGTATGGGCTGCAGGGACAAGCCACGAATGGGAAATGTAGCATAAGGCAACCCATAATCACCTATTTTGAGTTTTGAACTCTGACTGCATGTGAACGATGATAGTTCTCTTGTAATTGAAGATGGCAGACGTCTAGAGACGCGATTGACATATGATTGAAGCAACCCAACGTGCATCTCGTATCATTCAAACTACTGCATTCTATCATCAGCTCTACGCCAGCACGATGTGTTCCCGGTTCTAGACACATATGTCTAGTCCAGACCATTTGAATTATCGAAACGCGTCTTCTGGTTCACTCTGCTCACGGCCAAATTGTGGAGGACGCCATATCCTGCGGAGCCGCAGCCGGAGCTCACGAGCTAGGCGTCACATCGCGAACCAATTGAGACGAGGACGGATTCATACTCCGTGAATGAGAATGGGTTGTTTCAAAGGCATTTGCGCAAAATGAGGCTGGATAAGGAGACGTGTTTGAAATCAGTCATTTCTGACAAGCTATGCCAGAGATGCAATGATGGCCAGTCAATTGCTTCACCCATGACTCCCTGCGTGTGGGGAAGTCAAATCAGAGACTTTTCAAAGGCAGAGGCAAAGGGAACAAGAGACAACGACGCCTCTCCCGCTTGTGATTTTCCGGGGAAGTCCATGGCATCGTCAACAGGCATCCCGCATGTAAGCAGAAGCCATTGACTCTGTGTGCCTGAGCTCAGACTCACTCGTATTCAACACATACTTTTCTAAGCGTCAGTGGCGTTTAGACGAAAACCAAATCTCAGCATCTCCCCTCTTTTTCAAGAAGCTTTGACGTGTTCAATTCCCCAGAAAAAAGAGCCACATGTTGCTGACTTTGACTGCGGAGAATCTGGAGAATTTTCTGTGGTCATCCGACTATCCTTTTCTTCTCTCCGCATAGCAAATTTGCCTTCAGGTGAGATCACATGGTGTTGTTCAAGTTGCCATTAACGAATTGCATTTTTGTCTCCACAGATTTACCAGTTTGCTTTTTGCGATATGTGCGCTTGGAGTTTGCAGCACCTCTCGGGTCATGAGAAAACGAAACTAGACCAATTGAGGATGTTAACAAAGGTGGGGGGGGGGGGGCGTGCATGCGCCTTGTCTCGTGGCTGACAGGAAGGGATTTCGCATCGTCGGGACTCTCTCACTGGTAGGGAGTGTTTAAAGTCTGAGTCAGAAAGATGAAGTAGAGCAAAAACTGTCAGAGCAGAAGATGTCGTTTAGGCTAAACCGAATACTGGAAAAATCGAGACCAAGTCCCGTAAATGGCGGGTGAGTGTTTTTCGACCAATGAGAAATGGGAATTATATGTTTTGCTGGGGGAGTGAGCAGCGGAAATAGGACGAGTCAGATTGGCTCAATTGCCGATCGGAAACTCGGGGGGGAATAGGACCCTGCATGAGTTTCCTGAGAGCTTGCGTTTGTGTTGGTTTGAGCCATCTTCGAAGCTCTCGGATATTTAAGCCCCAATGCCGCTATTTTACTTTGCCGAAGGCTTTGAAGAATGCTGCCTGGATATCTGTAAGGCCTCATGTTATCCCGCCTGTTCTGGACTGCTGGACCAAGCTCATGCGGCTTTCAGGTTGCTTTCTCCTCCGGCCTCACATCCATAACCGTGATCATAACATTCCTGATTACCTTAAACTAAGTTAAGCGCTCCGAAGGTTCGGGATTCCCATGTCTCGCAGCTCACATGTGCCATGGCAATGCTCCATCTCATTGAAACTCTCCTCGGCACAGGCAGGCAGCAATGGATCTAATGTCGGTCGAATTCGGCATCCAATTCTGAGGACCCTTTTCCCTCCAAGTCATCCATTGTCTTTCAGGGCCCATCCGCCGAAGGTGGGGCCTCCATCCGGCGGGTGTCGGGTGCCCACTGTCCGGACGCTGGTTATGCTCTCGGAAACGCAAAGAGGGCTTTTTTATCCGGGCAAAATGATAGAATGTCGTGCAATGCATGCAACAAGGGTCTTTTTCTTTGACGTGCAGGCTGTGCTCAATTTTGAGCTGACGCTTGACCGTCTTTCAGGTGTTTAATGCCGCTCATTCACCGCTTGGTTCTATTGCGTGCGTGCTCACAACAGAGTCGCGCAGAGAATTTTCACATCTGATGCCGGACAAGAGGGCGCAAACAGGAGCCTGGAGATGCAACGCATCCAGTCAACCGACCCTTCTCCAAAATAAGCTTTAGATCCTTCTCGCTGCCAAGTTAATGGTCACTTGCAGCGAATCTACAGCACGCCAAGGTTCCTGAATCGAAAGGAATGCCGACAGATCTAGAGACGGGTCATGGCTGACATCAGAAGGGCCTCCTCACGTGGGTTGAGAGCTGTAGCCTCCGCTGCGAGCCTCTCTTACAGCACCTGTCAAAAGTTGACATGCCCCTGTGACCTGGCCAACCTTTAGCCGGAGCAAGCCTTGTTGACCTCGCCTTGCCTCAAGTGGAAACATATCCCTCGTGGCCTATGACATCGTTCGTATGCATGAGTCGCGAGTATCTAGGTACAAGCCCCGGATCCAAGTCTCGGCGTCAAGTAAGAAAAATGCATTCCGTGTCGAAAAACTGGGAATTAATTCATTCAATTGACTGATGTGGAATAAACTAAATTGAATAATTGGTTCCTGTTTTTTCTACCCCAGTCACCGTTAGAGTTTGACTACTGCCAGCCCACGATCCTCCCCAGACGGGGTTACGACTAATGACAAAGGGGTTCACTGGGTTTTGCGGAACCATCATCCACTGACACGAGAAATTACAGGATATCAGGTAGTAGCCACGAACAAGATTCGGGAACGCTTACTTAACTCTTACCATTTAATTACTGACCGGAAACCCACCGAGAGTCCGAGATGCTGGACCTTTTCCGTTTTTGGTGTATTCTACATGTATTGAAGCCCCAGAACCTGTTGACTGGAGCCCGGATGTCCATGTATCAATGGGAAACAATGTCTAAAACGGTCAACCTTGTAATGAGATCAACGATGGAGAAACTATCGAGAAGGAAACCACAAAACGAGAAGGCTGTGGTGTGCAATAATAAAAATCAGGCACATGTTGTGATATCGCGATTGTCCTCTCGTCAAAACAACAGGTTCGGTGAGCCAAGGCTGGTGATCAAATAAACAACGTCACAACGGGTATGCAGGACTGCTATCCCGTCCTGCAGCCTGCAACTTGAACAGTGGTCAACATCGAAAACTCGAGTTGATATCGATGTTTCTGCTTCTCCAAGATCCATCGAGATCTGGGGTGTCGCTACGTCATACTCTGGGGTGCAAGGTGGTGCGTTCTCGCGACACCCCAGAATCTCCAAATCTCGCAGATCTTGCTCTGGAGAGCCCGCATCGGACCATCACGCGGCTATGCATCTGTGCAATGAGAATGGGATTTTCGCATTCTTTGGTGTTGATGCGTTGTTCGATGATGCAAACGGTTTGTGGTGTTTTGATGTCGAGACGAGGTCATCTCCCTCGTCTATGACCGAATAGTGAACCGGAAATGAGACATCTGTTCTACTTCCAGCCGAGAACTGACCAAGGGAAGGGCTGTTACATACCGACCATCTCCCGTAAGAACAGCCATAACACCCTCAGACACTTCAGGGACAACCGCGCTTGTCTTGAGCGCCCGTTGTCGGAGTCTTGAGACTTGGGAACACAAGCGCGGTAATCTCACGATCCACATCCCCATCGACACCTCAGGCTCTCATTATTCATTCATCCATGATGGTGTTGTCCGAGCACGAGCACGACCCATCTTCTATCCCTATTATGGCTGGTGGTGTGCGGACTTGAGTCCGACGTGCCCCGACCAATCGCCCATCACCCTCATGAGACCTCTAGGCCTTCTAGAAGTCTTCTCCCGCACGTGGAGAAGAACACCTCACACCTCCATCAATTTTCTCTCAATCACGCGTGGGTCAAAGCTGAGGCTGAAAAAGGCAACTGTTGACGGCGCGGCAGAAGAGGATTCTGAGCTAAACAAACAACGCGGTATTTTCTGGTATTTCGTTAGACATTACACTGTGAAATGCAACTCGAGGTCTTGTTAGTTTATCAACACCCCGACAATGGCTCGACGAATGAGAAAATCAAGAAATCAGTAATTTAATTCCGTATTTTATCCCTCATCTCCACTCAATCTCTTTTCGGATCCATAGTGGAGAAGATATCTCGAACGGAACAGTTTGGCCTCCCTGTAATCAGCCTTGTAAACTCTAATGCAAACGGTTATGGTTGGGCATCAAAATCTGGTTCTTGCATCATCATTCTCCGCTGTGCCCCGATATCAGCCAGACAGAGACGACTCATGAGATATCGTGAGATCGAATGGATCCAGAAGGTCTCCAGAACAAACTCCAAAAACTCCAACGTCCATCTCCACTGATAAGAATCGTCTTGTTCCCGGCGACTCTACGGCGCTCCTCGGCCCCTCAATAATGCCTTTTTGCTCGGACGGGACCCTCATCACCGTTTGCATGTCTCGCCGCGGCCCTTCTCAAAGCCATTGATATCAGTTGAACCGTTACCGCCTCTGTCGGTCCGGCAATGGCAGGGTAATTCATATTCCCTCATTGGTGCTGCTATGGCAAATTAATGGATCGCTTTTTTTACTTTCGCTAACTCGTTGGCATATTTGACACGTGAAATTCGCGTGGCTGTGTCATATTCCTAGCCACGAGGAGGCAGAGCCGACAATATGGGTCCGCCATGAGATTCTATCGATAGTCGCCATGTGGGCATGCGTTTCATGGTCCATTATCAACGGAGTCGCCGATGAGGGGATAACAGTTGCAGTTGGAGATGGTGGAGGATGCGAATTACGATTCAAGTGAGACTGCATCTGTTGGAGTGGGTTGGCTGACAAGGGGAGGCAAGAAAACTTGAGACCTCGTATCTAAGTGATAAAAAAAGACTTTGGTAAACTTAGTATATCTTAGCGAGTCTTTAGACCAGTTTATTTTGGCACCCTGATTCAATGTTAGAAGTTTTCTTGCTCCCTGGGGGCCGATCTATTATCTGCGCTTCCACTCAAGGTTGTTCAGCCGCGTCTCGGAAACCTTAGATGAATTGTATACCGACAATTCATTCCCCTTTGAGAACAGCACGCGAAGCTTAGACTTGCCGAACATGAAGCCGACTGGGCAACTTTAGTTGACTGTCGCCCTTAGTGCTTAGCCTAAGCAGATGTCAATTTCCTGCGTGTTGGAGGCATCTCATGTACCTACAGGCTACTACCATTTCTTCAGCGTACCACGTGGTGAAGGTTCTCCGCACTCACAAAAATGGCCGCCGTTGATATTCCCTCTTTAGTATCTTCTGCCGAGAGTTTAAAGCCATTGCGCCGCGGCCGGTAATTGATTCAAATTGGGGGGATGGAACATTGTCGACCATTGACGGCCATTGAATTCAGCCTTCATATTGCTGGACGTCGTGTTAACAACGCCAAGTTGACTGTCATGTGCAACTCGTCGACCATTCTTGCGTGAACGGCTGAATTGTCAACATCCTATTATAGAGGCCAAGATTTGATATACTAAAACATGCCAGATATGGCTATAGTAAATGCCTAGACTCGCTGTCTGGTTGTGTGCTGTACCACCAGTGTGGTGTTAGCATAAAGCCATCATATCAATCGAAGAAAAAGCCTCTCATCGGCCCATACCTATCCAATATGATCTGTGTAACTGCTGAGGGCCTTTGATGGTGGTGTAGGTGAAGGTGTCTTCTGATGCTATAAACTTCTCAATGCACTTGGCTGATAAGACGATATTACCACAGAACACGCAAATCAATGCTGTTCTTATCCAGAGTCCTTGACTAATAATCGTTTACTGGTAATCAGCAGTCCGGCTGCGCCTCTGCTGAGACGGGCAGGTCGTGCATATCAAACTCGTGTTACCCCAGACCCCAGGTTTTACCAGGCATAATAGCCTGCAGGGCCCTGTGCCTGCTGACATGGTATCATGCCACGGGTAGCCCAGGCCATTGGCTTTCCATGTGCTTTGCTGTCAACTGTCAAGTTGCCACCCCCTCCCGAGCCGTTCGACCCCCAAATTCGTCCGGATTTCCCCAACTTCCCGAACAAACGGTTTGGCGTGGGTTTGAAATTGAAGCCGAACAACCCCCATGGTTCCGGGGAAGACAGTAGGGGTCAGCCGACGGAGAAACTCTGCCGTGCAAACGAAGACCCTGATCGGATCGGAGGGCCGTAATCAAAGAGGGAGATGATAAAAGATGGCAGCTTCTCCTTTTGGTTTGACAGGCGACATGTGATGGTCAGAGCGGGAGGCCTGGTGATGGGTTGATGCGGAGAACCTGGATACTGGCCATCTCATTCAAGCGGATGCATCGAGGGTCTGATCCGCGGGCCCGGACCCCAGAGCAGCACATTCTCGGCCCTTCAGCAGTTGCTGTGCCTGAAGGTTGGTGGTATTCACCACAAGATGAGGTGTCGATCCACGGCCCGTGGCCATGAGGATGGTGGCATACGGGCCGAGTCGATGCGTTGGCACGCACAATGTGATAATGTCAGAGCATCCTTGATCTTGAGTCGGTGTAAGGTTTAATTGTAATAACAATCGATCATATGAAAGGCGAGTGGCAGCCTAAAGTTGACATACATATCATCGCTGATGGAAATTACTCCCATGTGATGCCAAAAATGGACATTGAAACACCCCGTTTCAGCTACCTCGGTCAAGAAAGGATCTGATATGATGTCAGAGACTTTAACCTTGTCAAATACTTAATGCTCTATTGCTTAATCTGAAACTGGTGGTGTTACTGGAGGGTGGCAGAGGGAACACTCATAGATCTCAGATGACTATAGCTGTAAGTTGAAGGATGGTCAGTTAACGGTGCCAGTTATGGAAATGATGTTCAGTAAAAGTCTCGTACCGTAATCGACGAAACATCCTTTTATGATCATATGGCAAAGTATTTGCATAACCTACCTGTTGTCAGCTAGCGGACCAGGCCAGAGACATCTCTTCTGCATAGTATATTCGGTTGCCATCACACACCACAGCTACGACGACTATCATACCAATCACATAATCCCACTATCCAACCTCGTGAATCTCTTCAATGATTTTTAAATATTTCAATTAGCCAACAACTTTCTTAAGGACCATTGTTGGACTAAGGGGCAACCGGCCGGGTGTGATCAGTCTCAGGAGTTCGCATGGTAACATGTTTTAAACGCTCAACTCGCGGATTGAGTCAATTGAATTGTCTCTTCCTTACTAGCCAGGAACCAATCCCCGATGTTAAATGTGGCTCTACTGTTCCTAAAGTTTGCTGGATCGGATCGCCAAAAGCATTCATTACATTATAAAAAGATCGGCAATAGGGATTCGATCTTCAATGATGTCAAGTCATCACGCGATGTCACTTCCTTACGACTATTATAGGAACTTGACTTGTTAGCTTGCCTTTGAAAAGATGTTGTGACTCGCAGGATCGACAAGTTGACGATACAACGCGAATGGTTGTCTTGATAACTCGACCATCGCCATGCCAGCCTGAGACCCCAATTGCATCACCAAAGGTTAATCACCAGGTGATCAAACTCAGAACAAGCTCAAGAGACATACGATATTTCCAAGCGAGGAGCTTCAAAGAGTAAAGTAGGGATCATCGGGACTTTGGTCATCACTGTGAAGCCCGTAGTCTCTGCAGATGCAAAGAAACCTTGCTGTTCAGGTAATAGAGGTGATAATCTCAGTTCGCTTGGGTAAACGGAGATCTTTCTTATATTTGATCCTCATGTATGGTCCTTTTGAGACAGCTAAATGCTGTAATCTTGATATATGAGCCAATATAAAAGACGATATGTCTTTATGCCAATTTAGGGACATTGTTAGAGTAAGTTCAAATGAGTGTAAGATTGCAAGTGTGTTATCATAGTAAGTGAGCTGTTAAGTGTATTATGAAGGCCTCCCGGTATAACGTTAGATTGAGGCTTAAGGAAGCATTAAAATTACAAATGCCAGTAAATATTGACCGCTTCTGTTGAGCCGTCCTTCAAACATCGTTGAAATCCCAAACCATAATTCCGACAGCATATCTGTCTATTTTCGCCCTTCCGTGTGTTCCTTACAACTTGCTTTCCTCCATTATCCGTGGTGCTCAAAACTTTGGGCTTTCAACATCCTTCCCGACGTCCAATGACCATGGACATTGTATGGAATGTCTTCATACGCGTGGTTTGGTGTACAGCACACCCAGCCCCGGTCTCTTGTAGGGGAAAGAAACCAATCATTCGTTTCGCAGTTTCGCAGTTTGTTGAGAAGGTCTCATCTCGATATAAATCATTCTGAAAGGCTATGTCTCCTTCTTGAGTCTCTTGGGATCGGCTGCAGCTTGCTGGAGCTGATCATCTTGTTGCCGTTTCTGGTTTCCAGGGCCATTGTGGGGATTAGAGAGGATACTGTGTTTCAGTGTGGCAGGCCTAAAACTGTTGAAAGTAGACTTTGGTTGAGAACTGCCGTCGTGACTGAACGACCGTGAGCCTCCTGGCTGTATAGCACTCACTGTGCCGAACGTGACCGTCGAGTATGTCGGTGTTCCGAACCTCTGTGCCACATTGACTTGCGACCCTTGCTGATTCGCTCCGCCGCTGAAGTAAAAAATAGGCTTGCTATCTCGTGGCGAATTGTCGAATCGAAAGCCCTGAGAGGATGATGGGATGGATGGCCGTTGGGATGTTGACTGCTGGTAACAATGATAGTTATTGTTCGATTCCTGTAGTCTGCTGTACCGAGACCAAAGGCTCTGGTAGTTGCGGCCTGCCTGTTCACTGGCCTTGCTCATGTCGAAAATCTTTTGTTTGGACTGTTCTAGCTCTTTCGAAAGTTCTCGGACCTTCTTATTGGCCTCATCGAGGCGATTTGATTGCTCTGTTGCAGAGTTTCGCGATTGTTCCGAAGCCTTCTTTGCGTCCGCAAGTTCTCTCTCAATAGGCTTTCGGCTGTCTTTGTAGGAGGAAAGTTCATTCTTGACACTTTGAAGCTCCATCGACAGTTGTCTTTCCTGCTGTCGAGACGCAACGAGAGCAGCCTCTTTCTCAAGTATCTCCGACGATGGATCGTCAGCATTCTTCTTGAAGGCCTCAAACTCGGAAGTGAGCTTTTCAAGTTGAGTCAAAGCCTGTTTCTCTCTTTTCTGAGATGCATCAAGGCCGGCTGTGTTTTGTTCCAGCTGGGTCGAAAGGCGATGCTCGCGCTGCTGGGATTCATCGAGAAGCGTTGTTTTTGCTTTTAGCAGTTCGGCGAGAAGCTTTAGTTCCCGTCGCGAATTGGCTTGAATGGCCAACTCCGCCTCTTCGAGCTTTGTAGATAGGTCTCTCTCCCGCTGCGAAGGAGCTTCCTCCCGTGATTGTTCGGCCGACATGACGAGAGTTTAGGAAGTCGGAGAAATGGGAAGACTCTCGGTCACGTACTGCATAAATGAAGGGAGTAAACAAATGGTTAAGGAAGAGAGGGGGTTAGATAGAGGAGAATAATAATATGTTGCCTAAGCCACTGATTCAGTGACGAGGTGGAAAGGCCAGGCTGAGCTGCCAGTGTCCGGCAGGTGTCAGGCAATGGAGACAAACGAGCAGTGGAGAGGGAACGAATTATAGGAGAACGGGTGAGTGCATGAGGGTTCAGCTTGACCAAGGACCTAAGTAAAATCTTTGGATACCTTACCACCTCTAACCTTTGAAACAGAGGTACCTACTCAATTAATGTTTCCTAATGCTCCTCCTACTCCAATTCCCGTAAAACAACCACGGGCAATGAAGCCATGTGAAGTGCGCCCACCCAAGTGTAAACGTCTGAAAAGATTGATCGGAAGTTCACAAAACCAGGAAAAATCTCTGGAGTCTTCCCATCGAAAGTCATGTACTTCGCAATCAACATTGCCTGCAAAATGCAGAAGAAGACGAAGAGGATCGTGGTAGGATGAAACCTCTTCGACCTGCAAGGCTCCTTCACAGTCTCACATGGCCTTGATGCAGGCTCGGATCTAGGCAAAGAGATAGCAGCCATAACAGTCCCCCCAAGAAGAAGATAGTTCTGGAAAATGGCGGACCAGGAACTTTCAAGGCGGATGAATCTTCCCGTTGTGGCAAAAGCAATAAAGCCTGGCTCAAGTACAATGAGGACGATAGTTAGCAAAACGCCTGCCAGCCCATGAGTATTTGCAGCGGCTAGAGGCACGATATTCCAACGATATCCAAGCTGCACGACAAGGCATGCTGCAATTGAAAGACGGGCTGCCTCTGGGAGACTCAGGAGGTTGATGATCAAGATCCCCAGAAGGATGATGAATATGACAGCATGTTCAAGGGCAATCTCGACATGCCTCCTTATAACGCTGTTACCTGGAGGTAGCTTCGCATCACGCACTGCTTCTACATCCTTGGCTGCGTAGTATTGAGCTACCCTGGCAAGGCTGAAGAACAGAGGTAAGCTGACCCCTATCGATGCCAAAACTGTGTTGCGGTCCGTATAGTTCGTGAAAGTGCCGATGCCTGAGATACATATGCCTGTCAAGATCGTGCTAAACGGGACGTACAAACGCCGCCATGGGTCAGATCGGGAGGCATTATGCGGGTAAGCGAGCCTTGCAATTAAGGCCCCCGTCATGCCAAGTGCAACGGCGATAAGACCGTGAAGTGACAGTCGATGTGTTTCACCAGGCCTCAGGGGCCGTCCAAGGTAGATTCCATACAAAAACAGGCTTGACAGAAGCGTAGCGCTACAAGCGACTGCCAGTAACGAGTGCGAGATGGGCACCGCGAATTGGCAGAAGCAGGTGACCTTGTATCGCACGGGGTCGACTCTGATGATCTCGAGGCGTCTCAAGTGTTGAAACGTAGTATATGTGGAGTAGGACCCAAAGAGCAAGATTCCAAGGGCGCTTACCCAGTCGGCGAGGTTATAGGGGTCGGTGAGGACGTGGGTCAGGGTGTAGAAAGCGCCTCCGATGCGACAAAAGATCAGCAGTAAAGTTGATCCCAGGGAAACATTGTACAACAGCTTCGAAGTCTTGAGCTTATGGCCAGCTATTCGTAGTATCATGACAGATCCCGGCCCGATATCACCACACAGTGACCCGAAGTAGATGTACAGAGGTTTGATTTGGTGTATCGGTGGCGAAAGAATGATGTTGGCTGTCGCAACAAGACAAAGAATATGGTGTACGAACAGCTCCATAGAGTAGAACCGTGCCTGAGGCAACTCGTTGGACCACACTGCAAGCTGCGATACAACACAGACTTTCCCAGCGTTGTTCAGGGGCTGATCGACTCCCCATGGTGTAGTTCTCGCAGCTTGAATACAGGACGGCAGAGTCACAACAAGTCCGAAGGCCATTCGAACAAGTGTGATTACGAGGGGCATAAGCTTCCGTATTTCGTCTTCGCGCTTGAGTCGTCCGTGAACGGTTGGGGCATACTTGTGGAGGAGGTAGTCAACAAGGAAGTAAACATGCCAGTAAACAACACTGGACATGAGGAATCCAGAAAGAATCACCGGGCCGTTAAGGTGTTCCATGGCTGTTGTTTCTGAAGAATCGTAGAAAACTTTTGAGGAACATTTCTCTGGCGGATGAGTGTGTAAAGATGAAGGCCCCCTCGTCCCCGTGATTACATCTGTCCTTGTTTACATATTTAACTTTTGATAAACAAAAGCCCTAAACTTTACGTGCTCTTGTCATGGAGGTATTGGCTGATTGACCTGCCTACAAAGTCCAGAAATATTGTGTGAGCTGTCGTAATTTAATTTCTTTCATCCTTACAACCGTTCAATCGTAGCAAACGCCATGTCCGAAAAGATCGAGGAGGGCGTTGCACCTCTTGCCTCTCAAGACCAAGTCCAAGAACAACATGGAGATAAACTAGAGCTCAGCCATATTCGCAAGCTGAGCATATTGCTTGTGATGAATACGGTTTCTCTTGTCCAGTCATTCGATGCGACTTGCATCTGCGTTGTCCTTCCTGTAAGTTACCCCTCCCAGCTGTGAAGCCATCACCAACACAGATCCAGTCACTCGCAAGAGAACTGAAAGCATCCTTTTCCGAAAGCCTGAGTATGGGCTCCGTGTTCCTGTTGGCGACAGCTATAGCCCAGCCTATCTTTGCCGAAATCGCACATGTTGTCGGCAGAAGGCCAGCGTACATGGCAGGCCTCGTCATCTTCATCACTGGAACGGTTCTCTGCGGCACTGCAAAAAGCAGCATAATGCTTCTTGCAGGTCGAGCTGTACAAGGAATTGGATCAGGAGGACCTCAGGCATTGTCGGGTATAATTCACGCCGATATGTTCGCGATCCGTGAGCGTTCGCGATGGATGTCGTATCAGCATGTCTCTTGGGCCCTTGGAACTATTGCTGGACCCCTCATTGGAGGAGCTGTTGTTCAGAACAATGACTCCCAATGGGTATGTATCCTTATTACCATACCACACGTCCTGATACTAATCGTCGTAGAGATGGATCTTTTGGTGTACCCTTCCATTGCTTGGAAGTAGCCTGATAGGAGCCATGTTTCTCCTAGGATATGACAAGGGGAAGCGGAACCTGCGTCTTATCAAGAACCTCGACTGGGTAGGGATTCTCTTATATATCATCGCCAGTGCCAGTCTTTTACTCCCTTTGACTTGGGGTGGTTCACGCTTCCCCTGGAAGTCAGCGGCGGTAATCGTTCCTCTAATCGTTTCGTTCCTCGCCTTCCTAGGGCTGGGATTCTATGAAAAGAAGACAAAAAAGCCTATGTTTCGAAAGAGCTTGTTCCGACATCGATCGACAGTCCTTCAGTTTGCCAGTGCGACTATCCACGGCATTCTCATGTGGATGGTCCTATATTATCTTGCCGTCTACTTTCTTGGCATCAAAGGCCAGTCACCGCTTATGGCTGGTGTATGGGCACTTCCGGCTACTATCACTGTTGCTCCTATGGCGGCTGTAGTAGGGATTGTGGCGTACAGGACAGGACGATACATGGGCTTCTTGCTTGGTGGTTGGGCTCTTATGGTCACCATGTTTGGAGTTATGACAATTCTTAACAAGGACACCCCAACGTGGGTGATCTTGATCATGACCTTATTCCTGGGCATCGCAATAGGCCTGCTTATTCCAGTCATGAATATTGGTGTCCAAGCCACAGTCGAAGAGCGGGATGCTGGGCATGCAACCAGCATGATCTATCTGCTTCGAACGATGGGCCAATGCATGGGAATAGCCATTGGTATCGCGGTCTTCTCCGTTCAGCTGGAAAAAGAGCTCGGGAAGCTAGGCCTCGACACAGCTCAGATCAGCAACGCCTTGAAGATGATCAAAGCCTCTGTCGAACATGGAAGCCTTGGCCAACACGAACACATGATGAACGCTGTGGCGAAAGCGCTGCAGTGTCTCTGGATGACAGGTAGCATCTTGGCCGGCTTAGCCTTGATCATGTGTCTGTTCGCAAGGTGCCCGAAACTTCCAGAGGATTCGGATGGCCCAGTCAGTGCAGAGCTGATGCCGGAAAGTCGTTTCTCGGATACCGCGATAGGGCGGGTCTGGCATTGTTTCTCAGGCAAGATTCTCCATGAGGCTACGGAGCAATCAAACTAGAGCTCCGGTGCTTTATTCGTCCCGAAATAGCCACGCAGATGCTCGTCTGTTGGTGATGCCCAACACGTACCCCTTGCTTTAGCCGCGATATCGATGGAGTTCCAAGACAATGGGAAGCGAAGCCAAGGGTCGAGATGAGTCTCGTCGATCGTTTGAGCCCACTCCTAAGGATCAGAGCCCAAGTCCACGCCATTCTTTTTATTATACCCATGCCCTGTTGTCTTGACGGAGCAACTGTGTTGATAAGATCCAATCACGGTATCCGCTGAAGCCAAGGAATTCGCTTATTCGTTACCGATGCAAAAATTCCTCCTGGGGTTAACGGTTTCACGGGTTAACCTCCGACAGCAGTTGAGATGCGATAGCGGGGGCCATGGGTTGAGAGTCCCGGCGTGCAGAGTGCAGCTCGGTAAATATCATCAGATCAGGGAGGCGATTTGAAGATTGAGGTTGGGGGCCATAGACAAGCAACTATCGACGCCAGGATGATGAATTTAGGCTAAAGGGTTCTGGGACGCGAATTGGTTTCAATGGTGAATCTGAAGTCTTTATGTCTGATTTAATGGCGGAGATAGTTGGGAAACGCTAAATCAATTGAATATCAGTTGCATCTCCATATTCAGTCACTGTGAGATAGGAATGGATGATGTGGTGTAGAGTCTGTAGACGGAAACCAATGGCAGAACCAATTGTGATCACTATCCATAGGTAACTAACGCAGTATCGGGATCACCCGTTATCAACTCCAATTGAGAATCTTGGAAGTAAACGGTCACCGTTTAGCAGCCATGGAATAAACCACCGTATAAACAAATCAACTAAAATAATAAAATGGAATGAAATATTATTATTTGTCTAATAAATAAACCACTGGGCATCAACCCACGATATCATGCCTGCTTTGACCTTCTAGAAGGGCTTAGGCTCCCCTGTCTGTCACTTCCAGGGGCCTCCCTGGCGCCGGAAGAGGACCCGGGGGGGCAAGCCTGAGTCGGGAACGTTTGCTTGGCACAGGGACAATGAGATGAGGAGCCTGAAAGGCATGATAGACATGGGATGAAGCCTGGATGAAGGATGGGGGTCATGGCGCACGTGTGAGTCTGTCTGGTCTCCGGGGGCGCCGTGGCCGTGTCCGTGACATGAAGCCAAACCCAAACTATGCTAACAAGGTTGACCGAGATGATTGATGTATTTAGTCGTTTCATATCAAGGTCATCTGTCTGTTAAGTGATACTCGACAACAAAGGGAACAGGCGGAATGTTAGAGAGAGGGTGTGACTAGAGTATTTGGCTGAGCCCAAGATGAATTGAAGCTTTGTGCCAAATGCCTCTCACAAGCCATAGTCAAAGCCATTTAACTGCCCTGACATGATCTGACCTGGCTTCACCAACTGACTCCCTCTCGAGTTTCACAGTACACTAAACTAACGACGGGTCTCTTCCCCGTCAAGCCATTATCAGGTCCCGTGATGGGCGCCAGCGACGGTCCGGCGCGTCTGTCCGTTGATCCGCGGCCATTCAGGCGCGCCTCTTTCATTCTTTCATTACTCGGCCAAGTATCAAAGAAAGGGGAGTGAAGCAAACAGTACGCTCTCCTGTCAAGGCGTCAGGGCCAACAAGTCTGTGTTTGTTTCGATATTCCTCTAGAAGCCAGGAATACACCTCAGCTCGAAAAGCTAGAACATGTCCTGTGATGCATTTTACAAGGGTCCATCCATGATTCAGAGTGGACTGTGGGGTAAACTGGTACGCCACAGCATTGCATTGGTTATCGAATCACTTTGTTTGGCGATGGCTTCAACTCTACTTACATTGTGCTTTGACACGGCTTAGGCATTGGTTCGTTATTGTTCAAATCGTGGGCCATATTCTTCGGCACCTTGCGCTATAGTATTGAGTACCTGCATACCGTTGGTCGTCCTGTCATGCTCAGAGCATTAACATTAGCATTGGCAAGACACAACTTGTTATGCCTAAACAAGTTTAACATTACTTGCATCTTCACGCGTGACTCGACTTCAGCTTCCAGAAGAACATTCATCTGTTATCTATCTTATCAAATTATCCCACCACATCCCACGCTCCTATCCCCAACCACAACCGATCCCGCGCAGCACGTCACGTCGCAACCTCCATCACATCCGATGTCGCCAATATAAGCAATATCTTGGATATATCGTCCGATACCGCTGAGAAAAGTCCCTCCCTTCACATGCTAACAGTAGTTCGCAGGATGCATGTGAGTTGCAGCATTACAGCGCATGCCCTGCAGTATGTAATGGCAGAGTGATGAAGAATTGCGTGATATCCAACGGCTGAGTTCGACTTCATTCAATACACACCCTGAAAACTCTGCATCCAATCAATATTTAAATACATCAGCATGATCTTTATGGGGGTTAATCGCCAATGTATCGTCATTCAGATCATATGAATCCACGCAACAAACACACAGAAGACAAGACAAGACAAATGATTCAATTTGCGCTACAGAATTCATCACAGTATCTCCCGATAAATTTGCCGTATCGCTAAATAGAAAGGCCCTTCTCGAATGCCCAAACTCCATAGGTAGTTTATCAAGATATTCGAAAGTATTCGTTAAGCATTGTGCTGACTACAATCACCATCCCACCCATTCCGACTGGATGTAACAGAAACCAATTACTAGGTATCAATTTAATCCTCAGATCTTATTTGCCTATTTATTCTTTATTCTCTGCCATTTATTTCTCCGCAACATAATGATAATCACCAATAACAACCTCCCCACCAATTGCCGCCATTTACTCCCACACAAACGCCTCGTAACTCAATGTGACACTCCATTCCCACATCTTCAAATCATATCGTCGCTACAGCGAGATACCGACGGGAATAGAATCAGGGTGCACACAAATGGGCTGCGTAACCCCCACTCTTCACACGTTTCACATGTCCAAGATTGGGTACTCTTATTTGCGAGATGGTGACAACCTTTTTCTATTATCGCCATGGTTACAGATCTACATGAAGTGTAAATACTGGCGGCTCGTAACCGCTGAGAAAGGCATAGATGACCAGTGGCAATGAGCATTATCGTTCAGCTGATCTGGGGTTACATCCAAGCTGACAGCTAATGTACAGTACACTCACTCAGAAAGCTTCAGCCTGGCGCGCCTCTCAGCTGTGACAAAGAACCGCCAACCAAGGCCTATTCTAGGTCTCTTTGTCTTTAGCTGCCGAACCACCAATCCTCTTGTACTTTCTCGGATCCTTCCGACTCATCATTCTCCTGTCGCGAGTCCCTTTCCCACCCTCCCAGAATCCCCGGCCCTTTCTGCCTATCAGGTATCGGCCGCAGTATCGACACGCCTCAACTGCTGAAGAATAGTTTTGCTCGCGACTACACCAGCCGCAGATGATGCGGTTGGCCCATTCGTTGATATGATCTTCCTGATCATCATGGCACTTGTCACAGGGATGAACCCGGCTGCAGCATGAGAAACGGAACCATCGGTAGGACTTTCGGTAGTGCGAGCATGCGCCTTTGTTTGGGAGCTGCTCTCCCGCGTGAAGACCCAACTTCTCCTGCTTCTGCCGCGGCCCTGCGGTAGGTGGAGGGCGCGAACCAGGCGTGATGAAGAGGAACTTGACTTCAGGGATCTTGAAAGTGAAATGACCATGACAGTCTCGGCAGACATTGGTGACGGATGAGCCCCGTACTGAAACAAGACCAGGAGCTGGAGTAGAGCACCTCTCGCAGATTGGGACAAAGGTGCTGGGGAGCATATCTGCCACTTTACACCCAGCGAGATCAAGGAACCCAGCCCTAGTAGAATGCTCATGAACCAGCGTAGGTCGATACTTGACGGCAAACGCTGTTGCACACTTCTTACAGCTCGACGTCTTCTCGACGTCAGGCTTTAGGCCCGTGACCTCGTTGACCGTCTTGCATCGCTCGCACTTCACACTGATACCCAAGATGGAGAGCTGAAGTATTTCAATACCGTGCAACTCAATAGACGGAAACGACAACATGGTACCACGCTCAGGGGTTTCACCTGGCATGGCGACCTGTGGTTCCTTCTCCTCATTCTCTAACACAGCACCGCCTTCATCAGCATCATCAGAACTGGAGCTATCTTCAGATTCATCTCCATCGACGTGGTTCCACTCGGGAGGTCGTGGGATCACCTGAATATGGCTATCTTCAGACTTTGACAATGTTTCCTTTGTATCTTGGGGTTGATCTTCAGGTACAGGCGCCGCTGGTTCGGCCTTGGGTGCCTGTGCCTGTGCTTGCTTCGCCAGTTTGTGGATGTTTTGTGCGAGGTAGTTGAGATGACTCATGAGAGACATCTGCTGTTGCTCAGCTGCCTTTTCACAGAAAAGGTCCTCCACAGGCTCCGCATCTTCAGGCTCGACATTATTGAGCTGAATGCGGAGGTTCTGCAGGGGATAAATCAGCGGAATAATCAAGTGAAGACTCCTGACAGATTGCAGTCCTGGCGGAAGCTCCGAGCGCTTCAGTGGTTGCAGCGGCAGCGTGTACACGACGCCATCAGGAGAACGGCGATACTCGGGTGTCCTCTTCATACGCGCCTCGAGCTGACGAATCTCAAGAGCACGCCGTTCCTTTGCAGCGGCGATTTCGTCTCTTGTGTACGACGGCTCTGGAACGTACTTAAAGGGCGTGGGAGCAGGTTTTGGCGGAGTTGACTCAGAGACCTGCTTGGGCTGCACTGGCTCGTTTGTCTGAGGCTTTTGTACCTCCACATGCCTCGTGTCTCTAAAAGTCACGAGCTTGACTGTCTCGGCCTTTTGTTCAGACAGAAACCTTTCCAAATTCTTGTCCAACTCTCGCGTGTGAGCGAGCAACGTAGCTCCGGGTCTCTCCTCCACGAGTCCATCCCATCCTCTCTCGATATTGATACCAAAACCCCTTGGGATGTCCTTGTTCTTCACATGCAGCACCGGCTTCTCATCCGGATATGCCTGCGGGACACGGAGATCACACTCGAGGGCAGCCAACTCAAATGGAAAGTCAGGATCCGAGGGCTTAATCTTGAACAGCAATGAAGTCGCACCGTCTGGTGCGGTGGTCTCCTTTGGCGAATAGCGTCGCCGCAGCTGATCGATCTGATATGTCCTAGGATCCTGAGCCTGCGAATCTGGCACAGGCTTTGGGACGACTCGAGAAGAAGAGGCTTCAGCCACCGCCTGTTTACGGGTCTGTGGCGAGCCTGACTTTTTGGTAGAGATCATGACGTTTTTAGAAGTGGGCTGTTGCTGGCTGTTTGATGGTGGTATTTTGGTGGTGGTTGAAGGTGATAGCTAACGATTGAGGCGAAATGAACCCAAACTCCGCGCAAGTAAAGAACGGTACTGTGCAGCCTCAAAATAATGGCTATGATGTGTAACTGGGATATCAATGGAAATGGAGAGACGGTTATGTTTTTATCGTGATGTTGATGGAGTGGCGAGCTTCTCCACTGTCTCTGGGGTTGATTCCTTACGTGAGCAGAATCAAATTCATTAACCCGAAATCGACAGTGACTCATGGGGCGTCACTGCCATTTCCATATGAAGACATTCAACTGAGATTGCCAATTTCCTATTCGATGATTGATATAATTTTTGTATTGACTCATACTTCGTATCATTTTACTGTCTACTAATTCATGATGACTCAACCTTGAAGACGAGATGCAGTCTCACCAGCTGAAACCAGCTTCGTAGCCTGCCCAGTCATTGCACCAAATTATATTCATGCAGATGCAAGAATTGATGAAGACATCCAATGAGAAAATTCAAGCCAATACCAAGCTTTTCTATAAGCTCTTCTATATCTCATTCGCTCAAATATTCGTCCACTCAGAGACGGTCATCCCATATGAGTACCTGTGTCACCGTTTAAGAACAAAGAAAGGGAAAAGAAGTACTCGTCCTAATTAATTTAAACTCCTCCAAGATCTTGTAAACAAAGCCAACATGCGTGTCTTTCAGGGGAAACCCGCGAACGCTTAACTACATCGACCCTTGGCACTTGAGCTTTGGCCTGTCAATGTCAAAGCCAGCCACCTGTGTTACAGTACAATGTTGCTCCAGCTTTCATGTGCACAAGACGGTCCACGAGGACGACACTCACATAAGACGAGGCCATGTTTGTTTGACTCGACGGAGGTGACTGTAACAGCTCCTACAGCTGCGTCTGCCGCTGTCTTACACACAAGAGAAGCAAACTATCGCCTGTAGTCCCTCCCCAAGATCACCCCCGCATCGACGATCGGGTTTGCTTGGTTTTCCTGCTTGCAAACGGGGAACGACATGAAGCGCCCGGAAGGCCGTCCGTTTGGACATTCGTCTCTCGTGAGATGATGGGTCAAGATGATTGGAGCAATATCGACAAGTTCACAATATGAATGAGAGATGAGAGAAGATCTATTGACATGCCCGTTCGAGACAAGTCACGGGTTGCGCTTCGTGGGGGCTGTGGCTGACAGATCGACGTCGGTGAACGGTACGTTACTTACGAGATATAAGTTATCAATAATCAAGCACAATGCCTGGACAATAGGACTCGGGAGTCATCAGCAGGGATTCAGGCTAAAGGCGTGCATGTTGCAAGCCGTGGTGGCTGAGATCTACCACAAGTTTATTAATGACAGAGCTTGGCCATGTACGAATCGATTCATGAGTAGGGGTCCGTGATGCTGCCCGATAATCTCAAGATGAGCCGCTGTGAGGGCCTGAAAACAAATCAGACGATGAAGGAACGCCTAGGTAGTCAATGTGATAAACATGGCTATATCACAATACGAGGCGGTGATGTCGTGGCACCAGAAGAAAGGCCATCAGCCAAACTTGATTGTGATCTGGTGAGCACCAGACAGAGAACGTGGCTACCTGACCGCAACAAAGAAGCAATAAAAAAAAAAGGAAGAAATTAGATGAGAAGTCACTAGATTCATCAATTGACATTGACACTTGACAGCCGTGCATTGATGGGCCTTGGTCATCACGTAGCATTGCATGTAGGACAAAGCAAGCCATTATGAGGATGGAAGTAGATTACTTGGTAGATCCATCCGTCATGTAATGCAATGTCTTTGAGAAGTTTCTTTTTCCTTCTTCAAAAACGGCTCGTCGCATATGAGGGCGCTGTTTGTTGACCCGTGATAGGCAAACAGAAGGGCCAGAGAGTGCGACAAGCGGGTTGAAACATGAGAAATGGAGGTCTGTAAGTTATTGTTTTTCTGGTGTTGTATTTGGAGAGTGTCTCATGTAAGCCCGGGGAAGCAAGAGACATCCACCTTTGTTTGTTATACGTAGGGGTTCATGGTATGAATCGACAGGCCTCTCTTTATTATTAGAGATGGTGGGTGGGTGTGCGCGTCAGAGTGAAAGAGATGGATGCCGAGAGACCTTTGTTTATGAGGGAGTGGAGGATGGGATGACAACGAAGCAAGTTGAGTGCCCATATGACCGTGCAAGGCCTGTTAAAGCGACCACAGTGGGCGGTGAGGCCCGGGAACCCGGTGCTGTGTGGTTGAGGGCAGAATAGGTGCTGTACCGTTTTTGATTATTTGTTTTACGGATTTTAAAATGAATGCGAATTATTTATTGGCTCTTTTTATTTATTTTATCTTCAACGGCAGTCGATACGGTTCAAACGGTAGATCTGGTGGTGATGATGCAAACCACACGACGCCCTGGCTTGGCAATTCACTTTTTAAGGTATCTTTACCAACTCACGAGCTTGACGTATTAGTGTAGAATTTGTCAGAATACACTTTCCACTGATTTGAATATCAGTCTTGAGTTAGTAATGCCTATAGCAGATAGTTTCCATTTAATTGTTCAATTATTTAATAATTTATCTCCATTGTTCACCGTCTTCGACTTGGTCCCCACGGTCAGTCACTTATCACTTACATCCAAATGTACAGCATCTCGCCCGCATTAATGCAACACCGACAAACCCTCAACTGACTCACATACACCCTTCAGCGACAATGGTACCCCATTCATCTCTGAGTCTCACAGCGAGAATAATCACCCTCGAACTCAGAACATCGGTGAAGGCACTTTGGGGGGACACAATTCACACTGACGGCCCGTTTCCCTTTCCTGGTAAGCCACGATAACGGAGCACTCGTGTATTAATTGACGGGAGGTGAGATAAATTTACAACATACGACCCAATAGCCACAGTGCGCTAGAGAACTGCGGCTGGCGGGTGGCAGTACAACGCTCCGCCGCTGTGAGACTACCTGCTGAGGCGCTCATGGATACACAAAAGAAGACAGGATAACTTCATTGTCTCTGCCCATGTCTAACTCACATGTCTTGCTGACTCTGGAGCAATCAGACTATGTCTCAGCCTCAGATCTAAGCGCCTGTTTACACTCGCTAAGGAAATGAACCGAGAAGTCGAATAGAATAAAAATTATTCCCTTTTGCGTGACCAATATTTAGGTCACGCTTCTCAAGCCATGATGGCGTTCCGACCCTAATCATCTGCCTCAATCGTTCAAGTCAGAGTCTGAGTACACTCTTGTCTCACACGCCTTTCGATCATGAGAAATCCCTACAGCTGTCAATATTGAGATAGCATCATGTGGTGTTTCGAGGTATGAACAACACGTACGAGAATCTTGCAACTGCTATGTGTCCATGTGAATGCCCTCATCTCGTGAGGGTCAACGTCACCTCGGCTCCCGATGCCTTGGTTCCTTGTGCCGATCCCTTTTCCCGTGTCGAAATTGTGTTATGATCCGAGGCTGTCAGAAGCAGTGTGCCATTCAGAGCTGTTCATAGAATCTTGTTCTAGTCAGTAACTGGTGACATTAATTTGCAGGTCTAGGTTAGCAGTCATGACTGTGAATAAAACAAAGCCACCCTTGTAAAATAAGCTTAACTATAACCTGAAAAACCTTCCATGTTTCTTATTCATCTTACTCATCCAAACGAGGACATTTTGATTGTTGGATCTCTATATAATTGGTTGCCGTCTAAGTCGTCTCGTATTGATCGCATTCGATCTCCAGGGCCACGCAACCTGGGGAATCTGACAACCAACCAAAGTCTTCCCTGACACTGGGATAAGCATCCAAAAACTCGGGTAACGACATCTCTAACCTTGTCAACGTATTCGTCGCATTCAGAAATGATGAAATTCGTGGCCTCGCTATTGTAAAAAATGTATATAGAATTGATGCTGGATGATGAGATGATCATAGCAAGACAAGTCAGCGATCTATACGAATATCAATATTCTCATACCATCTTTAAGTGCTCGAACAACTGAATCAATATGCAAGATCAAGAGTCCATCTGGATGTATGATCCATCCTTCCCACTTGCTGTGGTTGGTACTGTTGTCTATGGCATAATCTTCCTTGCCATTGCATATCTCACTCTGATCAAGTACCGAGCCTGGTACTTCATTGTCGTAGTTATAGGCTCAGCCATTGAAGTTGCTGCTTATAATCTCAGAATCCATTCTGTTCAAAACCAGTCAGAGATAGTACGTTGGTCCTTTACTGTTGAGTCTCTTCTCATTTCTAACGAACACGGCAGACGCCTTTTGTCTTAACGCTCACTTACACGGTTCTCGCTCCGGTCCTTATCGCTGCTGGAAATTACCTTCTTATTAGCCGTATGATCCTCGCCGTTCTTCCTCCGTCCCATCACCGCATCCTCCGAATTCCAGGCCGTCGCCTTACCCCGATATTTGTTTTCTGCGATGTAATCGCCTTTCTCATTCAAGGCAGCGGCTCTGGTATCGCAAGTTCGGATAACTGGCAAGGAGAGATGGAGAGGATTGGGGTGAAGGTTCTCATAGTCGGGTTGGTATTTCAACTCGCCGCCTTCTCTCTTTTCCTTTGCGTGTTTAGGGGCTTTCATGTTCTTGCTCTTCGTATGGCTGTTGAGGATGCACCCAGAGGTTGGCAGAAAGTTGTCCTTGCAGTTTACATCTCGAGTATCTTGATCATGGTAGGTGTCCTGAACATTGTTGCAACGCAAGCTAACTTGATAGGCCCGTTGCATCTTTCGTGTTGTTGAGTTTGCTGGAGGGAGAGACACATATGCATTCAGCCATGAGTGGCTCTTCTGGGTTTTCGAAAGCTTGCCGATGGCTGGTGCTATAGGTATCTTTTGTTTCTACCACCCAAGTCGATATCTTGGAAGAAGTAGCGGCCGGCATAAGTCTGTTCGGACTGAAGATATCATCGAGCTTGCTCAGGGCCACAATTAGTCTTTGTATGGGCGACCAGTTGACCAAGAGTATACGGAGATTCTGACAGGTGTTTCGTCAACATTCTTTCCGAGATTGTGCTGAATAGCAGAAAGACGGATTTGGGTTGGGTTGGCTGGTTTAGTAGTAGTAGTTCAGTTGTCTTAGAGACGTGACTACGCCCAGTAGTGTTTGTAGACTCCAAAGCTATATTACAGCTAAAGAAAGCGTCTCTCCTGCTGGTACAACTGTTCTACCATTGCTTAGAAAGAAAGGCTTCCAAACTTGGTCTTCGTCGTCAAACGAGTAATTGAGACTGTTGATGAACCTCAGGGGCCACTCGCCATATTCGTAGTACTCAGCAGGAAGCTTTCGGAGAATCTGCTGCACCCAGACCTTGGACATTGCCTTTCTACAGTGGTAACCTTTCTTCCCCAATGCAGATCTCTTGTCTCCTTCGACTGATTTCCTGCTCATGACAAACTCAAGAACCAGCATGTGCAGGATAACGAGCTGTGAAGCATGATTCGTGGGGTCGATGAACGAAGCAAAGTCGTTACTGCTTAGGTTTCCAAGCCCATCATACAGGAATGTGAGCTCATGGTAGCCTAAGAATTAGCAATATTTCAACCAAATTATACGGGAGACAAACTTTCTGCAGGGTTTGTAGATGCTAGAGTGGCGATTCTTTGCATATGGGCTAAGTATTTTAACTCAGCAACGCTGTGGCACAGCGGACCAAGCTTCTGCACACTTTGACAGAATCCCTCGGTGATAACTTTATCCAGATAATGATTCGTTTCATGGCCATCTTGTATTAGAGCCTTAACTCTTTCGAGGTAACTTACACGCCCGAATGTCTTGAAGATGGTATGATCTAGATCGACATAAGGTTGTGTACCGACGAGCCAGCCTTTGAAAGTGAGCAAAGGTTAATTCTGTAAAGTGTACTGAGGATTAACTTACAACCTCTGACCATAGTGAGAAAGTCTATGAGCCCGTCGTTCATATACGCAGATTGAAAGGTCAAGTTAAGCATCGCCCCAAAAGCTGCTTCGGCGTCTTGATTGGTGAGACCAGGTTTTGCAAGGTGCTTATTCAAGGCACTGATAGCAAGAACTCGATGCTTCAATGCCGCTTTCTCATACCCATGAGGTGTTAGTAAACTTAGATGAGATGCTCCAAGTCCAAGCATAGAGTGCAGTAAGAAATCGTACTTTCGCGTGTTAGTCACACAACCGATAATAATCATGGCATTCGCTTACTGAATGTGAACGCTGTGAGGCCATTTGCCACACTGTGAATCCATCTATGGGCAGAGGAGGATAGGCTTCAAAGAGGAAATGTCGAAAGAAGTTCAGATCATTGTAATCGAACATAACCGAGTCAGTTCGCAGTGGTCGTGAGATGACAACCGCTGAGTTTTGACTACCATGTCTGGTCTTATTCAGGTATTCGCACTCCAGGCCTAAGCGCTCGCAGGCACCGCATTCTGGTGTGGTCAAGTCGCATTTTACTCTTCTCCGTTTGCAACTAGAGCAACCTGCCCGAGACTTGGTATGGCCTTTTCGAGGGATAGGACGCCTCTTGGTGACGACAGTAGAAGTATCGGAGTCGGCTAAGGAACCTAGCTGGGCGGATGCCGCAGACTCAGAGGACTGCATTAGAGAATGTTAAACAGGGTCAATTGTGTGTATTCGATTTCGGGTTAAGATCCATTGATGAATCCTGCTGGAGGTTCGGCATGTCTAGATTACTCTGCACGTAAGCCAAGGGAATTGAAATTCCTCCGATCCCTGTCAGACATCATTACAGGGCATCCAATCATAACGGTCAACATGCAGATCAACTTCATCACAACAAACATCATCAGGTACGAAGAATATACAGTACTTTTGATTATACATACATGGATATCATCTACCTGCATAACCAATCCTCGCCATGGTGAGATTGACAAGCATGTATTCATTCATTGCTCATCTATCTTCATCTAAAAGTCGTTGTCATCCGCTCCCGACACAATAACATTGTTGACCTTGAGGACCATGCGACATAATTGTGTGGCGAGCTGAAGCTGCTGCTTCTTGCCGATAAGAGGATCGATAACAAAGGCGTCCTTCATGTTGTTGTCTCCGCGTCCCATGCAGTCAACACCAAGCTTTCCTCGGCCCTCAGGACCAGCCTTGACCTGCTGACTCTTGACCTCTGCCAGAGTAGCGATAGGGTTGAGACCACTGTTCTCGGCCAGGGTCATGGGGACGGTATCGAGAGCCTCGGAGAAGGCACGCATAGCGTACTGCTCAAGACCGGGTGTCTTGACGGCCTCGTCCTCAACAGCCAGAGAACAAGCAATCTCAGCAGCGCCACCACCGTAAACGACACGGTTGTCGCGGACCAGGTTTCGCACCACGCAAAGGGCATCGTGCAGCGATCGCTTAGCCTCATCGATGATCTGAGTGTGTTAGCATTATTTTCACTTTGACCATCAATAGGACTCACCATCTTGTTGCTGCCTCGGACAAAGACTGTAACAGCTCGGGTGTTGGCACACTCCTCAATGACAAGCATTTTCTCCCGTGTTGTGCCGAAAGTCATCTCACGGACGATACCAGCACTGCCCAGCTTCTCGGCTGTAAGATCCTCAAACCTGGGAACAATTCGGCCGTTGGTAGCGATAGCAATCAGCTCAATCTCAGGACCACCGACCCATCGGACGGCTGGTAGCTCGTTCTGAAGGAGGAGATGGTTGGCCTCATCATCGAAACCCCACTGGCAAATAGCCAGGTTAGCACCTGTGTCCTTGATCTGCTGGATCATCTCAATAAACTTCTCCTTCTCATAGTTTTGCAATTTTTTGAACTCCTCGACGCTGGTAATATCCAGGTGGTGCTTGGTCTTGGGCTTCGGGGGCTCGAATGCGCATGTGAGAATGGCAATCTTGGCGTCTCGGACTTCTGAAGGCATCTGAGGGTGAGAGAAGTCCTTATCGACAATGACACCCTTGACGAGAAGGGTATCCTCGAGGGCTCCTCCGACCTTTCCATCAACCTTGATCAACTCGAAATCGACATCCTTTCGCTCAAGGTCGGCAACGGAGAGGACGGCATCAACGGCGATGTTGGCAAACTGGTCATGAGATTTGGACACAATCTTGCTGCCCAGACTTGTTCGGGCGACCTTGACAAGGTTGGAGGTCTCTTCTCGGGAGAACTCGATGGTGTCTGAAATCTTGTCCAGCTCAGCAACAGCGATATCGCAAGCTTGATCGTAACCATCGGCAATTCGAATAGGGTGGATTCCCTTGTCGATAAGATCGGCAGCCTGTTCCAACAGAGCACCGGCGAGGACAACGACACCGGTGGTACCGTCACCAATCTCGTCATCCTGTGACTTGGAAAGCTCCACTAGTAGCTTAGCAACGTGGTTTGTAATCTCCATCTGCTGTAGAATCGTAGCGCCATCGTTCGTCACGGTGATATCTCCATCGGGGGAGATGAGAATCTTGTCGAGTCCACGAGGTCCGAGAGAGGACTTGACAATGTTGGCGACTGTGCGAGCGGCGAGAATATGGGACTTGACGGCTTCGTTGCCAAACTGGCGCTTCTTCTTCCCCTGACTAAAAGATATTAGAACGGTTTGGAAATAACGGTGAGGCTGCAATGATGGTCAACTCACTCCCTGACGACAATGAAAGGTCGGCCTTGCTCATCCTTCATTACCGCCGCTGTTGTTGTTAGCTGAGAATCACCATCATGGCAAGTCGTCGCAATTACCATTCGACACATCCAAATCTGTCCCCTCGTTAGCTACCCCTCGCCCCTCATTAACAAAACTGTGCAGGACTCACTCAATGAATCCATTTTGACTGTGACTTGTCCACCCGTGGGGAGCTGTATCCGCTAGAGTAAAGGCGTTTACGGCGATGTCGAAAAAGTCCCACGAAATATGGTGGCAGCCCGGAGCTTCTATCGTTTTCTTGATCGAATCTCCCACCTCAATTTTTTGAAGATTTGGGTGCCTTGCACACCGATGCGCGGCGCGGGGAAACAAGATAGTCCGAAATTAGGGGCTTAGGCGTTGACCCCGCCACAACTCAGTCAGTACCTTAGGCTTCAGCAGTTGGTTTAGTGAGATCATAAGTCGTGAATGTGGACCCCACTACCAGCTTGTGCCCCGCCAATCGTCGATGCATCATTAAAACACACTCAGACCTTGTCCTAAGTTAACACTTGGAACACAAACTCTCCAAAGCGGATCGAGAATTTTACTTGCGAGTGTTTCGAAGATTACTTTCTTCTTCTTCTTTTCTGTCTATAAAAGCCTCAGATACCCTCTGTTCTCCGTCCCCAGACTCTTCCCTCTATTAATACCCTCCAGTAACTGAGCCAGACCACATCTTCAACCGAACCCATCTTTCGCCTTACCAGCCCAGCTATACAAGATGTCGCGCCATCGAATCGTTCACACTTTCGATACAAGCGAAATAGTATCCGAATTTGACGGAGATGATTATGAAGATGAAGTAGAAGACGAGCTCAGTCCAGAAGATCGCCAGGCCATGGAGGAGGGAACAGCGGAGGTCCGTCGGGCTCTGGGCACTGAAGCCAACAAGGTGACAAAAGCACAAATCGAGGAAGCTTTGTGGCACTATTACTACGATATCGACAAATCAGTCACATATTTAATGAAGACATTCATTGCTCCGGCCCCCAAACCAGCAAAGAAAGCGCCAGAAGGTATGTCAGTCTTTTTTTCTGCCTCGCAACGCCTTTTTGGGACTGGAGCAGACCACGGACGTCTGTCAAACGAGCATACGTCTATCATGGATCTTCCACCCGCTCTAGGAGTTCCGGCATGGCATTTTGACGACATGCCATGGATGAGCGTACCTGAAGAACGCCAGACTGTCTTTATTGAGCCAGAGCGTCCTCGTGGTGGCTTATTGGGAGGTGGCGATGGGCCTCCCAAGATGTCAAAGCTTCAAGCTCTTGCGGCCGCTAGGAAGAAGAAGACGGAAGAGAAAAAGGAGTTGGAACGAGCCGAAAGGGGACTGGAAAGACTTTCCATCAATGAGTCACAAAAGGAGAACCAGCCAATCTTGGGTCAAGTTCACCAGGCTCCTGAACCTACGCTACAAGTCAAATCGCCACCCAAAGAGGAATCAACAGAGGTTGCAGCTATCACCGACAACCATCAGAAAGACATCGATTCTACTCCCAAGGGATGGTTTATGGACGAGGACCTTCCAGTCATGACGCCTCGGGCTACCCCATCCGCTTTTGCCCGGACGCTCTTTGGATCTGCTCCGTCCAAAGCCCCAAGGCCTGACGAGATTTTTGCTATGCCATATACATCTTCTCCCATTTATGTCGCCGAAGCTTTCGCCGAACCCAGTCCCGATGACGTGGTGCTCGCAGCCCAGGCGAAAGGTTCGAGTTTTGCAAGGACGAAATAATCGGCTAATCTAATTCCATTCAGCGGGGAAAAAGCCAGTGGCCAAGGCTCCTAAAAAGGCCCAAAAGGAGAAAGACAAGGACGTCTCTGAAGCTGAAAAGGACGTTGCGGGGCTGAATATTGCTGAGGCTCCGCCCCCTAAAAGTAAGGGGCTTGATGTTTTGAAGGAATATGAAAATAGTTCCAACAAGAGAAGTATCAGCTTTGTTGTAGTCGGTAAGTTCACTTCTCTTCTCCTAGGTTCTATGCTGATCAAGTAGGACATGTCGATGCTGGCAAGAGTACACTGATGGGTCGTTTGTTGCTGGAGCTCAAATTTGTTGAGAAGCACACTATCGATCGGTATCGAAAGCAGGCTGAAAAGTCTGGTAAACAGTCATTTGCCCTAGCATGGGTAATGGACCAAAGAAGTGAGGAGCGAGAACGAGGTGTCACTATCGACATTGCAACAAACCATTTCGAGACGGAGAAGACCAGCTTCACTATTCTTGATGCACCAGGTCACAGGGATTTTGTACCGAACATGATCGCAGGTGCCAGTCAAGCTGACTTTGCTATCTTGGTCATTGACGCAAACACTGGAGCCTACGAAAAGGGACTTAAGGGGCAGACCCGAGAACACGTGTTGCTTCTGCGAAGTCTGGGTGTTCAAAGGCTCGTCATCGCCGTCAATAAACTCGACATGGTTGGCTGGTCACAGGAGCGTTTTGATGAAATCGCCCAGCAGGTCAATGGGTTCCTCGCTGGTCTGGGCTTCCAGCCCAAAAACATTGATTTCATCCCTATTTCTGGTCTTAATGGCGACAATCTTGTTCGCCGAACAGAAGACACGGCTGCATCTTGGTACACTGGCCCTACTCTGATTGAGGCTCTCGAAAACTCAGAGCCATCAACAACACGTGCACTCAAGAACCCATTCCGAATGTCAATTTCTGAGGTCTTCAGATCACAGCTTGGCACGACGACTATTGCTGGTCGGGTTGACTCTGGCTCTGTTCAGATTGGCGATGTTCTATTAGTTCAGCCGAGTGGAGAAGAGGCCTATGTCAAGTCAATAATGGTGGATTCAGATATGCAAGACTGGGCTGTTGCTGGGCAAAGTGTCAGTGTTGCTCTGACTAACATCGACCCTATTCACATTCGAGTTGGCGATATGCTATGCCACACTAAGGATCCTATCAGCTGTGGTGACACTTTCACCATGAAAGCCATGGCGTTTGAGCATCTCATGCCCATGCCAGTTGATCTTCATCGTGGACGACTGCATTCAGCTGGACAGATTGTTTCAATCACAGCAACATTGGACAAGGCCACTGGGGTGATTGTCAAAAAGAAGCCCAGAGTTGTGCAGCCTGGTGGTG